CCCCCGCCCCCCCCCCCCCCCCCCCCCCCCCCCCCCCCCCCCCCCCCCCCCCCCCCCCCCCCCCCCCCCCCCCCCCCCCCCCCGGGCGAGGGCCCTGAACTTGCATGTAATTACTCACAAGGCAAGATTCTACTAGAACAGAGAACCAGCATCTTTCCCACCACTTCAACATGAGGACGGATGATTTACAATTTAGCTAGGGGAGCACAGGCAAGTACATCATCACCATGTTCTTCGACTTAAAAAGTATGTATTGTGTAATTATGAACAGAAACGAAATTGTCAGTGTTGCAAGCCCACTCAATCCGAGCTCCATCGTGATATCCGCGAGCATTTATCGTTTTCTGAATCCGACAACATGCAAAGTCATGGATGGAATGCAATATCCAAGCCCATTATCAGTATCACATAATCAAGCCCCAGCTCGCTCATCGTCGCTCCGGCACTACCGGCAACCCGGGCACACCCTCCCCATCATCCTCCGGCATCCCCGTCTCCACCACACTCGCCACCAGCGCCAGCGGTCCACACTGGCTCGCCTGGCCACCAGTAACCACAAACTTGGCGTCGTCGGCCTCGAGGGCCGCCGAGATGGCCGCGCCGTCGGCCGCGTCCTTGACGAGGAACACCTTGTTCAGCTGGCCCTCGATGGCGCACATGACGGGGAAGAGGAACTCGCCGGTGGCGGCGAGGGCCACGAGCATCTCCTGGTCGGTGCCCGCGGCGAACGGGACCAGGTCGACGAGCTGCGACCCGAGTGGCAGCTTGTCCCAGGTGGCGAGGCGGAGGCGCGACGCGCCCAGCTCGGCGGCTTCGTCGGGGAAGTAGTGGAGGAGGCGGCCGGCCGAGTCGCCGTTGACGAGGTAGGCCGGCGCGTCCGTGTTGCCGACGCCGTTGTCGAAGGTCACGGCGCTGAGGGTGACGCTGTCGGTAAGCACGCTGAGGTCATCGGTTGCCGAGGTGGCCGAAAGGAAGAGGTTGCCGTTTTTGGCTGGGTGGAGTTGCAGGGCGCCGGTGGTGTCGCGGACAGTGGCGATGCCGTAGCCGGGTTCGGGTTCGGCTTCGCCCGCGGTCTGGGCCGCTTCGGGAAGCGTGGTGGTGTTGGTGTTGGTGCTGGTAGGCGGCTGGGACACTGTGGAATTCGAGTTGGGTGCCGTAGAATTCGAGAAGGGTGCCGTGGAGTTTGAGAGGGGCCCCGTAGAGTTCGCCGCCCTTGGAGGAAGCGCTAGGTAGCGCTTGGCGAAGCTGCCGTCATTTCGCATCAGTTTGAAGAACTGATGCTCGAGGCCCGTGGCCATGAAGAGAGGACCGTCGGGACTGCTTCTGGTGTCCCTGTACCAGACGACCATGCTCTTCGTCTGGCCGACCCATGGATCGCCAAACAGGGCGTTTTCAATCCCAGTCTGCGCACGATTCTTGGAGTCGAGATACAGTTGGTTCCATACGTTCTGGCTCCGAATCTGGCTCAGACCGTAGCAGATCTCGACAATTTGGATCCAGGTCACATCTGCAGGCCGCGAGTACGACGGGATGAGTGCGCTGGACGAGGGGGCCGCCGAGATGGGGCCTGGGCGGATGGTGATGGTGCCCGAGTTCTCTTTCCCGACCCAAGAGCGTGTTTCGGCACCGTACCGGTAGAGCATGAAGATGGACTTGTCTAGGCCGTAGATCGGGTCTTGGGCCCTCGTGATGGACTGGTATATCGAGTTCGTGTTCGTGTTGATCTCGAGGCGGTTGCCCAGCTGCCAGTTCTGAACGGCGAATGTCGTGATCTCGGCGGTGCCGAACACGACGCTGATGATCTCGAACGGGCTCATCAGCATCATCGAGTGGTAGACGCCGTTGCGGGCTGGACCTGCGCGGGATCGTGCCCAGCAGTTGACGTTTAACTCGGGGGGTTGCCGGGGGTCCCAGGACACTCCCGCGCAGTTGGACTGCGACGCACACCAAGCCATGCACGCGTCCATGGTGTCCATCTTGACTCGGAGAGTGTCGTAGTCCATGTAATCGGAGTTGCACTTGATCTGCCACTGGTTGCCCTTGTCATCCGTATACACCTGGTTGTTGTACTCGGGACACTTGACGAGGCCATCATCATCTCCGCCAGGCAGCTCCGGAACCCCTGGACCTGGACCTCCACCTCCACCACCAGTGCCGCTGCCCGGGGTCCATCCGATGCACCCCTCGGCCAAGGCAGGGCTAGCCCACTCGGCAAGTGTGAACTCGGGGCCATCGTCGATCTCCAAAGAGACCTCATTGGTCAGGCTGATCTCCCAGGCGATGCCCAGGCAGTCGTCTGTGCCGACCGAGGTCTCGTCGGTTCCCGCGTTGATCTCGAACTCGGCCTTGCCGGTAAGGGCGGGGAAGTCCACAAGGGCAGCGCCTTCCTTGAACAGGCCATTGAGGATGTCAATGCCGAACCAGAGCTCAACAGGCAGGCCGATGGCAGCGGTGGCGGTGACACCTCCGTGGACCTGGAAGGTGCGGTCAACATTCGGCTTCCATCCTCCCTGCGAAGACTTGCCGGGGTGAGCAATGTCCAGCGTGGCCTGGAACCCGGGCCAGGTGAGCGAGGCGCCAGTGAGGATCTGACCCTCGGCCTGGACGCCGACCATGGCCTTGGCCTTGAGGGTGATCTTGGGGCCCAGCGTGACGATACCGGGGATGGACCAGCCCGGAAGACCCTTCTCGAAGATCTCCTTCTCCCACTCCTTTTCCCACTTGGCGAAGGCGTTTACGCCCAGGTACAGGCCGACGTACATGTCTCCGCTGATGCCAATGGACGCCTCCTTGATACCGCTCAGGGGGGTTGCGTTGATCCTTCCGGTGGCCTTGACGGAGCCCTTGACGCCGCAGTTGACACAGAACATCTCGACGCCTGGTACAGGATTGGGCGAGCCGACAAATTCACCGACGAGATTGTCCAGCACCGATTTGGTTGTGGAGTAGACCTCGCCGTCGTCCGCGCCCATTTCGTAGCTGTAGATGCGGAAGGCCTTGCCCCAGGGCGAGTCAACCTGCACAGCAGACGGGGCCACGAGACTGATGGGGAGCGTGAGCGAGTTCTCGTACTGGCCCGTGACGGCAAACGCAACCAGCTTGACCGCGTTCACGGCGAGGGCGACCGTGACCTTGGCCACGGCCACGGCCGTGTTCACGACGAACTCAACAGCTTTGACGACGACGGCAGCGACGGCCTTCACAACGGTGGTGACGACCTGAACTACAACCTTGACTACACTGACCACCGCCTTGATAAGCGACGAGAAGAAGCCGCGCGCCTCGATGGTGCCCTCATGTGCAGCGGTAGGGGAGGCGAGTGCTAGCACGGTCTAGGGTTGGAAAGGCACCAGAGGTCAGTCATGTAGATCAGGGAAAGACAATGCAACGGAAATCATCATCCTGATGTTGGGTTGGATCATGCATGGGCTTACCTCGGTGTCAGCACCACCTGTGCTGTAGTATCCCAGCCTGTCATCGAGTGCCTGGTCGAAGTTTGTGCCGCACGCCACTGCTGGAAGGCCCCGGAGGGTATCAGCCGACGGGGAGCCACAAGAGTCCTCTCCCTCGGAGCCCTCTTCGGGGGTCGAAACAGTGATGTTTCCAAAGTCAATCGTCAAGTCGGCGAACACATCGGCAAGCTCAACGATTTGTCCAAGCGCCTCGAACGACAGCGTCTCGTCTTGGAAGGACAGGGTATGAGCGAGAAAGAAGGCGGTCTGGTCGTCGCTGGCGCCGCAGCTTGCGGCCGATGTGATGAGGATGACGTCGTCGTCAGCCGGCCAAGTGGACTCGGCGAAGTAGTAGGGATACGAGATGTTGAAGCGGCCGTGCAACGTGCCGGACTCGCAGACGACGTCCTTGATGAAGATGGAGTGGTCCAGGACAATGGAGGGATAGATGTAGGTCACGTTGACACGGACTGTTACGGGGCCCAGGTCGGCGCCGTCACTGTCGCTTTGGGTGCCGTTGTACCAGAGCTCAGCCACCGGGTCGGGTGTCAGAACGCCGGTGCCAGCCAAGTTGACGCCTGGGGGCGGGACGGGGGCGAGGGTGGCAATAGGCGCAGGCTCGAGCTGAATCGGCCCGTCCTCGAAGAAGAAGGTCTCGGTACCGGAGCCGACATCCATCGGCCTGGCTGTGGGGAAGGCGAAGACATCCCTGGGCGACCTGAGTTGCTTGGCTGTCCACACGTGGCCAACCGGGTTCAGGTCTCCGAGAGCCTTTTTCAGGTAGCAGGATGGCGCGACATAACTGACATCGACACACTCCGTCTTGTCGTCGCAGGCTGCAATGCACTCCTCGAATGTCGCGGCGGCGGTGGCGGTGAGATCGTTGCCCCCATAGTCGGCACCGCAGATGATCTGATAGAGTCCGCCGCGTGCCGACGTGTATTTGAGACCATCGCTGACCTTGCCGTCACCGCAATTGAGAGGCGTCACCACGGCCGGGCCGGTGGGGGTTGCGGGCGTCGTGGGTGTGGATGGTGTGCTTGATACAGGCGCAGGCTTAACCTTGCGTACGGCGCCCCAGACAGCCGGGTTGTCGACGGCTTCCTTCTGTTCGCGCTTGAGGTAGCAAGATGGGGCAATGAAGGCGACGTTGACACAGTCGGGGTTGGAGTCGCAGGTCGCGATGCACTCCTCGAAAGAGGCTGCCGACAGGCCAAGCAGATCACCGCCGGCGTAGTCCTTGCCGCAGGTGATTTCAAAGCTGTCACCGCTGGCCGCAGTGATAACCTTGGCGTTGCTCAAGCCGTCTATGCAGGAAAGCTTGTTGTCGGCGACCTCGATCAGCTTGGCGGTCCAAACATGGTCTCGGTCGTTAGCCTCCCGGAGGTTTTTCTTCATGTAGCAGGCTTCGCCAACGTAGCTGACATCGACACACCCGGGTGCGGCGGCGCAAGCGTCCATGCAGCCCGCGAACGTGGGCGTGTTGGTTGCTGCCATGTCGTCTCCACTATAGTCAACACCACAGAGGATCTGGAACGCGGCGCCGCTAGCGGTGGTGTAGGTGGATTTGTCGCTAGCCTTGTCAACGCAAGTCGGCGCGTTGTCAGGGCTCGGCGTCGTCGTCGTCGTCTGCTTCTTCGCCGTCCACACCCAGTCTCTTTGGCTAGGCTCTGCATCAAGCTTGTTGCTCTTCAGGTAGCAGGAGGTACCCGCGTAGCTAACATCGATACAGCCGGGGGCCGCGTCGCAGGCGTCGATACAGGCGGTGAAGGTGTCGGTCTGAATGGCCGCCATATCGCCTCCACCATAGTCAAGGCCGCACAGGATCTGGAAGGCGGCGCCGCTTGGGGCATTGTATGTGGCCTGGTCATCGGCCTTCCCGACGCAGGTCAGGCCATCCGACCCGGCAGCGACCACACCGGAACCCCCGAGACCGGCCAGTCCCAGAAGGACCAGCTGGCGAAGAGGCGGCGGGACCATGGCCGACAAGGGAATGAGAAAGAAATGCTGAAAAGAGTGTAAGTGGAAACTCGGCGTCCACAATAAAGAAGGGACTGAGGTCAAGATGCCTCAAAACATGCAGTGGGAGGACGCGACGGCGGTGGTGCTGGGCTGGCGCACGGATGGCTAGAGGTGAGAAGATAGCCGAGTCCAGGCTTGGAAACTGGCGGCTCCATCATGCTGTTTATCTACATGATCGCCTTGCAAATTTGAAGTTTGTCGGCGAGATGCACCTTGGTCGGCGTCTAGCGCACCTTCAAATTGGCCATCCGGATTGGGCATCTTCAGCTATGCATGTGCCGTGGACGCTAAACCGCAGTGAGTGCCGCCCAGTCAGCCACCCGTGGCGCTGGGGGTCGTTGGCGGTTCCAGACCCAAGTAGACAGATTCGGTAGCAACTCACCCTTGGCATGGCCCTGGCTGGCACAGAATCGAGACCACGCGGGCGGAGGGTTCTTTCCGCTTGCGTACGTCCGTAGGTTGCTGTTTAACTTCAGCACGCGCACTGGCCTCAGCTTCCCTAATCCATCTTGGCATGGCTGCTTGTCCGTTTTTGGGCAGCATGGGTCTAGGGTAGCAGACAAGATTGGAGAGAGCCCCGCTAAAGCGCATGTCTCCTTTTCAGCCGCGTGGGTTTTGGTCGCAATATTTATTTTTTCTGTTCACGCCGGCTGTCCAGCTGAAGAAGATGCGAGGTGGGAATATCGAATCGAAAGGGGCCTGGACTTTTCTTGCAATCAACCACTTTCCACGCATATCTTCCAAAGTCCTACTTGCAGTGGGTGGAGGACCCATGATTTTTTCAATAATAATGCACCATGGTAATTACGGGTACGCTAGGCCGGCGCTATATGCAATAGCGAAAGAATAGTTCACCCCTGACTACGTGCAGTCAGGTCCGCGGTTCGAGCGACTTACCAACAATAACGAGTACACTGCCGCTGGCCAATATATTGGAGACGTGTGCCTTAGTGGTCGGGCTGAGTGGCTGACCAAAAAGCTACGTTCGACTTTGAGGATTCCGGGAGTGAGCAGGCCAGTGCCGACATTTGTTGTTGAAAGTCATGCGGAAGGACAGACCGCTGGCGTTAATGAGGTCTCTCAACCAGCGGACTTATGAGGGAAGGAGTTTGTTGGACATGATTAGGAGCCAAAAAATTGCAGCATATCCCCAAAAAATATCTGTGTGGGGGATCTGGGGTTCACGGTCCGTGGAATCCGCGTACAAGTTCCGTTTTCCAGTGTAACGAACATTTCCACTGGCGACGAATTGGGTTAGAGGACCAGGGCGGGAAAGCTGAGCTTCACTGATAGTGTGAAGAGTTTGTCTGCTCGGCTTGCATTATCGAAGTGAGGCGCATGAGGCGCATCTCGTGCCTGTGCCTGGCTATCGGTCGTGGTGGCGCCCGTCTGGATGGGCCTATTTCTAGGGGTCCCTCTCGCCTCGATTCCATGCAGCTACAGGGGTCATTAGCTTCTGTTGTTCGGAACGGTCCACCACCGCCTTTTGAATTACTCGACCATGAGTGGGCGGGACCCACTTCAACCCGGAGATCCCCGGGTCGGAGCGTCATCGCCACCTCCACACTGCGTGTCACCGCGGGACCAGTTTGAAAGCCACTTTCCAGGCCCGTCTTCCAAACCTAACTTACTAGTAAGTTGCCAATTCAGGACCCCAAGAGTCAATTATTCTATTTGAATATATTCTTGGCTGTAATTTTGATGCTAGCCTTTCAAGTCATCGTCAAGACTCTTCAAGAATCAGCTGCAGCTGCTCCGATTCAGACTCGGTGAAGCCTAGCTTCTCCAGTTCCGCCATCGACATTTTCGCGTACTTCTGGGCGTTCTCCCTGTTCCCGCTCGCCCAGTATATCCTCGCTAGATTCTCGTACTGCTCGGCGTATAGCAGGAACAGATCCTCCTCTCTCATGAGGTCTAGTATGTCGTGCGTGAGCTTTACAGCCGTGGCGGCGTCTCTATTTTCGTATGCCTTCACTACTTTCTCATGGTTGCTCTGGATCTTCAGACGTCGCGTGTCCGAGGCGGAGACTTCGTTGCCCGGTGCCGAGCAGAGGTCGCAGGAGCACTTGAATCCCCATCTTTTGAGGCCGGCTTGCCGGTCGACGAAAGTTTTCCCGCCTCCAATATCTATAGGGTGTCAAAGCTTTTGTGTTAGAACCTTCCTTGCGGGGTGGCTGTGCATGCAATTATGTACTCACAGCTGATGGTGATTTCTTCTCCCGGCTCGATTGTCCGGGCGGCAGCCACGGTAGCGGCCAGGCTCCGCGGGACGAATCTTTGGAAGGCACTGGCACGGAAAGCTGTCAGTTTGCTACCCGCACGACAGGCTTCAATGTGCGGCGGAACTCACTTTGGCCTGCAGGCGTGGTTGATTCTCTAAGGGGGTGCATTAGTACCCCTTCCCTGGCCGGAACGGAGATTCAGCGACTTACAGAAACTAATGGATAGAGCACTATATGTGGTACACTCGCGAAATTCGACTGGAATGCATTTGTCCTCAGCACATTTTCTATGACATCCCGTGCCAGTGCGTCGCTCTTCCCAAGTGCGTAGACCCTCTGCGGGTCCGACAGTTGGTCCGCCGCGCTGTGAAGGAGTGGGTACCCGTGCTCCCGCTTCACTAAAAAGGGGAAGTTCACGTCGACGAGCATCGACGCATAGTCGACCATGAATGTCTCGTGCTTTGAGATGCGTCGCTTGGCCACGATGCCCTTGCCCTTGCCCGGCATGTCGATCATTTCATACGGGACATCGGAGCTGTCATTCTCCGTGTTGTTGGTCAGCCGAACATTAGAAAGGACAGGCTCGTTCAATATCCCGACGCTATCCGCCGCCACCTGCGGCGTTGTGATCAAGCTGATGCCCCCGACGCCATGCCGGGAATTGGTGAAGACGCAGTATTTTGCGGCAGGATCAGCCGTGGCGTTCACACAGAGTGGGAGGTGCGTCCACGGTGACCATCTCACGGGGCGCAGCTCAACCGTATCGTCAATGGGGATTGGGCATCCAAACTGGGCATCGGGTTGGAGTGTGAGCGGAATGTTTAAGTTGCATTCTGCCGTGTCAGGTTTCCAGTCAACGTTGTCAACACCCCAGACCGAGTCCGTCAAAGCGAGAATACTCAGGCTAGCGACCAGTCGCCAGTTCCAAGGTCGTGCTTCAGGATTAAGCATGGTTACGCGGCCATGATTAGGGTTAGAAAAGAAACGAGAATGAAAAGAAACGAGAAAGAAAAAAAAAATTTTGGCCGAGCAGGAGAAATGGACAGTTGCTCATATGACTGTTTCTAAGTGATCGACGGCTCGGCACAGATGGTGTGGTTTCAGGCCGTTTACCCGGAATATTATGGTCTGGTAAATCGGAGACTTGTTGCCGCTGTCTTCTGAGAGCCTTCGAGAAAGGCACATCCTTGCTATCAATTGGATAAACGCAGAGTAGAGCACACGGGGAATTCATTCTAGAGTCACTGTTACATATTAGCAGTTCCTGGTGATTATCACCAGTCTCAATGTGGTGGGTGTAAATGTGCTCGTGTTTCGACAGCATGAAACCACTTATGGCACTTATTTGGTAATTACCAGACTCGCCAAGTAGTTGCTGAGGGAGCAGTAGCCATACCAAGTCCGCCAAGAGGGTTAAATTTATTGCAGTCCTTGGCTGGAACTCGGAAGCTTGACTTCATGGTTGTGATTGCCAAAGCCATTCCCTTGGCGTCTAACCTCGATTGACTTGTATTCCCCCCTGTATCAAGCTCGCATCACCTTCTGGAAGATCTCAACCCGGCTGGTCCAGCTCCTGCATCTCTTGCCAAAGATGTACATGGGGATGGCGCACAAGCAGATGAAGACATGGACGCCACCGACAATACAGAAAACTTCCTTCGGTCCTTGGGACGAGATCCAGTCGGAGATAAAGTAGTTCATGCCGAACGAGTAGATGTTCCGCAGATTGATGGCCGCAAACGCTTCGGGCGCCTTGTCACGGTGGCAGTCGGTGAGATAGCCATAGACGGCAATCGTCATGAAGCCAACGCTGAAGTATTGCAGGCCGTAGAAGATGACGGGGCCGATCCACGGATCCTGCACTGACAGCGACCAGCCAAAGCCAAAGAAGGACAAGCCTCCCAGAACCAGAGACACAACGATGATGACGAGGCGAAACTCGGGTTCGTATATTCCTCCGTTTCGTCGCGCCATGAACTTGGCGACCCAGTCAGCCAGCGGGCCCGTAACGAAGGCTCCGATGATGGACCCGATGAGAGTGCTGACGGAGACAAGCCCGACCCCAGACACACTGAAGTTGTACGGTGGTGCGCTGAAAATCTGAGACAAGACGCCGCCGACGACGACAAGCCACGAAGTAGTCAAGCCGTATGCGAAGAAGGAGAACAGCACCTGCGGGAAGACCAGCATTAACAGGGGCCGCGTCAGCACTTTCCAGTACGCGTCGTCGCTTTGTCGGCCGTGGAAGATCTTCAGGTCCTGCCAGAAGCTGTGCCGTGGCTCGGGTGGTCCGTTGACGTTATCGTCAACTGCGGTGGCGGAGGCATTCTCCACGCACTGCTCATCAGTCGCATCGCCGACCCCGTCGTCCCCCTTGGCCAGCCGTTTCTCTGCCAAGTCCCCGGCCGCATCTTGTATGCCGAGATCGAGGTTGAGCGAGGGGTCTCGGCGGTAGGCCGTCTCGGGGCAGAACAAGAAGAGGACAACGATCCAGACGCCAAAAATGATGGCGCAGACTCCATATGTCCAATTCCAACCGGCGTCCTCGATGATGTAGCCCGAGATAATAACTCCGCCGCCGACACCCACGGAAAGGCAGAGGCCCCACATGGCGAGGCGCAGCCCGCGCTCGTGGACAAAATAAATGTCGGCGATGGTGGTGGTGACGAGAACCTCAAACGGCGACATACCAATGCAGCCGACGATTCTCGACGCCAGCAGCGACGAATACGAATGCGCAAAGTACCCCCACAAACTGCTGATGAATAGCAGCAAGTTGCCCAGCAGGAACACCGGCCGCCGACCCCAGATGACCGCCAGCGAGTTTGTGAAAAAGCAGGAGACGCCAATCACAAACACGCCCCAGCCAAGTCCGCCGTTGAGGGCGTTATATGACATGTTCCAGTCGGCTGCCATCTGCGCATAACCAGGGCTAATCATAGGGCCCCACGCGCCGACGACAGCCGTGTCGATGCAGATGAAGAACAGCATCAGGTCCTTGCGCCAAAGAGGCCAGTTGAGCGGGTCGTTGGGACTGTCTGATGGCTGCGGTACGAGCACAACATCCGCATTGCGTCCCGTGCCATGCCGGAGCCGCGACGTGTCGACCGCGCCGTGGTGGTGGTGATGTTGCGCGTCGATAACATCGGTCAGGAGAGCCGTCCCAGGGACGTGCTCCAGGTGGTGGTCGTCGAGGACTCCGAGACCCATTAGTGCTGAGTGTCGTGAGCGACAGGAGGGTAAATGGCTGGGGCAGATAGATGGATCACCATGTCTTGGCTGCTTGTCCACCCTTTTAATACTACTACTCTACCATGCTGTGGTGCCTTCCGTGGCTAAACCTCGGGCTGCTAAACAACTGCCGACTGGTAGAAATGCATTTGTACAAGATTACAAACCCACCAAGTATCACCGATCAGCGAAAGGGGCTGCTTTTATTCGCCAAGCCCCGCACTTCCACATCTTCAATTCGTCAACTACTACCATCCGAATCCGTACTCGACAGGGGCCATCCTCGAGCTGGCCATCGACTCTTGTCAAGGACGCCGGCATCGTGATTGTCACTCGCGCCAGTATTGCAATCCCGTTCGTACCTCTAACACAAGCGTTGCCCGAAGATGGCCTCGAATAGCAGATAAGCTCGGTTACTCGAGGATACTTTGCCCCGTTGACAGCATCTTGCTCCTCAGAGCAGAGTCAAAAGAAGCGAGCAGCTCGGGGCAACAGCTCGCCATAAGCCGGGCTCGGCATCTGGCTGTCTTCGTAGGCACCCTCAGCACGCGCTCATCAAGACCAAGATCCTCGGCCCGAGGGACAGAGCGTTGCCATAGCTAGGCCACTGGCTAGCCACCTCTCCCAGTCCTCAGCTGTTGGGGGCGTGGGCGGGGGTTGGCGGGGTTGGAGTTCCTCCCCGTCCTCTCCGTCGTCGGTGGCCCCTGGGAGCTATGGGGTTTGACCAGGATAACTACAGTGGGGTTGGTGGCTCGCAAGGTGTAGGCGCGTAACACAACCTCGAGAAACCTTATTTCCTGCTCACAGCATTGCAGCCCTTGGTGGCAAGAACTAGCATGCTTTGATATGCTTCGGAAACATGAATACAGCTATAAAGAGTCACATAATGAAATAGAAGAAAAATATATATAAACTTAACTAAACACTATATACTTATTTTCTTTCTACTTGATGGATTTTAACTTTGCCTACCTACCTACTAGAGTTGTGAGTGATAGGTTGCAAGGCAGTACCCCCTCTGTATAATTACAAGAGACAAATATTATAATTGCTCTCATAATGAAACCTGCGGCACAGCCTTATCAGAAACACTTGATTTAGCCTATTAATTATACGTAATCTGTCTACATGTACATAAGCCCATCGTCACGGGTTCTGTGTAACCCCATTAATACAGAAAGCCTGCTTTATTCTCAGCAAAGGTAGCTAAGCAGAGATCTTTTACACCGAGTCTCTATCCTTGCCCTTGCCAACAACCAACCTGCCTCAACACCATGACGAGCTCAGAGTTACCTTCATTCGAGTCGATCCGCGACTCTAACCACGTGGTTCTCAGCTCGATGGACATGCTGCGACTCCAGTGGAAGCCCTTTGGCCCGTTCAGCACATGTATCCAAGTCGTCGATGACGTGGATACTTCCTCCGGCCAGCAGCCGTACCGCATAAACACGCAATCCTTCCACCCTATCTCCACCCTGGCCGTCACCGAACCGCCAGTCTCATCCATCACGGTGAGGCAAGACGACCTGGAACAGTGGGAAGCAGACTGGGCTGAGTTGCATGTCCCTCACGCCGACGACCACCCCGATGGGACGGCGTGGGCAGCGGAAATGCAAGAGGACAACGAAGAAGGGCACTGGGAACATACGGGAGGAGACGACGGTGAGGGACGCAAGCTCATGCGCTGCTGCAACGAGGATCGACCCAATGCTACACCTCCGCTTGTAGTAAGAGCGTCAACGCAACCCTTCGTGACGATCCACGACTTTGTCACGACGGTCCATCCGTGGCTTCAGACCGTGCGAGATGATATTCTCAGCGCCAAGGGCGTCACCCAGGGAGGGCCACTGCCCGTGGAAACACCCCTGTATGTCCATCCACTTGGTTTGGACAGACTTAGGTTGGTCGAGGGACGCAACCAACTGCCCGATTTTATGCACACGTGGCAAGGCGTGGCAGAGCATGGTCGGAGACGTGTCGATGTGACCTTGGTAGGATAGAATGCTGGAGGAGCCCAGGCAGGCAGATAGGCGTTGGGTTTGATAAGTCGAACCTGGTTTACAAACACGGATGAGTACCAGAGCAACAAGCCGAGACCAGATGGTACTACTGCCAAGCTTGTTAAGGCACTGGCTTTGTGAAGGGACAGCTATAAACAGTTAACAAAGTACTGATAACATGCTGATGGACCTGGGCTGCAATAGTGGTAGTGAAAGAAGCATTCATGGGAATTGATTTGAAACATTACTATTTGCAATCTCTGATCCAACCAAGACAAAACAACCTTGAGCATACATAAAAACACTAGTCCGTCTCCGCGGTCAACGCAACAGCTATACAAACGAGTGACAGCGCCGAGCAGAACTGCAGCCAGACAGCTATTTCCGGGGCCAGCATCAGCCAGCCAACCCCGGCCTTCATTTTGCCCGCACCTCCTCCCCGAACAGCCCCTCATCCAACCGCCACTCCTTGGGCGGCTCATACGTGCCCAGCGCATCCACCTGTTGCCCCGAACGTCCCTCGGCAGCCCACGCGTCCGGCCCCTGCACCCGCAACCCCAGCCTGCTCGCCAACCTGCCATGCAGCTCCTCAAACTCTCGCCTGTCCTTGGTCCAGCCCCCGCCCATGCGGAGGTGCGCGCGCCGGAGGAGGTCGAGGTAACGCGTCGCCGTGGCGGCCAATGCCTTGGACTCGGCGTCTCCGGGGCGGCGGTGTTGGTGTGCGCAGGCCGCGTCGACCTCGCGCAGGACCTCCTCGTAGATGGCCATGGCGCGGTCGGGGCGCTTTGTCTCTGCGGGGCGGGCCGGGTCGCCGGTGGTGTAGAGGGCGGCGAGAAGCTCCGAGGCGAAGAGGGAGGCCGGGTCGAGGCGGCCCTTGCTGCGGTGCAGGTTGTAGCGGAGGCGGTCGCACATGGAGATGGCGGCGGCGAGGTTGTGGTTGGCCTGGTGGGCGTGCACGAGGAGGCGGCCGATGCTGAGGACGCGGGATGGGTCCCAGTCGCGGACTTCGCGCGAGTGCCAGAGCTCGAGGAGGATGTGCTGCGGTAGAGGTTAGTACATGTAATCTGCATATGAAATGAAAACACAAGTGCTGGAAGGTAACGGCAACATACCTCGAGATCCTTGTAATCGTGCTGAGCTCCAAGCAGTCGCACTATGGCGGCGATATCCTTGAACTTGAGTCTGACAAACTCGATTCCTTCGGCGCGGAAGATTTCCATAACCGTGGATGTGATCTCCCTCGACGTCTTGGCCATCTCGTCGCGCAGCTTGGAATCGGTGGGTGCTCGAACGTCAATTCCAGCCATGTACTCAGCCAATCTGTACCCGTACTGCAGGTTGTGGATGTCGTGGTAGAATCCCTGCTTGTTTCCAAAGTTGAAGACACACCGCGCGACCTGATTCGCACGCTTGAAGTCCCCCTTCTCGAGCAGCTGCACAACCCTCTCATTGCCAGCCCTGCACGACAGCTCCGAGATCTCCACCTTGGACTGCGTCCGCCCGAGCCCGACGACAAGCGCGAGATATAGCTCGCGGGCCGCGTTGTCCTCGGCGCCGACGAGCTGCTTCCCGTACTTGGCCTTGAACAGCTGGAACATGCGCTGGTCGAGCGCCCGCACGAGCGACGTGTGGTCGCCCATCTTGGGATCGTGCCACAGGGCTCGCAGCCTGCCGCCGCGCTCCAGGACCTTTCGGATGCCGGTCCGGGCGGCGTCGTCCCCGGCGGTCTCTTCCTCCTCCGCGATGGCGCGGGCGTACTGCTCGTACAGGGACATCTCGACGAGGCGGAGCGCCATGGACTCGGAGTGTGTCCATGTCGCGTCCTGCGAGAGGTTCTGGGCGAAGGCCGTGAGGAAGGCGAATCCGCCTTTGCCGATGGTGGCTTCCGGCTTGAGCGTGATGCCTGCTGAGTCGAATGAGTCACCGAGGACGATGAGGTGTTGGACTTGGATGGTTAGGTCCTTGGCCTCCTCGACCAGCCCTGCGGAAACGTAGATGCTAGCCAGTGTCGACGCGGCCGTGAAGAGCTGCACCGAGGTGACGGAGGAGGTGAGTATGCCCATGAAGGAGGTCTGCAAGAGCTGAGAGATGTTTGCGCGGGACCGGTTGCTGTCCAGCTTCTGGTAGAGGAGGACGGTCTCCCTGAGCTTGGCCAATGTAGACTCGTGCCAGAATCCAAGCCGAGCCACTAATTGTGTGTGGGCCTCTAGGAACAGGGTAATGGCTCGCTCAACGGAAGTGGTCGATATCTGTGTGCCCGAGGTGATGAGCCTGAAGTACACCGTTGAGAGTCTCGTCTTCATGGTCGCAATTTCTGTCTCCTTGACAGCGGTCGTCTCCAATTGTGTCGTGCTCATCCACTTGATCAGGTCCTCGTAAGCCGACACGGACTCCTGATAATGCTTCTCGTCGCGCTCGCAGACCTCGGCATACGAAAACATGGCCTTGCGCACAATGCTGGACGAGGAGCCAAACACGGTCGATGATGTTGAGTAGTACTCCTGCGCCAACTTGTAGAGAGCCGAGTAGTCGACGTTGGCGTGCGACTGCAGAACATGCGAGTATCGCGAATAGAGGAGCTCAATCTGGTGCTCTTCAAACCTGCACTCCTCGTGGTGGTTCACAAAGCTCTGCCAGAGAAGGGAGCAGATGTGCTGGAGTTCGGACCAAGACTGCTCTTCGTAGTAGTGGTCGATCAGCATCAGGGCGGCTTTCTGGGCGTCGGGGTGGCAGTATTTCTTGGACTTGCTCAGCGCCGTGACGATCTCGGCGTAGTACGTGTACTCCTCTTTGCGGTTGAGGCCTCTGCACTTGGACGCCAGCGTGTACAAGAGTTCAATTGTCGACTTGTGGGAAGCTCCCAGGTGCTTGCGGTACTTGTCGAGAAGCTCCTTGTAGACATCGATGATCTTGTCCTGCCGGTTTTGCTCCGTGTAGAACCCGACGACGTTCACAAGAGAGTCTTGGACTCGCTTGTCTTCGGGGTTGAACGACGACAAGCACACGCGGAAGACTCGGAGATAGATTTCCTCGGCATCCTTGACCTTCCCCTGGCGTTGGTAGCAAAGGCCGAGGTACGTCGCTGCTGTGAGGGTCTCGTTGGTGAACTGCTGGCTCGGTCTTAGGGTGGCTTCTCCACTGAGGACAGCCTTCCAAGTAAGCACAAGCGCCTGCTTGATGACGGTCTCAGCTTGTGCCCAGTTCTCCAAGTTCAGGTAGACCTTGACGAGGGAAGAGAATGACTTGAAGAAGGCGGCGTCGACTTGGCTGCCCTTGCAGCGGGTGTAGTGGATTTCGTACGTCTCCCTGAGCACGGCCAACGTCGACTCAGTTGTGACGATGGTAGTGGTGGTGGTGGTGGTGATTTCGTCCGCAACCTCTGTGATCAGGGTCGTTGTCTTGACAGCCTCCTTGTGCGTCGTCTTGCCCTTGCTCTTGAACCAAGTCCACACTTTGGAGAAGACAGTCAAGGCAACGTCTAAGATGCCGAATGTCCTGAACAGTTCGCCGATTTCCTTGATGTGCAACGTCATGGCGGTATCCTCGAATGTTTGGTTCTCGTATTCGACCCAGACACAAGTGAGGATTCCCACGGCCTCGTCGTCACGCTTCATCCGGCGGAGAAGCTTGGCGTACTCGGTGGCAACTTGGAGCTGGCTCATGCGAAGCTTGTAATTGGCTTTGACACGGCAAGCCTCTGAGATGTGCTGCCAAAGGACGATCAAGGTTTCCTCCGCCTGCGCCCATTGCTGGTGGGACATGTAGAGAGACACCAGATGCAATCGGGTGTCGATATTGGCCGTGTCTCCTTCATGCACGCTCTCGCTTGTTTCGAGCAGCATGTCTTCGACTTCCTTGATGTCTTGCTTGTTGCCCTGCCCTCGGAGGACAATGTCCATGCCGCGGAACCGCTCGCCCACGGCCTTTGCTCGGGGGGAGTGTTTGCCTTCGAGAACGACGATGATCTCGTAGATCGACTTGTATGTGACGGCGGCGTTGTGTTCCTCGTTGATATTGACGTACAGCTCAGCCAGCATCTGGTACCACTTGAGCACGGCTTTGCTGTTGGAGCCATACTTGGTTTTGGAGAACTCGATCATGAACTCGATCATGCCGATTCTCCAGGTAGCCAGCTCCGTGCGCTCGGTGAAGTTGATCGCTTCCGTGGTCTGCAGGAAGCGGACGGCGCACATGACCGTCACGTTGCTGGACCGGGGGAGGATATGTTGGCTGAGGTTCGCCGCCCTGTAGAAGAATCGAGCCGCCGTGGCTGCATCGGGCGTGTACGTGTAATAGATGTTCCCCAAATTCATCAGCGTCTGCAGAGTCGAGAGGCCCTTGTCTTGGAAGCAAGCCGCCCTGATATTCAGGGCAAGCGAATGGCGACTGATGAGCTCCTCCGTCGGGAGCTTCTCCCAGCAGCTGCTCTCAAGCTGAGCCAGTAGAACGGAGTCGGGGAATATGTCCTTGAACTCGGAAGTCAAGGAAATTTCATCCTTGTCAATCGAGGGAATGGAAGAGCGGAAATGATGGGTCCAGCTCGTCACGGCATATTCCAAGAGTGGGTAGGATTGGAAGTATTTGTCGACGAGCTCCGATTCCGGATCCTCGAATGATGGCTCGTAGGAATCGACCAAGCTCAGCTTTGCATACAGAAGCAGGCTCACAGTGATCTGGCGCTGGCCTTCCTCCATGGAAGGCAGCGATTTGCCCATCAGATTCGTCATGAAGCCCTTGATCGCCTTGGCCTTGAAATGAGCCCGCCCATCCTGCACCGTGGCAATGCCGGTGCAGTTCCGTGATAGCTCCTTGGCTGAGTCGATAGCATTGCCGAGCTCCCGCTTCTTAATATCGACTTGAAGGAGTTCAGAGAGCTCAGCGGTGGCCAATGGGCGTTCGGCCACAAGCATGAAGGTAAGCAAGCGATGAGTCGGCTCGGTCTTCAGCGGGAGGGTTGCGATCAGTTTCTGCAATACGCCATCCAGGCCAGGCCTCAAGGCCTGGACTGTCTTCGAGAGCAGCTCAACCGAGGTCTGCTTCGCCAGTAGATCGGAGGTGCTCGTGGCCCACAGGAACGAGCCCTCTGCCTTCTGGGTGAGATCTTCCACGGCTCGGTCCCTCAAGTATTCACTCAGTGCCATGAACGTCTTCAGGCCCGATAGCCGCTGCCACAGGAAGGCTCGGATGTCTTCGACTAGTAGATCCCGAGTGAGGTTGAGATGCTTGCTACCATCAGTAATGTGGGGGGCCGGCCCCGACAGCGTGATGGCGCGGGTGGTGTTTTGCTTCCCAATGTGTTCTCGCAGTGTCTTGTGGAAGACCGAAGGGCTGACGTCGGTGATTTCGTCAAACCCGTCAACGACAAGGACAAGCGGATGCCCACGGTCCGCTGCTGTGGACAACCCCGCCTCCAGGGCCGTCCACAGGCCCGATTCCAGTTTCCTGGTGTCCTTCGACTCGTCAAACCCAGTGAAGGCAGTGACGAGTTTCTCGTACAAATGGACATCTCCAACATTCCTCTCCAGAAGCTGGGACAGGGTGCTCTTCAAGAAGGACAAGGTGGTGGCGTCCTTCGGGGAGTCGAAGGCTGGATTTTGTCAGACTCGATGAATTGCAATGGGAAGATAACTATGACTTACGGAACGTGTGGTGCAGAGTTGAGTAACGCTCGTGGTCCAGCGGACGCTGGAGTCGCTCCGTAATCCAGTGGGCAAGGACCGTCTTCCCGCTCCCCACGGGGCCGGTTATCGTAAAGACCTTGTCGGTGCCGCGGAGAAACTCGGCGAGGTGGCTCTTGAACCACTCACACGTGTCCTCGGCACGCCTCATGCTCTCGGTGATCTGATCGCGAAAAGAAGGCTCGGCTGGAAGATCATCTTTCAGACTTCGACGAACCGAAGTGAGCCCTTCGCTCTTATGTCCGAGCTTCCCCTTCCAGATGTCGCCGACGATTTTGTCCCTGAGACCTCCGATGTTGGCCATCTGGTCGCCGAAGATGGAGTCAAAGTTGACATTGACACTATCGCCCGATAGGCTGTCGATCTTCTTCGTGTAGTAAATGGCAATGTCTCCAATGAGGCGGATCAGATGCGAATACAGCTCAACGGTGCTATACCTAGCTTGGCTTGATGACTCCTGCTTGAATATGTCTTCAATCTGGATTAACTGCGACACCAAGAGCGCCAGCTCATTGAGGGCATGGAAAGTGGGAACCAAAGCCTTGTGGTTGTTGTCAATCTGTAATTCTACTTGTTAGCTTGCCATCATATACTGACAGGAAAGAAGTGAGCTAGCTGCTTTGCTTACCTCGAGCAGGATCTGGCAGCTGGCGAGACCGGTGACGGAGGCCGCCCTGGTGTCGGGGCAGAAATGCTCAATGGCCACGCCAAAGTTCCACAGGTTCTCGCCGAAGATCTGGGCAGCACGCAACGCCCGGTCCCCGAAGCTGCCCCTTCGCGGCATGCGGACGAGTCGCTCGTTGGCCACAAAGTTTCGGTAAGACTCGTAGCTGAGCTGCTCGAAATGCTTGTCCGTGTAAGTGTATTCATCGAGCATGCGCAGGTTGTGCCTGATGTCCATGTACACGTCCTTGATACCATTTGCCTGGAACGAGTAGGCTCTGGTGGACCTCCGTGACAATGTCGTCATCGAATACGCATCTTCGCTGGCCGACCTGGTTTTCTCCGAGTCGCTTGCCGAGCTCATGCTCTCGGGCGAGCTGATGTGCTCGGCCGATGTTTGGAATTTATCGGACCACCCGTACATGGACTCCTGGTGCCCGATGCGGATGCCGTCCATGGCTCCGCGGCTAGAGATTTCTGCCATGTCGTCGTCGTCGATGTCGTCGGGGTTTAGTGAGTGCGATTTCGCGCTGAAATTGTTATGAAGTCTGTGGCCTGGGATACTCGCGTTAGGATCGAGCCGTGACAGAAAGGGAGAGTGGAAACACACCAGGGAAGCTATTGCGCAGACCTAACATACTTGTGACTAAGAGTTGTATAGATGATTGAGGCCTGGGTTTAACATTCAAGCCATGTATTGTTTGGGAGAAAGTTGATTGTGCTCGAACTGAACAGGACCTAGGTATATATCTTGCGAGATGCAGGGTCTGGAGCCATCCCAGATGCTTGATCTAAAGCTGTTTACCGGCTGGTGTCGGTCATTCTCGTCGACCTATGTCACTGTTTAGATCATTATTTCATAATGTTGTTTCATGATACAACCTCCGTTCACTACTACCCTCAACTGGTCCGTAAAATATGCTCAAAGATGGTTGAAGGGAGGTGACATGCATAGACCAATCACAGCATGGAAATAGATGTGTTCGTTTTCGTGAGCTCATGATTCACACATCATACCCCGGGTATCCGGCCCTGTTCAGGGACTCCAACACGACGTGACGCTTGCTCTGACGGAAGCACGTTGGTTGAGCCACCGATTAATTGCCCGTTTAGGAAATCTCGCTCGAGCCAAAAGGGGATGGACCCCTGTTTGACGCTAATGCACTACGATCGATCGACCAAGGCCGGTTCAACGCTGGCGCCAACGGACCGCCCGCTGCTACCATGTCGAGTGCACCACTTAAGTGGTTGAACATGGCGATAGGTCTCGTGGATAAAAATGGCCACCCATTGGAGCTGAGCCATGCCCGCCCTCAAAGTAACCCCCATCAACTTACTACCTGACTGTGCTGCAGGGCCACTGCAGTCTGTATCTATACGGTGTGATGTGGTTGATATTCTTAAGTTGTATTACAGACCAAGTACCTTAGTTATCATCTTATTCCGGCCCGATAGACATCATATCCCGTCTCTTCTTGGACCAAGTCTCGTGAGTTTACTGTGGTCGTCTTGAGCCCAACGTCTTCTAAGCAGGCCGGTTCGGAATCGACCCTAGATCTGGTTAGTTACTAAGACATGGATATATTTTCAGAGTGGGAGCGTGTGTGGTAAGAATACCGATTACTGGCATGGACTCAAGAGTTGTATCGTTCATATGGCTTGCAGGGGAAACAGCCGCCATGTCTTCATTCAGGACAGGAATCTTTACAACTTGCGCAAAATGATGACCCCGTCTGGCATTGACTTCTATGATGGAACTTCAGATTTCTAATACTGTGATGCCGATCCCACGTGTAATTTCCCTACGGCAAAATGCTTATTTTCCGGGCCTCCTTGGCTGGTTTCCTTTTGAATAGCAGCCCCTCGTTGTCAGAAGCGAGGCGTGGTGGAAAATCCAGTCTTGTATCAGGCGCTTTCCCACGTCATCATTGCATACGGCGTCAGTACAGGTTTGACCGTTGACTGATTACCCTGGGCCGTTTCAGGGTCGTCCACAATGAAGTGTAATTATAAGACAGCATACCACATAAATGTCACACGTCAAGCCAAATCCAGGTTGGGCGTTCAGGTTTGAAAGCTGCAGACAATATGATTGGCCAAGATTACACGTCATTAGGTTGAGATGGAACGGGAAGGCGAGATCTGCACCACCAATGTCCTTTGTTCTTTGATACGGGCGGGAGTGCCAGTGGATGTTTAGCATGGGTTAGCCTAAAGTTTCCCGAGGAAGCCAAACTCATATTCTCTAGTAGTATAAAAAACAAGGGACCAGGCAGAACCCCTTGCTTTTGTTTCTCGGGGGATTGATAATCAGTTATGTCACTGGTGATATTGATTATTAGAGGAGAACCATTTTGAGGATTGACCGCCCGTCTAATTACGCAAACAACAAGTCAAACCCACGTCGTCCGCCATTATTTGCCATTCAGCGCGCCATCCAGGTCTTCTCGCAGTAACCGTTGAGGCCACGCTTGGGGCCGATGATAGGCGGGCGAACTCAGTCGCGTAGTGGGGGCAAAAGCGTACTCCGAGAGAGGTGGGGGACGGCGGCGCGTTGGAACTAGAAAGGCGAGATGCTATGATGTAATCAAGGTTCCAGCAGCAAGGCTTGGGAAACGAGGACCTGTTGAAAACATACTATCCTCAGCTGGCATGGCCTGCCTGGTGTTGAGTTTCAGTCTTCATTAGACAGCATGCTATCAAACAGGGATGTGCATAGGGGCATCATTCGCTCGCTTGACGATACCTCGGAGACAAAAATCTGCGGAACGGCGTGCCAAGACTTTATGCCGACCGAAGGGCGCGGGAAGATTTTGTGCTGGCCGATGGGCGCAGCGAGAACCAGCGCCTACGTCGTTCAGATAATTATCCCAAATCAGGAATGGAACCAACCCGCCATTCTTGATCTTATTTCTTTTGTTTTTATTTCCATTTCTATATTTTGTTTCTTCCTAGTTGTCTCAATACAGCGCCAAACCATCCCCAATGGAAAGACACTGCTCAGGCATCGGCTGTCGCAATGCAGCCGGGTCTTTGCAATGTCCAACGTGCCTAAAGCGAAATATTGAAGGCAGTTACTTCTGCTCTCAGGAATGCTTCAAGACAAACTGGGTAAGCACATGGTACAGTTCAGAGGAGGAAGTCAAGGTCAAGATGGAGAAATTAACCTGCTGTTGACGCTGTATGTCCAGGCCGAGCACAAAACAGTCCATAAAGTACAGAGTAGTAGGCTCTCCAATACTGCCTTGCCCCACAGATGTGAGGACTCACAAATGACACAGCATCCGGTTACTACAACCCATTTCCGAATTTCAGATTCACAGGATCCGTACGACCTGTCTATCCGCTGTCGCCTCGACGTTCAGTCCCAAAGTCCATTCCTGCGCCCGACTGGTGGAAAGATGGAATCCCAAAGTATCCGCCATCGATGAGAAGGAGAAACAAGGCTGAGATACTAGATGCGAAGGGACAGGCGAGCATGCGAAAAGTCTGTCGACTGACACGGGAGGTGTTGGACATTGCAGCAGCGGCAGTCCGCCCTGGCATCACCACCGACCAGCTGGACGAGATCGTTCACGCAGCGTGCATAGAGCGAAACGTGCGTTACTTCCGTACATCTCTTAAAGTTGCCAAGACTATGTGTGTGTGTGTGTGTGTGTGTGTGTGTGTGTGTGTGTGTGTGAGTGACTGACTTCTCCAGGCCTATCCGTCTCCGTTGAACTACAACCATTTCCCCAAGTCCATGTGCACCTCTCCTAACGAGGTGATTTGCCACGGCATACCCGATCAACGTGTCCTTCTGGACGGCGATATCATCAACCTGGATATATCCCTCTATCATGATGGCCACCATGGCGACGTCAATGAAACCTACTACGTTGGCGACCGAGCAAAGAATGACCCAGACTCAGTCCGTGTCGTCGAAGCCGCACGAGAGTGCCTCGATGAAGCTATCAAGGCCGTAAAACCTGGTGCGCTCTTCAGGGAGTTTGGGAACATCATTGAGAAACGAGCCAGGGGAAGCGGATGCAGCGTCGTGCGGGCTTACTGTGGACATGGCATCAACCACTTCTTCCACTGTCCGCCCGACATCCTCCACTACGCCAAGAACAGGGCAGTTGGAGTGGCGAAACCCGGCATGACGTTTACGATCGAGCCCATGATTGCCCTTGGTAGTTTCCACGATGTCACTTGGCCGGACAACTGGACGGCGACGACAGTTGATGGGAAGAGGACAGCCCAATTTGGTATGGAACACGTCTCCAGGACTGCTTTCTCTTTGCGTCTCTAAAGATGATGGTATCAATGAAGTGTGCTAATTTGTTACAGAGCATACTCTGCTAGTAACCGAGGATGGTGTCGAAGTGTTGACAGCGAGAAAGCCAGATTCCCCAGGTGGCCCTGTTCCCATGCCTTACGGCAGTTGACGCATCAATGCTTCCCACAATCATCTTCCCCTTTCTTCTTCTTTTTTTTTCTCCCACCGTGCCACTCGATATGTTTCTTTTGGCCCTTTAATTACAAGGTCGTAAATGCCTGTAAAGTGCTATCATGTTCATTAAGAAATCCATCTAGATCTATATCTCCTGCACGAATCCAATTTCGACCAAGTTATCAGCATTATGATTCGGGTCCCCCATCTTGGTCCGCGAGTTACAAAGATGCTTTTTAATTTACAAAAACCTTGGGGTCTGCTTAGTGATAAGGTGGTTTGAGATGCAGTAGTTGTCCTTATGGCCCACCGTACCGGAGGGGCTAACTGTCACATGACATCAGAATCGAAAGTATCTGTCAAGATCTTTCTCCATCGCCTTGACAAGAACAAGAACGGCGCAGAATAGTAGCGCGGTTAGGTGGTCCTGCGTCGCCTGCAGCACGCGACTAGTTCTAATTCAAGAGAAGAGCAGGACAAGAAACGCAAAAAGCAGGTGGACGCGAACGCCTTTTGTCCTCACCTCTGTCAAGGATCCCAACCCAAAAAATCAAACGCCAATCTCCGCCCCGTCTGTGGGCCGTTTGAATTGCACTCTACGAGTATTTGCCACCATGTCGGCGCTGCAGCCCACACACGAGCAGAGTTACCCAGCCCCGTCTGCCCCGTCCTTGCAATCTCAGAAGCCACAGCGGGTGCTTGCGTGCGTGCTCTGCCAGCAGCGCAAGATCAAGTGCAACCGCAAGTTTCCCTGCGCAAATTGCATCAGGTCAGGGACGTCCTGCGTCCCCGCGACGCTGACCGCCCGCCGGCGAAGGCGGAGGTTTCCCGAGAGAGAGCTGCTGGATCGTGTCCGCAAGTATGAGGACTTGCTCCTCCAGAACAATGTCAAGTTTGAACCGCTCCGCACTGATCCTGCGGCTAAGGAGAATGCGTCTCCCAAGGCCGAGGACACCAACGATTCGGACGAGGAGCAACCCGAAGCTGCTGGTGTGAAGGCAGAGCCGCCGTATCCCTCGGACACCGCCAAGGACGAAAGAGCATACCGGGTCAAGTACGTACACTCTTCACACTCCCCCCCCCCCCCCAAAGAAACCGAGGCAGTCTCCAGAGGACTAATCACATACCCAGGAACTTCTGGCACGCCATGAGCAAATGGGTACGGCTCCGTCATGTCTGGTTGAACCCCGACTCCACTAACAGGTTGCAACAGTCTCGAGATCCCGACGATGACAGCGATTCCTCGCAAGATGATGTGCTGGAGGCTACGGTCAAGCGCGCGTGGGATCAATTGTACACAGACAACGACCGCCTGCTGCTCAGCTCCCGCGAGACCACGGTCGACCTCTCGACTCTGCACCCCGATCCAGTGCAAATCTTTCGGCTATGGCAGATCTACCTGGACAACGTCGACCCGCTGCTCAAGGTCACATACACGCCCGTCTTGCAGGGACGCATCATCGAAGCCGCCAGTAATATCTCCAGCATTAGCCCCGCCCTAGAGGCGCTCATGTTCAGCATCTACTGCGCCGCCATTCAAAGTCTCGCCGGGGACGACTGCCATGCCATCTTTGGCTCGTCAGAAGAAGATCTCCTGACGGCGTATCAGTTCGGCTGTGAGCAAGCACTGCTGAACTGTGGATTTTTGCGGTCCAGCGATTACGACTGCTTGACTGCATTGTTCCTCTACCTAGTACGTCTGTCCGGGGGGTTTTGGTGGGGGGGGCTGGCTTTGTTGATGCTTTGCTGACGATGAGCCTAATTAGATCTCGGCCGGCCACAGGACCGATCCCCGATCTCTGTCGTCCACGCTCGGCGTGGCGATTCGCATCGCGCAACGCATGGGTCTCCACAGCGAGTCGGCCAATGCCGAGTGCCCCCCTCTTGAGGCCGAGATGCGCCGGAGGCTCTGGTGGTCGCTGGTCCTCTTCGACACTCGCATCGGCGAGATGGCCGACTACAAGGCCGGAATGCTAGCTGCGGCATGGGACTGCAGGACCCCTCTCAACGTGAATGACTGCGACCTCCGGCAAGAGTTGAAGGAGCCGCCAGCGGTTCAGGGGAGATCCACCGAGGCCCTCTTCGCCGTGGTGCGCAGTGAGCTGGGCGACTTCGTCCGCCACGCCGCGTTTTACCTTGACTTTACCAGTTTGACTTCGAAGTCCATTGCCAGAGATGGTCAGCGCGGCCACATTCCAGAAGGGAGTGGGCTGGCTACGCTGGAGAGAAAGGTCGAGGACAAGTATCTCCAGTTTTGTGACCCCGAGAACCCACTGCAGTTCATGACCATCTGGATGACGCGTGGATATCTTGCCAAATGCCGCCTCATCGAACACTATTGGAGATATTCTCCCTCATCCGCGCAGCAGACCGAGGTGCAGCGCGACGCTGCTCTTTCCCATGCGTTTGCCATGCTGGATTCTGATACCAAGATCAAGACCTCGCCCCTTACCAAGGGCTACCTGTGGCTGATTCAGTTCTACTTTCCATTTCCCGCATACCTCCACATCGTCCAGGAACTAAAACGACGACCTGTCGGCGAGCGAGCTGAACAGGCTTGGGAGGTCATGAGTGCCAACTACGACGCTCGTTTCGCCCTTGTGTCCACAGAGGACAACCCCCTCATCGCAATGCTTGCCAGGATTGTTTCCCAGGCTTGGGAGTCTCGCGAGGCAACGTTCGGGGAATCAGGACAGCCGGTGTCGCCACCAAGGATTGTGTCAGGCCTGCGACGCTATATGGCGAGAATGGCGCCCAACGCGCAAAAGGCCGACACGGAGCAGCCCAACGCGGCCCTAGCCATGGATATGGACCGCCGCCTTCCCGTGTCGATGCCAACAGCCTTTGGTGGTCACGGTCTGCTCGGTGGCATGGGAGGGCAAGACAGCTACGCGGGAACAGGGCCGGGCGTGTTCCCTTACCCCAACTTTCCCGGAGAGTCTCCGTTAGACGTTGACGTGGCTCAGCTCAACTGGGGCGTGATGGATTGGAATCTGGGTGCCCGCCGCGGCTAAGAGAACGGGGTCTACCTAGATACATGTATACTTGGAAATATCTCCCATCCCTTTGTCTACCAATTATGGTTTACCAGTCTCTGGTTTCCGGCCAAATACAACGGTCCTGTAATTAAATCACAACCTGTCAGTATTCTCAGAGAGGGAGGGAGTTGGTTGACTCTAGATGGGCACTCACGTCGCGATCCACCCGCAATTACTTTTCTTCTTAACCTCGGCCCTCATCTTTGCCGTAAGCACCAGCACCTCCTCCGGCGACCACCCGAGCACCTGCGTAAACAAGAACATGCCAAACCCCTCAAGACTGTGGTCCAGCATCGCAAACAGGAGCAACCCAGCCTGGCGCAGTTTGCGGTCCCGCGGCCAGGCATGGCAGGGCACCTTGAGCTTGACCTCCTGGACGTCGACGAAGCCGACCTTCTCCATCGTGTCCCTCATCGTGTGCCCACAGGATATGGCAAATGTGCGCCCCGACCGCTCGCCCGCCTCGTAGTACAGCCGCCCCCACTCGTTGAAGATGTGGTCGTCGGGGAAGTCGACGTGGTCGGACTCGACCTTGACGTCCATCTCGCAGTCTTGGAGCCAGCCACCAGGCTGGAGATGCTTAAAGGCCTTGCCGTAGAGCTGTTCCCAATTGGGGATGCTGCCTATTAGAAGGCGAGACCAGTCAGCCCTGGGTCTAATTAGTTCGGGGGGTGGTGTCAAGTCCTCTCACCGTACAAGGCGCGCAGGTGGACGAAATCGAAGTGGTCTTCCGGCCATGTCCAGTCGAGGAGGCAATCATCGATCTGGAAATGAACGTTTGGCGGTACCCACGCCGGCTGTATGGGGCTCAGATCTGTCCCGATCACTTGGGCGCTTGGGTACATATCCCCAAAGTCGCTAGGTAGTCATTCTGGTTTCAGCAGCGTTCCAGGTTCCTCGATACTTCGGGTCGTCGCGGTGGGGGTGGGGATGGGGCAAGCAAGGATCTGAGCAACTCACATGGCCCATATTCCGGTTCCAGTCCCAACATCTAGAACTCGTTGCGGGTTGTCGCCGATTGGAGCGAGAAACAGCTTGTTGTCCATGGTCATCAGAAGGCAGTTGTGCAGCAGATCGAGACCCTCGTTCTGCAGCTCGTCATTGGGGGCCCAGTATTCGGACGACTTGGCCGCATTGTACGTCCTCCCGTGTAGTGTGCGGAATGCGTAAATGCTCTCGGTGACCGAGCTGGTTGAGGAAGACTGGCTTCAGAGATGGCATAATGATCAGCCCTGGGTTCTCACAAACATGATGTGGACAGGTTATACGTACCCTCCACTGCTGACAGCCGAGTCGGCATCATCGTCGCGAAGATCGATGGCCTGTGGAAATGTGCCTTCTTTAGTTTTTTTCTGCCCGGCAAAGCTTGGGAATGGGAAATGGACGGAAGGGACTCACCGCCTGGATTGTTCCTTGCGGCTCGTGCTCTGATGGCGACCGAGGGGTCTTGGGAGACGCGGTTGCGGATCGTTTGGGCGAGGGCGACTTTGTTTTTGCTGGTGCGTCGGCCATGGTTATCGAATGAAGTTCCAGTTCCAAGGTTGGACCAACTCTGAGCACAGCAGCATGGAAGGAATGTGAGACACAAACATTGAAGAGGGGATCACAAGCACGGGAGAGATGAGAGGGAACAACAATGCGGGCGGCCCGCCCCGACTGTCATGGGACGGACTCTGTGGTTGTCAGTTATGACATGCCGGCATGCATGGTTGAGAAGGGGAAGGCCTGTTGCCGGATGTGTCCGCGGTTGGGCCACCAACCCCCACTAAGCGGATTCGATCTACATATAACCCCGGGGAGTTACTACGCTGTGGTCGAATCACTGAAAGCCATAAGAGGACGTGTCATTTTTGGTGGGGCAAAAGACGTGGGATTCTGCAACGGTCACGGCGTGGGTAGCAGCACTAGACCGAACCAGACAGGCCCCCGGCAGCCACACCCCCGAGCCAAACCAACCACCTGCTGCAAATGTCGACGGCTATGGGAATTTGGATGTGGAAACGCATAATTTGTGTGGCGGCCATAATGCCCCATACTGACAGCATTATCAAGCTAGTGGCTTCTGTGTATAGACAGTTTTTCTGGTGGGAATCGTCAGCTTTCCAAACTCGTACAACGCCGGGGTAGCAGTACTTACAGGGGATAGTATGCGTGGATCGACTTATCCTTCATGGTTTGCCGCACCCTAGCCAGCATGACAGCTACCTCAACATCCTGCCAGCCGAGAACCTGGGTGCACAAGAAGGACGCAAAACCCTCGAGCCCCTGCTCAAGGCCCAACCGGTTGAACAAGCCAACCTCCCTCCACTTCTTCTCCAGGGGCCAGCCGCCGATGGGCAGCTTGACCGAGTCAGTATGTATGACGCCGCCAAACCCGGCCTCCCGTATCCAGTCTTCCCAGTCTCCTGTCACCTCGAACGTCCGGCCGGTCCTCTTGCCAGCCTCCTGGAAGACTTTACCCCAGTCGTGCCACACGCAGTCGTCCGGCAGCGATCCCTCGTTGGCTGCGATGGGCAGGGCAAACTCCTGTTGTTCCAACCACCCGCCTGGCTTTAAGCATCGTAAGCACTCGCGGTATAGCGTAACCCAGTCCTTGACGCAGCCCACCAAGCCCCGAATGTGGATGTAGTCGAGCGAGTTATCTGGGTACGTCCAGGGCAACTCGCAGTTGTCCAGCTCGAACCTGCAGTTGGGCGGCACCCACGACGGCTGGATTGGCGACAAGTCGGTTCCTATTACCTCGGCTGACGGGAACTGATCGGCAAAGTCGCTGTTTTGGAGAGTCGGTCAGAGATGCGGCTACACGAGGAGGTGGGAAACGAGCGCCATGCTCACATAGCCCAGATACCCGTCCCAGTGCCCACGTCCAAGACCTTCTGCGGGTTCTCTAGCGGGGCGAGGTACAGCTTGTTGTCAAACGCAAGATACATCATATGGTGCCTGTAGAGAGAGTTACAGTGGGCCTGCCAATGTCGCGCTGGAGTGATCCGATAACTTACGCTATATCGAGGCCCTCGTTCTGCTTATCATCATTTGGTCCCCTTGCAAGCGTCAGCTGTTTGTTCCAGTAGAAGAGAAAGAGAAACGCCATACCAGTATTCTGCGCCCTCGAAGTTGTGGTAGGTACGCCCGTGTAGCTTTCGGTATTCTAGAATCGTGGACCCGATGGACGTGGTGGTGCTCGGATAGCCCACGCTGGGAGATTGTCAGCATCTTCGTCGCCAAGGTGCGTTGGAAGAGGTATGTATGTACCTGTCGCCGGTGGCGGAGTCATTATCGGCATCCAGCCTGGCAAACTCGCTGTCCTGATGCCGATCTGATCAGCGATTTTCCCTGATGCCCTGTTGGTAAACCAACGCTGCTCACCACTCTAATATGTCCTGCCTCAGGGTTGACTCCAGTACCAGCACCACCCACTGGCGGGGACGGTGACTTGTTGCTCATGGTAAGCTGGCCACGATGCGATGTCGAATTGCAGCTTGTAATAAGAATGAGGATGAAAATTAACAAGGACAGTCAGATCCAGGGAGTACGGACAACAAGCTTACAGCTTGCCTCACAGCTCTGGTCAAGGATAGTGCGGGGTATCAAATCAAGATGCGGACGAGACATGCACTCATGCGTATCTCACTGACGAAATCCCGCAGGGATTTGAAGTTGGGGGTGGCGGGAGGCGGGAGGCGCGGAACGTGCGCATATATATCTTCCAATGATACACTTGGTTGCCAGCGCCACTACCTGACACGTCACGAAAGTCAATTAGTAGCTTCCTCGCTTCGTCTAATCGAAACGAGTCATGCCTTCCGTTATCTACTGCGTATACGCTGGCTGACGCTCGTTTGAGAAGACGCCACGGGCTTTGGTCACGTAACCCCGGTGCCAAAATGAGGAGTAATTATTCGTGGCACAGCTCGATGGCAGTCGGGAAGACGCGATGCCACATGAGGCAGTGCAGGGCTCCGAACGTGATGCAGATACCCACAGTTATGACCCAGGGAATGGCGACTCGCAGGTCGACTCCGAATGGCGCGCTTCTCGCATCTTGTTCACCGAGGCGGTTTTGATCACCGTTGATGCGCCGGCTATCTCCGCCGTCGCCGTTGTCGTCGTCAGTGCCCTCACGACCATGTTCCCGCTCCACACCCCTTGTTCTGTTGTCTACGTCGGTGTTGCCTCGACTATCGTGTTCGTAATCACCGCCGCTTCTATCATATGACATGACATGATTTCCGCGTCCGATGCCTCCTCAGAGGAAAAGGCTACTGGAAATGCATTTGGTGATCGGTGGTGGACCCGAGGCTTCCCGGACTGGTCTTGTCACTGGATGCCGAGCCAGATGAACTGCAAGGAAGCGACGATCTTGGCAAAGGAATCGCTTTTGCACCGTGCATCGATCTCTTCTTTGGGGATACTCGGCGCCTTCGCCATCATTTTCTTGTGCACTAGGATGGCAATGTCGGCGGTCGATATGGATACGCTCCGCCTCTGAGCGAGCGATCTCAGGCGGATTCCGCCCATGTCGGCGAAGAATGCATGGCTAAGTGTCCAAGGGTGGTCTGGTCCGACTCCTTCATCGGAGAGCCATATGGCTCGCTCGAGCTGTTGAAATGACTACATGGCAACGGGCCATTGGCAGGTAGCAATTAGATATGTGTATTCGGGAGCGATGGTTGTGACAGCCATCCACTTGACTTTCCGGAACAGCAATGTGGTCCACTTATCGCCTTCTTTGGGGAAATTGAGATGGAGTATCGTCCAGAATGAAGCGTAGAGGGTGAATAGGCAGCTCCATGTAATCCCGAGGGTGCCTCACCCGTTTGGCGGCGAGACGAAGCCCGTGGTAAGATTGACTGCGCTCGGTGGATATGATCCGGGGACAGGGCAGGGAAGATCGAGGCACGGTCTTGAGGCGTTGCTTGTCGAGGGTTCGGGAAGTTCGCACGGGATAGTTGGTTGTCCTCTCGGCCGTGTACTTGATATATGATCGAAGATTCATTCCCACGTACGTTTTAGAGGGCTCCATACCCGTCAGCATATTTTGGATTACTTGTCTGGTCACCACGTGCCTCACATATTGACTCCCTTCTGGCATCAACATGATGTGACGCATACGTCAGAAGCGTTTCGCCGCCGGCAACGACGGTAGAAGCCCTAGCCTGGGTGGCACAAACCAACATATGTGAGAGACCTCCTCCTGACGCAGAATTCGGTGAGAAGAATTCGGCCTAGCGCAAATAACCAGGCGAGGCTTGCGTGGCGGTCATTTGCTTTGAGCTGGTCGGATTGCTCATGTTGACATGGATGGTTTGGTTGGTTCTCATTAGCATCAGCGTGCTTCGTCAACGCGAAAAGAAAGTAGGGGATACGGCAAGCTGAGTAGCTGCTGGCAATCGGAATTCGTGCGAATCCTTTCTGAAAGGGTGTAGAATGACGAAGTATAATTAACCATCAATGGCGTATCCCGCTCCGGAACCAACTCGTCACAACCTTGCCTGTCCATAAACCCTCTTCTCCTCCGCAACTAGCACACTTGCAAATGTAGCTTCAACGTCATGCTCATGTATCCAGGCCGGATCTTCCCGATTCTTCATCCGTGCTCTCAGCTCCTCGTCCGTTTCGACCTTACTAACACGATCTAGCTTTTTCTTATTTCCTTGATGCACCGTCCTCAGCACGCGGTCAGTATGAGATTTCCTCGTCTTCTCGTACAGATCCAGGGCTCTCGCTATATCTCCCTCTGAAGGCGCCGTAGTTGCGGACGCGGGGAAGACCTCCAGGATTGAAGCCGCAAAGGCCCAGGCATCATCAATCGCCAAGCTCCCGCCCGCCGCAAAGGCTCCTCCGTGCGCATGCGCCGCATCTCCCGCCAGCGTTACGTTCCCGCTACCGAGGACCCAGGAGTCGAGACCGTGACCAGCGGTGTTTGGATAGATCCTGGTGTATGGAACTGCATCGACCACGGCGCGAACTAGAGGGCTCCAGTCCTGATAATATTGTTTCAGCTGGTTGACGTCCCCGTCAGAGTCCCACATCGCATCTTTGTAAGGAGCATCGTGGGCAGACGGGTCACTCTGGGACGACCCGACGACGGTGAATAGGTCTCTGCCTAATTTGGACATGAAGATGCTCCGGTCCGGCCCCCAGATGTGAGTCGCCTCGTCGGGCAGGTCCGGAATGTGGGCGACGTGGGAAATGGGAAACACGGAGCGGAAGGCCACCCAGCCGGTCCAGGTTGGGGCCGAGGTAGAAACAAAGAATCTGCGGACGGCGGAGCTGATCCCGTCTGCCCCGAGAAGGACGTCGGCCGTGGTAGTTGTGCCGTCTGTGAAGGTTATGACCAGCTTCTTGGATGCGGTATCTGAGATGACGGAATGGAAGGCCTTGGAGAGGTGAACTCGAGTATTGTCGACATGTTCAAGGAGGGCCTCTTGGAGGTGAGCACGGTAGAAGCGGGCGGTGAGATGGCGGAAGTCAACGTCGCCGCGATGCGAGTCGGTCGAGACCACCTCGTTCGTTTTGTAGTGACTTGATCTGAGGTTAGTTCGAGCATAAGTTAAGCAAACTTGGATTTTTGTTGAAGCTCACCGATAGATCATGGGGAGCCGTGACTTGTTCCGGAAGGCAATGGACTCGTCAAGAGCATTCTGCACTCCAAGTTTATCCAGAGTCCTCATGCCATTAGGTCCAAGTGCAATGGACGCACCGATCTCTCGTAGTTCAGAAGCTCGCTCATATATCTGGATGTCAATCGAAGGATGATGCTTAAGAGCGATAGCCGTCGTGAGCCCTGCGATCCCCGCCCCAATGATGGCAATACGAAGGCTAATTGTGTCTGCCATGAGTAGGTACCCAGTCTTTTTACACGTATTGATGCCAATGGGATTGGATTGATCGAGGGGTAGAAATACTGCTTCTGGTAATCCCAGTTCGGAGGATTAGTTTGTGAGAGTCGAAATGACGCAAGACAACGCCAAAGTGGCGATGCTTGGAAATATGCGACTTTATGGCCAACCGCTGTTGCCAGGTTATATCGTGGCGGGGAAGCCGTCTTCAGAAGGGAACACAACCGGTATCCGAAGGCCAAACGAATCCCAGTCTATGCATCACACCATTGGTACTGCGCTGATAAATAACAGCCAGAGCCTCTATATTCCGAACTGGGCATCAAGTGCATGGTTTTTTTAAGACGGGGCTCACCATTAGCATTATTAATACATGGCGCTAATTCGGTAATGTTTAATGCCTGAGACTAAGTCACTTTCTACAGCGCAGGGGAGGACGGTGTTTTGACCGTGAGAGAGTGACCAGAGATAATATCACACGTGTGGTTTGGGCCGGGGCCGATGTCTACATTAGGGGCTGATTTATTCAGCCACCTGGCTGGCTGGGAGACAGAGGTGACATTTGCCCTGCTGGCTTTGGTTTCTGTTTGTGAATACTTACCATAGATAGGAGAACCAGGTAATAATTAATTATGGGGGGGAAAGAGAGCAGCTTCGTGGGAAGAGTGGCTCGTGCACTTTGCCTTGACTGTGAAGTGTGAATACTTGCGGTATTTTTGGGCAATGAGGCGTAGGTAGATCTTCGATTTGTTAGGCTATCACGTGCGTTGAGGGACTCACTTCTCCATCAGCTGAACCTGAACCCCGCTCGACGTTATCTTATCTTTCGCTTCTCCTATGCTGAACCTACACGCCGCGACATTCATTAATTGATCAGCCGGCAATACGATGTCGAAGTCTCCATCACCACCAGAGGATGGGTCGCACTCGGCGCGGAGTAAGATGAAGGGTTTCCTGTAAGCGGTCCATTAACCCCACAAGCTTGCGATGGGAACTATGTCTTACTTGATTGATGGCTACCTAGGAAAGAGGGGCTCTCGAGGGGGAAGGACGAACTCCTGAAGGGGAAACTCAAGCTCGAGCATTCGCTTGGACTAGGCCACAAACCCAACGTCATACCTCCTGACGAGGTCGATATCAACGCGGAACACCGCGCCGTCGAGATCGGCTGGCATCCCGTTGCGGGATTGGCAGGTAAATGGTTTGCCGAGAAGACGGGCCTCGGCAGGATGGTCACGGAGAAGATCCACAAGTATCCGGACCCGACACAACACTGGGCTGTGCTTGTGGGTGATTATTGTCACGAGCTCTGGATGGTAGGGACGAATGCGTCTGGCTTAGGTAAACATTACGCATCCCTGGACTTACCAATGACCTAGGACGAGCACCTGGATGTGATCTATATAAACGAGAAGGTCGTCCGGGAGGAGTGGCACACATTCGAAGTCGGCAAGACGAAGTTCAATGACGAGGCGCTCAGGCAAGCCGGTGAGTCGTTTCCCAACGCCGTGGTCGCTGTTGCCACAAGGCCCTCTCTCTAACACCCATTCTCCCCAACCACTCAGGCGAGATGGTCATATACAACATGAGGACAAAGCAACCGGGCTACAACATCATCAGCAACAACTGCCAGAACTTCGCCACGCTGATGCTGGACGCAATACAAGTTGGCGCACACAGGGAGTTCGCAACAAGCTTTGCTGTCTACCAGAGAGCCATCGGAGCTGGCAGCATTACGGACCTCTTCGCCGATAAGGTGGAGGAGGAGGAGGAAGTGGAAAGGCCGCCTGAAGGGTTCCGTCTAAGCGTCGTGCAGTTCGCACAGAAGGTGATGGACCAGCATACGTCAAAGCTGGATAATCACCATTCGCTCTTCTAACGCCTATGACTTGTCACCGACGCTTTCCGGGGCGCAACTGATACCCACCTGGCTTGCGGCACACGAATCGTAATGATACATCGCCGACTGACCCTCATACTGAATGCAACTTGAATTTCTTACTCGAAAATATTAGCTCAATAAGCGTATCTCTACTAAGACTGTAAACCCCGTCGGGCCAAGTCCGGGTCCCGACGATCCTATGCGGACAAATGTCGGGCCAGAACACTGCACTGTCCCATCCTACCCCGCCGGGTAGCTCCCGCAACCCCGCCTTGGAGTTTGAATTGTCAACTCTCCCGTTGCATCACATTGTAACTGGACCAACCAGAACTGCTAAACCAATAAAGTGTGCTGTCTTGGGAACGTCTCGATAATGTCGCATGTTGACAGAGCTGAACGCCTCAAGTCGCGCAAGCCAATCCCGACACCTGTCCCTGCATATCTAGGAAAAGCGGGATCTCCGTTAACGGTAGACAAAGCCTTGTATGCGAGGATCCAGGCCGCTCCGCGGCAGTTGCTTGAAGAATTCACGCTCCCCATCCGATCTGGAAAGGCATGGCGAGCCCCAGCTGGATCAGTGGTGCGAATAAGCACGCCGGAAGGTCCGCAGGTTGGTAAGAAATTATGATAACCCCCACCCCACTTCTTCTTGCCTCCCGAACAACTGGCTGACTGCAAACTACACCAAATAAGGCGACTTGAATATCTGGAACGCGCACAATCCTCGGGAACGCTTCTGGGCAAGCCGCACCAAGCAGCTGCACGCCTCGCACGTCACGACCTACGACCGGCTCTGGTCCTGCCTGCCGTACATGCGGCCAATGGCCACCATCATTGCCGACAGTCTATCGTGGTACGGTGTCGACGAGCACGGCGGCCGCGTGCATGACTTGCTAGGCACACGCTGTGATCCGTACATCAACAGCGTGCTGGCGGGTGAGGAGTATGACTATCATTGCCACTCCAACTTGACGAGAGCCGTCATTCCGTTTGGGCTGTGGGAGTCAGATGTGCACGACGTGATCAACCTGTTCCAGGTCACGGGCTTGGACGCCCAAGGCCGGTATTTCATGAACCCATGCCCAGCGCAGGCCGGGGACTATATCGAGTTTCTTGCGGAACAGGATCTCCTCATGGCCCTGAGTGAGTAGCCCTTCAGCTAAAATTGAAGTTCTATGCTAGGGATCTTGCTGACAGGTTGTCTACTCAAAAAAGGCACTTGCCCCGGTGGCGACCTATCACTTTGGGGATTTGGAGCCGATAGCGAGAAGGAGATGGAAAAGTGCTGCCGGCCACTCAAGGTGGAAGTATTCCAGCTCGAAGACGAAGGCCTGCTTGAGACGAGTGGTTGGAAGCGAGCCAAACCAGCCAACTATGGAGGAAAGCACGGAATGACGGTATGGGAAGGCGAGCCTGAGAAAAAGGCCAACGAAGGTGGTCTTGGTCCTTAGCAGACTATAAGAAAGACGAGACACTGAAAAATTCATGTATACCTAAGGTAGCCAGGACTGAACCAATCAATCGCCTGACGAGTATTGCCCCGATTCCTCTGTCAGCAGCCGCTTCGGGTTTGGTGCAAATAAAGTGGGGCGTGGCAACGGGTAGCAAGTTTTATTGTTACCAATGCCGCACCCCGCACCTTTTCCGCAGGCTTCCGCAACACCTCATTATCCGCCCCCCCCAAACAAAGACATGATGAAGCCACCCGTACAAATCCTCCGCCTGTCGCGCAAAGCATGTCTTTATTGCAAAACTAGCAAGAGACGTTGTGATAGGCTTCTCCCCTCCTGTAGCCTATGCAACCGGCAAGTTCTTCCACCTGTCTGCTTGTGCCACGAGTGGCGTGTGGCATCCGACTAATGGATGCCGCATTGATCGATCATTAGGAGAGGGTTAGATTGCAGCTATCCCGGTGCCCGCAAAGCCGATGTGGATCGACCAGGGGGGAGCCCACCAACCCCCGAGGCTGCCCTTGGGCGTGACTTTCCTGCCGTCTTCTTCCTAGAGCCCGAGCTGTTCCGTGACGCGCAGATCGAAATACCACGACTTACCATACCCGTGGGGAGTAAGGTTACGCAACTCGTTGGGGACCTAGCCAGCATTCGCGCACATGCCCAAGAATACTTTGACAATATCCATACATGGCTACCAATCATCTCGAAAAAGAGATTCTATCAGCACTTGATAAACCCTCTCTCTCAGAAACAGGTCGAGCTGAACCTTCTGGCCTTGGCGATGAGGCTCTGTTCTTGTCGACCAGAAGACGCTGCCAAGGACAATCTGTATGCGACGGCTAAGCAGTTCCACTTCGAAGCTGTATCGGCCGGCCTCTTCTCCATACAGATACTCCAGGGGAGCATCCTCATCGCCCTGTATGAGCTAGGACAGTCCATATATCCCGCAGCATTCCTCTCTATCGGTACATGTGCTCGTTATGGAGTGGCACTAGGCATCGATAAGCTGGAATCAGAAGCCGAAGAACAGGAATTCTCGTGGGTGGAAATAGAGGAGAGACGGAGAGTCTGGTGGTCTATTTTGATATTGGATAGGTATGTATACTTGCTTGCCATCATATAGCAATATCGCTTGCAGACCGCAGGGTCCCAGGTCTCGACATTCTATAACTAACGTGGCATCCCAGGTTCATGGGTCTCAGCGACCCTCACAGGAGCCTGGCAACTCAAGATCCCACTTTCGAGAGCTACCTCCCGGTAGATGACGACGCCTGGGATTCAGGAGTAAGTTTAATGTGTCGTCAGCTCCGCCTTGATTCTGAGTCCCACTGATCTCTTTCCTTTCCTCCTCCCCAGACCTCAAAGCCACAAGATGCCATGAAGATGTCCTCGGCATTCAGCCTAAAACAGGGGCGATTTGCTCGGCTCTCGCAGACGACACTCCTTCTCAGCCAAGCCCTCAGACATGCCGCTTCTCCCGCTACGGACCCCATTCTCTACGACGAAGAATCAGCCCAGCTGCGCCGCACCTTGTTTGCACTAATTCAAGTTTCCCACACCGAGGCACATCTGCGCCAACTCGAGTTCTGCGCACAGTCCGCAGTCACCTACAGCACAATCCTCCTACTCCAGGAGCGCCGCTGGCGGAGAGATAATGGCGATTTCACGCCCTTGTCTGCCGAAATGGTCCAACAGATATCACCCGAGACCACCTCAGTCATAACGGAGCTCACAGAATTGGTCACTCAGCTTCTGGATAACTGCATGAGAGACTCAATCCTCTCTTGCAAGCTGTCCCCTTTCCTCGTCCGAGTCATGTATCAAGCCTGTGCCATATTGACGAGACTCAACAAGGCCACAAATGACCCAGTGCGGACTCAAACTATCAGTCAATTCAAGGAGCTGTTAGGAAGGTTTGATCTCCAATTGAGGTCTGCAGGTATGCTCCAACCTAGTTTTGACTGCATAATTCAAGGATATGTTCTGACTAGTTCAACCTAGGAACCTATTTGTCAATGCTAGAGGCAAAGGAGCTCATGTGGGAGGCAGCTGGTAGATAATCTGCGAGACATGTGGTATAGCCTCTCTTTTCAAGAGGTTCTCAATATTGGACATGCCAAGGAAATTCTGTCCTACAGGATTCATACCGAGAACCTTTCATTACAAAGCCTCTCTCCCTATCAGAAAAGAGCGAGAGTTCATAGAATCTACCAAGGAATCTTGGTCCCATCGAAGTTGTAGAAGAGTCCAGCGTCCTCTAGAGTGGCCTTCCCCAGAACCTTCATACACCCTTCCGCGGATTCCTCTTCCGGGACGCTGCGAAGATCGGGAGCATTTTGAGCGACCCAGTCGGCGATGGAGCTGCCCATATCGGTGTCACCAACCCAGCCTAGAGAAGGTGCAAGTCAGCGTATACTGCCCAAATGTTTCCAACCTTGTCTCGAGCAAGGAACCAAAACTCACCAGGATGAATCAGGACAGCAGTGATGCCCTCGCTCTTGAGCACGGGGCTCCATTTCCGGATGAGCCTGATCCGAGGGTTAGTTAAACGTCAACCACTGTTCAGTTTGCCAAGTTGTTTGCTGATTCATGAGTGGGTGACATACATATTCAGCGCGGCCTTAGCCACAGAGTAGGCGTTGGACAGGTTTACCATGTGGAATCCGATTTCGATGGATCCCAACTGCGAAGTTACGACTAGGATTTTCTTGGCGTTCCCCTTGCGGATAAGCGGAAGGAAACCCCGGATGATGTTGATAGGCGTAGTTGTGTTGAACTCGACCTCCTTTTTCAAGTCATCCAAGTCGCTGCGGCCGATAGTTAGTCAAAGGTCCCGCTCCTCGGGCTGACAATAAAGGATCAATCGATACTCACAGGTTATCGAAGCTGGCCAACGGGTCAGTCGCAATACCGGCGTTGCTGATGAGGTTATCCAGGCCGTCTGGCAGGTGCTTTTCGGCCTCGACCACGGCATTCTTGATGCTGGTGGGATTGGTGACGTCGAGATCAATCAGGACGAGGCGATTCTTGGTGTATTTCGTCGCAAGAGCCTGAAGACCGGCCGAACCAGCTGTATTTCTGGCTGTTGCGATCACTTTGTTGGCTGGGGTTTTAAGCTAGCGATCTGATTAGCCTCAGACGACTCGGATTAATTCATCGTGGGATGCGAGGCAAAGCATACCAGCTCAGTAGCAAAGGCCAACCCGAGGCCCCGGCTGGATCCAGTGATGAGGAAGGACGGCATGGTGATGCTGAGGGTGTTCTGAGTTTCTAGTCTTGCAGTAAAGCTGAAATTATGATCCGCCGCGGTGTTGTTCGAACTGTTGTCCGAGACTTCTAGGAAAGGACAGCTCGAGCTCATATATTTATACCAATGGTGCACAATGCTTTCTCACTCTGATTCATTATTAATTGCAGATGCACGAGATGACCAAGCCTGAACTGAACAACAGTCGACTGACATGGAATTAACAAGGATCTATCTTTAGACTGCGGTGTTGTAGGTGCGGACTCCCAAAGTCCCGAAGTCAGAAGCCGCATATTCCGCAGATTGCCGCCAAATTCCGCATCCCGCACACATTACACATCGCTTGCTGACACAGCTCTCTCCGCCAGCCAGTAATAATCACACCCCAAGTGGATACTAGGGTTATAAGCGACGAATCTCGTCACTTTGCCCCTCCAGGGCCGCGGGTCGCATGTGATTTGTAATTAGAGACCAGCACCAGCGCTACACGGTGGTAAGCAGCCTACATCTGCACTAACCTGCTCTGCCTCTTTGAGGGTGTGAATGTCTTCAAGTGCAACCAAGAGAGCCTAAAACGGCTGTCTAAAGGGTCTGCAAACAACTCCTTGCAATCACAGCATAGCCCTGACTCGGCAGTCTCTTATGGATTTGTCGTTCTCTTGGACTTGCGAGTTTCTATTAATATGGCGTCTTCTTGCCTTGGGATGTTCGTTAATTAGTTCTTGCCAACTTCTCTACGTAACGTCTAACTACTTTCCACGCCTGCCGAAAGAGCTAATTCCATATACCCCTTCCTAGTGTTACTTATTGGAAATCAACTTCTACATTCATAGGCATTAATCAGTAAGAAACGGAGTGCATTACCGCCCACTCCAGATGCGACAACTCTAGACTGTAGGCTCAAGACAATCATTAGCATAATCCGGTAAAATGCGGGCGTGGTAAATTAAAACGTAGGGTTGTAACTATTGACTCCTGTGGCTTCGTGGCACAGCTCTTGTGCCGTAATGACTCCAGGCGACACGGACCCTACGCAATCTTCTAAACGCGATGAATATATATACAACGCCACACTCAGTTCCCCTTTGCGTCTAAGGTATCGACCTAGATAACCTCACAATCCATGTGGACGTTGATAATGGCTAATCTGTCTTGGGTCTCGCTGATTTTGTTTCTGGCGACGACAGCTCTCAGTGGGCCTGGGTATGTGTTGGTACCGGTGGAAGCCCAAGCCCCCCGAGACACTCTATCACTGCGACGATGAGCAGTGTCGGGTACAGGATCGACGGATTTGACGAACTATCAATCCGCTGGATACACTATCAACAGTAAGTAGCTTTCCGCTACGCAGAAGAATAGATTGACGACTGACAACGCGACTAGTTACTCTGGGTAACGCGCCACAGCCTGTCACGGTCCTCCTGGTAACCGGCTTCGAAGACCAATTATGGGTGAATCCTCAGTGCTCCGGGGTAGCCCGACCGGGGTCAAGCGCCAAGCCCAATTACCTGCTACCCGCAGGTGGCGAGTTTGCCGATCCCAAGTACTGCGAACAATTCGGCATCTACAACAAGACCAATTCGAATACCGTCTCTAAGGAATCTGGCGGGACGGGCCAGATCGAATACGGTCTAATCGCTAATATATCTTACAGAGCCTACCGGGATGACCTAACTTGGGCTGGTGCGTGCGATCTAATTGTATTGGTACTTTTGGTGCTGCGTGATTCGCTAACTTAATGCTCGGAGTTGTCCGGCCTCACCGTGCGCCATGTGAACTTTGGCGTCGCCGAGGAGTCCAGTGGCGTTGCCATTGGCGTTATGGACGTGGGCCTTTCAGCCGATGGATACAATGCCACCCGCATCCCCGGCTACCAGTCGATCATCGGCGACATGGCGAGTCAGGGGCTGACCAACAGTCGGGCGTTCAGTCTCAGCTTAAGAGACTAGGACGGCCCCACAGGTGCTTACCAAAGAACCTACCTTCGCCGTTATAGGGGAGAGCTTGAGGACTGCCTGATCTGCAGGATCCCTAGTTTTCGGCGGCGTAGACAAAGGCAGGTACACCGTACACAGGACCACTTGTCAAGTTCCCCGTCGAAATGGTGACATTCCCATCACAAGCGGGCAGGAGACTGTCCCCCATGACAAAGTAAGGCCCGACTACGGAACCTTTGGGTTTCAAGTACTGAAAAGTTGATTCTAGCTACTTCGTCAAATCGAGTTCGCTGGGGCTCACGCCGCCGGGCTCCGACTCCCAGTCCAAGAGCTACGCCCTCCCCGAAGGGTCCTACACAGCCAGTCTCGATAGCGGCACCTCCCACATTTACACGCCCTAAGGCGTGGCTAGCCAGATCTGTGCTGACCTCGGCGGCAAGAACAACAGCATTCGGTGTGCGGTGGATTATGGTCTGCGGAAGCGGAGTGGCGGCCTTACCTTTGGTTTTAGCGGCTGAACATCACGGTGCCATATCAGGATATCATCACCCGCAAACCGCTGGGGACCAAACAAACTGTAGCCTCGCCGTGGAAGATGGGCGCTATGCGACTAACCCGCCCTCTTATGTACTGGGAAGTGAGTTATAGTTCTATGGTTCTGAACAGAGCGGGTAGTCGCTAACCGTGTGTATCCGCTGGTAGCCCCCTTTTTACGATCTGCCTACGGTGAGTAACCTGAAATATATCTTTGGGGATCTGGTAGAGCTAATGGAGCTTATTTGTTTATTTGAACAGCCGTGTTCGAATTGCACAACGAAAACATCCATCTGGCACAATCGGCCAACTGCACATCCAACGTCATAGCCATCGGCAAGGGGACCGACTCGGTACCGGGAGATAGGGGGGATTGCTGCTCATCCTCATCGTCGGCGCTGGCTGGCTTCGTGAATTTGGGCCTTGTAACTGTTCTTGCGAGTGTTGGGACTGCTATGCTGATTTAAATGCAGCTGTCTATGGGAACTGAGATTAGTAGTAATGTTTGGTACTACTAATTGCGTCTTGGATGAGCCTCATTCTACAACCCCGAAGGCGTATATTTAAAACTTTAAGAAGACTTTTCCGTGGGGATCAAGGCTATCTCTTACGTGAGTCTCCCATAAAGGAGGATGGAGGAGACCAAAGACAAAAAGGGGTTGGATGTTGGGACCACTTTGATCGGTATTCCACGTGATGGCAACATCGACATGCTCCTCTGCTCGGGTATCTTCGTCGTAGTGGGCACTTCGGAGAAATACCCACACAAAGCCTCCATCGCATGTCCTCGTCCCCAAATCCCCAATATCTTACATTGCCCAACGTAGGACAGGATCGTTCAGCTCTGCACGTCAACGCCTCTCCATTCTATCTCGTGGGATACTTTACATACCGACACATCAAGCGAAGGATTATGGTGGACACTATTCGTTTCCAGGAGCATGACTCTGGAAAGTGAGGCTGAAATTCTCTGCCTTAATTCCAGGACAGCATCGACCTAACCGAAGTCAGCGAGCTTACGCGGCACGTGGCTGTGCATGGAGGGGCACCTACTTAACCTAGGTACCTTAACTTGACGCCTCACTGTCTTTCTCTCGAAGACTTAAAATTATCCCAAGAATTGAATCAATGCAATAATTTCGAACGTCTTTGGAATCCAACCCAATACTTGTCTTTCTGGTTCAAGTTGGGCTATCTGTTACGCAACAACCATGGGCAACAACACCGCAGCTCCGTTCGAGTCGGCACCATCGTATGACGACCTCTTCGCCGACCACCCAGTCAATGGGCAGCCACCTTCAGGCTCATCAGAAGCAGTGAGCCGTCTTCTCCATTTCACCCCATCCACATACACCTACTGTGCCCCAAATACTAAACCCCCCGACCTCTAATTAGTACACCCGCGTCCCCCAAGAAGACAACCAAGAAGCGCGACACCATGATCGACATTCTCCAAACGAAATCGATCTCGAGGCCAGCGCATCCGCAGACACGCCCCTCAGGACATTATCGGGGGGTTCCAAGCCGCACGTCCACTGCGACGCCTGCGACAAGATCGCCGCGCGGCGGGAAAATAGGGGCAAGGAAATGCATTGCTGCAGCATGGTGGCCGCGACTTTCATCGTGGCGTTTGTGTGTCTGACGATTATGGGGAGCGTGATTGCGGGGAAGAAGTATCATCATGATTGATCGTCTTGGGGATGGGCGTGGGAGTTGAGACGCTGAGGGGATTGGGTCCTTGCTTTTGCGAGGAGGAGATGGGTATTATTTCCAAATAGCTAATTATGTCTCGGTTCTAAGTTCTCCCCTATTTATCTCCTGCTCGGTTCGTAACTAGCATGCGCCCCAAAGGAAAATCTAGTCTTATTATTGTAGGAAAGTCGGAGGCAAGTCCGGACCTGTAGGCAAAGACAATTGTTAGCTAACGCATCTCGTGCCCGGGAGTTTATGCCTCCGCTGGTTTAAAACCGGAGGGAGCGAATAATGATGAACACATACCCCAGATGTGCAGGTTGTTCGGGGAGGCCTTAGATATGTTCGTAGGGTAGCTCGAATTCACCAGATCACCGTCGACGTAATGCTCCAGGATGAAGCGTGAAGGGTCGAACCTGCGTACGTGGTAAGCTACTTTACGCTTCAATCAATAGACGGGCTGTGGGTCATTCTCTTGCGTACCAGTAGTCAAAAATCTGACTGCCCATAATGTGTCTCCCGACTCCCCAGCAGTTCTCGTAGCCCTTCTCCCGTAGCCAATCGTGGCCCAGGAGCTGGGTGTCGAAGTCAACTGTCTCAAATGAGGAGTGGTGAACGTGACATTTGGGGCCCTGGAAAAAGAAGAAGCAGTGGTGATCCACCATTTCGGAGCCCCGGTCAAGATGCAGGAAGGTGGTGACGTCTTGCCCATTGTCATCGTGGACCAGCTAATAACAAGGATATTGAATCAGTATCCTCCACGAAACTTTGGAAGAGAATCGGACGAAAGGGGAGAAGGGGGCCGAGGGCCGAGGGGATACAATCACTTACATCGCTGGCGACAAGGTTGAATCGTGACGTGTAGAAGCTGTACGCCTTGGCAAAGTCTGTCACACACATGCCAAAATGCCCCAGTTTGTGTACCGGGGCAGGACCTAATGGTAACATTTCTCAGCGTCATCACTTCCTTTTCTGGCCGGCCGAGACGGTGATTCAAACCTTTCTCGAACCTCTGGAACTGGTTTGCTGCTCGCAGCTTCTCGGTAGGCTGTGTGAAAGCGGATCAGTAAGTAATAATAATCAAGTTTTATTCTCCTCGCACTTAGTGGTCCTACGTACATAGTTGACCTTCTGCCGCGCCGACCCAGTCTCGGCGCCCTCGGTGAGCCTCTGGCCGTAGACAAGATGGAATGGGAATCCATCGACCGGATCGAAAAATGTCACCCGCAGGCCGCCGCCAGGTTCATCGAGCATCTCATGAACTTCGGTCGCGTTGTGTAGAGTTTTGGCTGCGTACTCGAGATCGTCCTTGGACTCGACGACGAAGGCGGCGCCGCCAAACTCGTCCGTACTTCCCTCGGAGGCACAGTAGACGAAGGGTTCGGGTCCAGTACCGCCGTAGTAGGTTTTGTTCCCGACCCTCTTCAGCTCTTGCAAGCCGAAATCTTGCAAAAACTGGTGCGCCTTGGCAATGCCCTTGTGTGTGTAGTACACATGAGCAATTCGCACAAGGTTGATCTTGCGTAGTCCTGCGTCGCTCGCCGAAGTCATGGCGTCTGAATTTTAATCTGTGCGAGGAAAAGTATTGTGCTAGAGAGTCATCGGTCAAGCTACCTTGCTATTCACTGACTACAGTAGGCAATCCATACCCTGGCTCCATATATAAGAAAGCCGACAGACATGTGGGAAATGCGGGGGCAGGGAGAGGGAGAAAGAGAAAGCCCGAAATCTTTCCTTCTCTTCCGAGGCGTGAGACTCGAATTTCAAGCCCAGGCCGAGTAGGGAAAGGTAACAGTTGCCAACCACATACATCATTGCCAACTAATTACGGAATACATGATGTGGTGCAGACACTTGCGGGGCAAAGTATTCCAAACCCCTGGCCGGACCAACTTCGGTGTATCTTCGCACGCGCGGCTTCGGCATCATCACCCCCAGAAATTGGCCGGACTAAGACGGGCCGCACCGGAGCGCGCGCGGGGAATGACCAAACAACAAGAACGCCAGGATGAGCGACAGCTAGCAAGAGTGGCAGTGGCAGTGGCAATGCCGGCAGTTGTTCGCGGTCTCTGGGTGATTTCCGACCACGTATTTATTACACCATCTTCTCGGCTGCATATACCGCCGCGACCTTCTAGCTTCGCTTGAGTCTGTTCGCGCATTCTAGGAGACTCAACGAGATCTTGGGAATCCCCCTTCCCCCACCATGTCCATGCACAACGGCGCGGTATACGGCGTGAAGGGAGCCGATGGCAGTGGTGTTCATAGCACCACGCCTTTGAACGCCAGTCAACCCTACCCAACAACAAGCGAAAGGACGCCCAAGGAAAGCAACCATGATCATTGTGGCGTTGAGACCGACTTCTTGATCGTCGGGTGTGGTCCGGCGGGAGCTTCGCTGGCATGCTTCCTTGGCTCATATGGTAAGTCTTCTTGGCAGTCCCTCTCTTTTATGGCTAGTTGGCTCACTATGTGGCGACATAGGGCTGGAGGGGATCATGATCGGCGCAGCACGAGGCACGGCCGACACGCCGCGGGCGCATATCATGAATATGGCTGCACTAGGTCGGTGGTCCGTTCCGGCTCTCTTTATGTGCAGGTGGCAAGGATGCTTCTAATTACTAACCATACATTCTTCTTGCAGAATGTCTGAGAGACATTGGACTGCAACGAGATATCGACCAGGTATCCTCAAAGGGGAACTGCATGATCCATACAAGGTGGTGTCACAGCATGGCCGGCGAGGAATATGCGCGCATCTACTCTTGGGGCAACGACCCTAAACGGAAAGTAATTGATTAAGCTGGCAAAGGACAGCAACGACTGATTACATGCTCACATGCATGGCAGGGCGACTACGAAACAGCGAGCCCCTGCAAGCCGGCTGATCTTCCACAAACTCTCCTCGAACCGGTCCTCATCCGCAGAGCTACGCAGGCAGGGTTCCAAGTGCGCTTCAGCACGGCTCTGCTGTCCTTCACCGAGGACACAGGGACTAAACTAATCACGGCGACAGTACATGACAGGCTATCGAAGCTCGAGTACAAGATCCGCACCAAGTATCTCTTTGGTGCTGATGGGGCGCAGAGCCAGGTGGTGAAGGAGCTTAATCTACCGCTCATCCGGAAACCCGGACAGGGACTCGCCATCAACGTGCTCGTCAAGGCCGACCTGTCCCACCTGGTCGACTCGCGCAAGGGAAACCTGCACTGGGTTATGCAGCCGGATTGCGAGCACCCAGAGTTCGGCTGGATGTCCATCGTCCGGATGGTGAAGCCCTGGAACGAGTGGATGTTCATCCTCTTCCCCAACCGCGACTGCGACCCCAAGATCCAGGCCACGCACGACGAGTATCTGCAGCGCGTGCGCGAATTCATTGGCGATGACACGCCGGCCGAGATCCTGAATGTCTCCAAGTGGTTTGTTAACGAGATCGTTGCCGAGACGTATTCAAGCGGCAACAACATGTAAGCCGCACTGCCCCTCCTTTACTCTTGCTTTCATGCACTGTCACTCAGCGTCACACGCCCCAACTTAAGGCCTCGGGCTCTCCACAGAGGCGTCGCCTGTTCCATTTTCTGACAGACAGACTGGCTGACTGACTGACCGACTGTCATTCCCTAGTTTCTGCCTCGGAGATGCAGTCCATCGCCACCCTCCGATGAACGGTCTAGGATCCAATACCTGCATCCAGGACGCGTTCAACCTGGCATGGAAAGTGGCCTACGTGCATCGCGGTCTAGCACCCTCTTCGCTGCTCGAAACCTACAGCATGGAGCGCCAGCCCGTCGGCGAAAGCATAGTCACGCAGGCCAACCAAGCCTTCCGCGACCACCTCCGCGCCTGGGATGCGTTGGGCATGCTGGGGGCCGACGTTTCGGAGCGGCGCCGGATGCATGGCGAGCTGTCGGAGGCTAGTCCCCAAGGGAAGAAGCGACGGGACGCTCTTCGGGAAGCCATCCAGGGCACGGCGCACGAATTCCACGGCCTCGGCATTGAGATGGGCCAGCACTATTGCGGTGCGGCAATCTACGCCGCCGACGAGCAAGAGCCGTTCGTCCCGCCGGGGCGCGCTGCCGAGGACCCGGTCCTCTACCACGAGCCCAACACATATCCGGGCTCCCGTCTGCCTCACGTGTGGCTCAACAGGGCCGTCCCGACCACGCCGACCTCGACCATTGACATCGCAGGTCATGGCAATTTCGTGCTCTTTACCGGCATCGGCGGCGAGGCATGGAAGGCGGCGGCTAACACGGTCTCGGCCGACATGGGGTTGCCGCTGGAAGCGCACTCGATCGGCTTCCGCCAGGACTGGGAAGACTTGTACTTCGACTGGGAGCGGGTGCGGGGCGTCGGCGAGTCGGGCGCCGTCCTTGTGCGGCCAGACCGGTTCGTTGCATGGCGCATCGGCGAGGTGCTCTCTACCCCTGACGCTTGCACCGCCCGGCTAGACCTGGTCATGCGCTCCGTTCTGGGTTATCGCAAGCAGCCACAAGCGAAACAATGATGTTAGGGTTGGGGATCGGAAAGATTGTTCAGAGTGGGAAGCCTCTTGGGTTATGCTATCAACGATGCGATTGCTTTTGAGTTCTCCACCTCACCATGCGAGTAAGCCTCGACCAGCTCTAAAAAGGGGGGGTGGGGGGAAGCGGTGCGGTCTGCTCGATCATGGTGAGATAGGCTAAAACGAAAACCACTGAGCTGGGTTTGTAATTACTGTACTATACAAATCGATCTAATTTCGGCAGTATTCGGCTTGTGGTACGGAATAACTTCGCAATGTTCTCCTAAACTAGCGTATGATGCATTACGCTAGGCACTTGATAATCACGAGGCAAGTCGTTTAGCGTAACAATCTTGCAGCTTACTTGCCGGCGAAATGGGAGAGAAGAATGCGGGTGGGGGTTGATGTCGGTAGGTAGAATGCCCTGATTCCCCGCCTTATTCCCCCACATTTCTCCGTAAATAAAATTGAGGTATCTCACCCAGCAACATAGGCTTGACAGGTGGATTTACTTATAAATAACAACTCGCATCGTGTAACCATATACTTCCCCTAAACAGGTCCAGTCCTGTTAATCATTTTCTCGTTTTCCTCCCGAAGAATCGAAGAACCATGTCGCCAAACTGGACACATCTCGTGCGTTTCTTGGCCGAGGAAGATGGTCAGATCCATCTGGGGCAGGTGGACGCAAAGAAATGGCCAGATGTTGGCCTTGCACTCCACGAGGGCAGCAAGATTACAGCCAAGCTGGTCGAGGGCAGCGTCTTCGATGGTGTGGTGACGGACAAGACTATGACCATTACGCAGCTTCTTGCCCCCTTGCGGATAGATGAGGTGCCAATCATCCGCTGCCTGGGACTCAACTACCGCGATCACGCAAAGGAAGCCAACATGCCCATTCCCGATGTCCCCGTTCTCTTTATAAAGCCTCGAACGGCCCTGAATGGCCCAGCCCCGGCGAAGATCAACATCCCCAAATTTGCTCAGGACGGGTCTAGCGACTACGAGGCAGAGCTATCGTTCGTCATCTCCAAGACTGGGCGAGACATCCCCAAAGAGAAGGCGTTGGAGTACGTGCTGGGATATACGTGCAGCAACGACGTCAGCGCGCGCACGCAGCAGTTCAAGAACAGCCAGTGGTGCTTCTCAAAAGGTAATTATTTTGGCTTTTGACTCTAGCTTCGATTCCCGCAATTTGACATGTTCCCGACTCACCATCTCTCACTACCTAGGACTCGACGGCTCTTGTCCGATCGGCCCAGTTCTGGTTGCGCCATCGGCTCTCAAAGACCCCCACAAGCTTCGGATCAGGGCCATTCTGAATGGCAAGACGGTGCAAGACTCCAATACTAGGTGAGAAACAAACACACCAACCTGCCATCCCTCACACTAGACTAGCTGACAAACCGAAACCAACATAGCGAGATGATCTTCGACATCGCGGAAACCATCTCGTTCCTCTCGCAAGGTACGACGCTGGAGCGCGGAACCATCATCATGACGGGCACTGGGCCGGGGATTGGGGCGATGCGCAATCCAAAGATCGCGCTGCAGGCGCAAGACGACATGAGGGTGGAAATCGAGCAGATCGGCACACTGATCAACACTGTCTACTTTGAGTAGACATGCCTGTAACTTGCGGGTGGAAGGACTTTGTTCCATCGGTAATCCAATAAGTACCATTGGCGGTCGAATTTCGGGGCAACTCTCTTCCTCGTCTCCTCTCCTCCAGATCTATGGGGAGCCAATCATGCTGTTGCCCACTTGCCCAGTGATGGGGGACAATCGAGTTCCCCCGCTTTCCCCCACTTCCCCCCACATTACAGGGCAGTTCTGGCCAAACCAAACCTCGCCCTTCTTTCCCCGCCTCGTTGCTCGAATTATTCCTTGCTTTTTACCTTTCTAGTATACAGCGATTCTCTTCTATTGCGTGTATACATGTAACTACCAAAGAGGACGAGAATGCGGTCTGGGGTTGTATGCGAACAAGGACCCATGCAGGGCAAATCTGCCATCGCTTGCCATTCATGTCGTCGGTGCGTTTTCTCTCACTGTGGGGTGTAATTATTCGCCAATTTCTAACGGATGCTGGTCGACGGTGCAAAGGCGAAAAGTGAAATGGTGAGTGTGTAGCGATGACGGAACGGCAAAACTCTCCCTGATGGCCATGCCCAGTGTTGATAGCATTCCCCAGCGATCGCGAGTTCCCTCGATGTCGCGTCTGCGAGCAAACGGCCCAAGTCTGTGACTATCCCCAACGGGCGATAAAGCCAGGGCCAAAGATTGGCAAGCTCTCTCCACGGGCAAGAATTGGCGAGGAGAAGGAATACTGACAGCAAATCAGGATCCACGCAGCGGCAGAAGAAGTGTTACCGAAGGCATCAATTGCCAAAGACGGACCAGCAAGACAACCGCTCTAGCTTCCTGGACGATGGTGGTGCAGGACACTACTCAGATGGGGCCGGAAGCGACGGCGAAGACATATCATCCCTTTCATGTCGAAAAAGACAAGACAGGAGCGAATGGAGCCAGGATCGCCGGAATTCTCGACTCAACATTAGCGATCTCTCCTTTATTCTCCACCCGGCTCATGAAGCCTCGTCACCGGATAAGGAGCCGCCTTCAGGGTTGAGAAGGGATGGCGGTCCGGTTCGGGAAAACCAATCTCTCATCCAGCAGGCCTGCTACACGATCGGCCTATCTCATACCACCTTAGAACATATGTAGGTCATCTTAGCCCAAAGAGTCCCCGTTGCGTGGCGTAACCGTCTGGTTGTCACCTGGACTGACTGACTGCTAAACTGCTTGTCACGACAGGGTCCGTATCTACTTCAAGAACATGGTTGCCATTAGCCTGTTCCACGAACCGTCTTTTCCTCAGAAGCTGCGCAGCATAGACTCCCCAGTGCAGATCTCCGCACTGCTGGCAGCTCTCGTTGGATTCGCTGCCCGATTCTATCCTTCGGAAACGGACCTCGTGGCGGCGGAGGGGGACCATGTCGCCGACCCAGAGCATTTTCAGGCAATGGCTTTGAAGCTTATCGACGAGGCACTCGCATGCTGTGGCGACGAGGCACCACCCATGTGCGTCGTCCAGGCACTCATTGTGGCAACACACTGTCAGCTCACCCGAGGAGTGCACGGGAGGGCGTGGAGGTCGCTCGGCATGTGCGTGCGCTTAGCATACGAGCTAAATCTGCACTTGGTGGACGCCCGAGGGGCGGTTCAGGCCACTACTCGGGAAGATTCGCGCAAGTGGCGCGACGAGGAGGAGAAGCGGCGAGCGTGGTGGGCTATCTGGGAGATGGATGTCTTCGCCAGCACCGTCCGGCGCACCCCAACCGCTGTGGACTGGGCCCAGATGGAGATCCTGCTGCCCGCGGACGACGCCGACTGGTTCCACGACCGCCCGGCACGGAGCTCATTCATGGAGCGGGACCCGGTCAGGCGGTGGAAGGTCCTCCAGGACTCGGGGAACGGGTCGCCTTGGGCTTGGTTTCTGGTCATCAACTCGCTGATGAAAGACGCGCAGGTCATTTCGAGCCCCCGTGGCGTGCCGTCCCAGTCGGACCAAAAGTCTCGGCAGCAGTACAATCGCCGCAAGGGCAATTCTTCCCATCTCATCGGTCCAGTCGAAGAAGCGCGTCAGAAGCTGGAGATTCTCGCCAACGCAGTGCAGTGCTTTGTGCTTGCGCTGCCTGCGCACCTTGAGTATCGCAACCAATACCTGAGCTTCGACGGCGCTGTAGCCGCCCCCGGCCGGATAGAATCGCTGCAACATCTCCATAGCGGCATCCACAACATCTTCATGATGACCCAGCTCGCCAGGCTCATGATCTACCGGTACCATCTATTTGGCGCCCATGCCCACTCCCCTCAGTCCGGCGGCCTGACAGGACTGTCCAACAGCCCAGACGATGCTGTGGGACAAAGTTTGCCTGGATTTAACGACCTAGGCAACTCGTCAGTGCGACAATACTTTGAAGCTGCAGACAACATCCTGATGATTGTCAGTCGCAGCTGCGAGGACCACATCCGGTACATCAATCCTTTCCTACCGAGCACTATCTGGCTGGCAGCCGCTGTGCAGCTGGTCCGGAAATACGTCAAACCTCCAGCCAGCGATCCCGGCCTCACCCAGTCACGATTTGACGTCCTGTATTTGACCTACAAGCGATGCGCAGTGTTTTGGGAAGCGAAGACGGCGATGGGCCAGAACTTGGAGATGCTGGAGATGCAACTCCAAGCTCACTATCACCAGCACCCTGAGCAAGGCGAACACGTTCACCCGCCGCCCGAGACCATTGGGGTTCCCCCAGGCCAAAATGCTAGGACGTACCCGGGCCGGAATCTCCCCAGATCCACCTCCAACGGCCGAACAGGTGGACTGCTTGACTGTAAGACCGGGTCCTCTCTCACACTACGTCGAAAACACATTCGCAACTGACAATTCCTTCGCAGTGGTCCCGGATCAGTCTAACAGGACCCGACCCAGCCACGACCACCACGACGGGAGCAGGTACGTTCGATACTTGCCGGGAACTCCTCCAAACCAAGCAACCACCCAATGGGCACAGACAAGCAGAAACCAGTATCCCGAGACGCAGTATCAGTCATTGAATCTGTCACACAGCGAGCTAGGGACGGCGGCTGCAGCCAACAACGCGGCCCTTGATTTTATGCGGTTGCCAGCACGCGCAGAAAGGAACTACGTACTTGAATCAGATTCCATCTCCACAACACTCTCACCCACAATGATCTCGCCACTTGACGACTCTTCTGCTTCTCTCGCAGCACATATAGGGGATATTCAGCCACACCATATAGATTGGCACAATATGGACCTCCCGGTTGACATCCAAGCCCTGTTATCTGGAATGTCAACTTACTAGCAAACCTGCTCAATGTACTTTATTTGCTTCCTGTTATACTATTAGCCTTCATACGGCACTTGGAAAGTAAATTTAATCCGTGATCACTGCTTCAAAGACAGCAACATCCCCGTCCCCCCGACCCCTCGTGACAGCCGATGTACTCAAAGAGTTGCTGTTCTGGCTGCAACACCAGCACCTCGTGAAACAACCTCAGCGTGATGTTATCGTTCAGCTTCTTTGCGTACTTCAGGAACCCACCGAAGATGTCTAGATGCGTGACGTGCTCCCTACTCCAGCGCTCAAGCGATGCCAAGTCGTCGAAGTAGGCGAGGCCAAAGGTCCGATCCATCTTGTCCAGCCGCAGCGTGGCCTCGTCGACGATATCCATGAAATGGCAACTGTAGCACCCAAACTCTCCGCCGTGATCCCGCAGATACTCCATCCCCTTCTCCAGCACCGGGTGCATCGTGCCCAGGTACAGCTCCCGCTCCTCCGGATACGTGTCCAACCAGTCCTGCCCAGACCGTATCACCGTCAGATTCTTCTTGCCGGGGACCATGATCCGCCGCCGCCGACCGCCTTCTCTCCGACCAGCGCGTCCGCCTGCGCAGCCGGCAGCCGGTGCCGCGTGCTACCCCAGTAGACGTGCTCGCTCACGGGCCCGCTGACCGCCTCCCTCATGTACGCTGCGCCCTCGGGGACGTCCGCGTTTGAGAAGACGGTCTCGAACCGGTCCATGGTGGGGAAGAAGATCTCGCGAAACCAACCGTGCGGCGGCGGATGATGCTGCTGCGTGTTATTCTCCTCGCCCTTCCCGTCTCCCTGCTCTTCTTCCTGGTCCAGGTCGTCCCACCATGCCTGGAACCCGTTCGTCGCGGCCCAGCGCTGGTATGTCTCGATGCTGGGTCAGTACGCTAGCGTGTCGACGTTGTAGAAGCCGCGGTTGTCGGTCACGGCGGCGAGCTCGGAGAAGGATGGGCGCGCAGCGGCGGCGGAGTTGTCGGTGGTGTCGTGGGAAGGACGAGGGAGGAGGAACCCGGCGAGCGTCGACAGGGTGGGGCTGTTGTCGGCGTCGGCGCGGTGGTCGAACTGCGCACCGATGACGGCCACGACTAGGTCCTTGGCCGACGAGGGGAAGCGGGCACAGTAGGCAGGGAAGGGCGGGGTGTAGTCCGGAGGCAGCTTCGAGGGCTGGGTCCTCTCACGCTGAAGATGCGGCGGGATGGCGGGTTCAAGCATATTGGCTCGGTACTCTGTTATCTGAGGATTCTCCCGTGTTGAGAGGGTGCTGCTGGAAGGAGACCAAAGGGAGGGCGAGGCGACGAGGAGGCGTCAAACAAATTCAGAGCATGGCAGAAATGCAAGGGAACCTGGGCTCGCTGGGGTACCTCCCAAAGGAACATGTCACTTTGTGGAAACTGTAACTGGCCCCCACTAAGTCCTCGAGTTGAAAAGGGGTGACTCTTGGGATATAATATCTGCATGGTTGTGTTTGCTTGTGTATACGAGACAAGGTTCTCAACTTCTCTGCAAATAACGGACCCTTGCGGGGCCGGATCATTTGCCATATGCGGGCTACTGATACATCCCAGCATAGTATTCCGGAAGCCGTGCCCGTGGAGGTTCAAGGGTTCTACACTAGTGTATTGTAGGGTACCATTAGTTCCCGGTTTAAGTCCCGAGCTAATGCAGATCTTGCTCCTCTTTGTGCTTGTCTCCCAAACGTTTGATGCCCTTGGCCCGGCTCTTGATGATACCCGAGCAGAGGAGCATGTCGATGTTGCCATCACGTAAAATACCGATCAAAGTGGTCCCAACATCCAACCCCTTTTTGTCTTTGGTCTCCTCCATCCTCCTCTATGGGAGACTCACGTAAGAGACAGCCTTGGTCCCAACGGAAAAGTCTTCTCCACGTCATCATACTCTTCCCATGCTTTGTCGGGTTAGGAAGGCTGTCGACTGGCAAGCGCTGACACCTCTCTCGAACAATCGAAGCTTGGATCTCCGGCAACGAAAACTGGTTAATATCACGGCGGTTGCTTGCATTGCGGCGTATCTGACTACGATCATCGTCATCCTCACCAAGTGCGTGCCAATCCACAGGAACTGGCAGGTGTATCCTTATCCCGGAGGTACGTCGTACGAGAGCCTCCCCAAGGCACCTTTTCAGAGTTGACAACACCAGCTAACTCGTCATCGGGGTCCCTGATTGCTTCAGATGCATGTGCGTTGAACATGCTTTGGTGGTGACCAATATCGTGTAAGCAAACTACATGCGAAGATGCCGTTCACACAAGCAACCACCGCCTGGGTTTATACAAATATAGAACCGACATGATGATTGGTTCCATCCCGCTCCCGTTGCCCCTGCAACGGTATGTTGACCGAATTTGACGCTTGCAAGACCCCTTAATCATTTGGGCTAATCACTGCCGCGACCAGCAAAATCCTCTGCGGCATGTGGCTCTGCACCGGCCTCTCCATCACGGTCGCCACACTTTTACGCTGCATACTGTGTCTCAAAGACGTCGATTCGATTAATGTCGGCACCACTTGGTCCATTCGGGAAACGGTAAGCCACAAATGACACCAGATCCCCGCTCCACGTCCCCCAACTACCCAACCTCTTGCCTTGGTCATGCATCATTCGGGAACCTCTTAGCCCAATTAGACTGACAACTTGCCCGTCTCCCCTTCACCACTGATAGTTCGTTGGGATCATCGCCGTCAACGTCCCCGTCCTCGGCCCATGGATCGCACGAACCGCCGTCCGCACCATCAGCACCGCGAAGAGTTCCAGCGGGTTGAGGGGCGGTGGCGGCCGCAGCAACATGAACTCGCCTGGCGCAAGCGACGCTCACAAGGGCGGCGGGCACCAGCTCTTGCGACTGGAGCGCCGGGCCAAGGAGAACCGGGTCCGACGCGGCATGGGCTGGACGACCATCGAGGAGAATGGCAGCGAGGAGGGGATCGTCAAGGCCGAGGACGAGCTCGAGTCACATCAGAGGAATCATGGCGTTGAGATCTCGGCGAGAAGTGAGGGCTCGACTGGTGGGAGCGCTAGTGAGGAGTATGCCGATGATATGCAAGGGATTCGTATCAAGAGGACAAATGACCTTTGCACGATGGCGTGATGGATGTACGCGGCATATTAGGAAGAGTTGCAAAACAGGCAAGGGACGCAACCAAACAAGGAGTGTGCTCCAGCAGCCAGTAAACCTAGATGTATTATTAATATACAGAGGGAAAAGAGATTGAATTAACCAGAATTTGAGTTGGCGATCAGGATAAAATTGTACTTTACAATACGCTTGCTTCGCCAGCGGCCCAGTATCTCGTAAGCTCGGCATAGCCAAGGTGCCGATTGGGCTGGTCGCCGTGGGCGTGCCAGCGATTTTATTCGCTGATCCAATCAGAGGTTGGGGGAGCTGAAAGGGAACCTCGGCTCCTCGCATTCGCTTTCGCATTCTACCATATAAACGGAGAGATATTTACGCCGACTGTGAACTGCTCGCCTGCAACGCTACAGCGCGCCTGGATGGCATCAATGATTCTGTAGGCCTCGGGTTCATTCCATTGAAACCCTCCTGGAACAAAATTATTCGACCAGCGCCTTCGGGTAGCTAAACCAACCACTGCGACTCTGACGTCACCCCTCCGTTCCCTGGAACTATTTATGTCTGCAAATCCCTATCCTCAGTTCAACTTGATGTTCGCCATAACTACTATTGAATCACAGACCGCCAACCCGCCTATCGGACGATATGGCTTCTCTTGAGCAACCCAAGATCAAGCTTTACTGGTAAGGCGTGAGCGCGAACGACAGCATCCTTCCCTGTGTCTCCCTCTAACACCCTCATTTCAGGCTCAACGCGTCCAGGGCGCAACGGATTCTATGGCTTCTCGAGGAGCTGAATCTCACATACGAACTGGTGGTCTTCCATCGCGACAAAGACATGTTTGCACCACCAGAGCTGGCCAAAATCCACCCCTTGGGCAAATCTCCACTAGTTTCCATCGCGGCTCCTGGCTCAACCGAGGAACTCGTCCTTGCAGAGAGCAGCTTCATTGTCCAGTATCTCTGTGATCACTTTGCCCAAGGCACCAACCTGGTGCCGAAGCGATACAGGCCTGGACACGAAGGCAAGGTCGGCGGCGAAACCGAAGAGTGGCTGAGGTATCAGTACTTTCTCAATTTCTCCGAGGGGAGTCTGATGCCGAACATGCTCATATCCTTGGTCCTCTCTAGTAAGCAAGAAGAACCACACCATAGGAGTTGAAGGAATACAAAGAATCAGTCCTAACGCACAGTCGACAGTCTTCAAAGGCGACAAAGTGCCCAGAGTGATCCGCCCCGTGACGGGATTTGTCGCGAATAAAATCACCGCAGCTTTCCTCGACCCTAGTGTCAAGGGACAACTCGCGTTCCTCGAATCCCAGTTGGCCACTTCGCCAGGAGGCGGCAATTACCTGTGCGGCCAGCACCTTACTGCCGCTGATATCCTCATAAGTTATCCTCTCCTCGCTGCCCGAGGGCGATTTGCGCAGCTGGTCGTGGATGGGAAGAAATTGTCGGATGCATATCCGAAACTATGGGCTTATGTGAATCGCCTCACTGCAGAAGCGGCCTACAAGAAGGCCGAAGATAAGATCGAAGAGATTACGGGGGAGAAGGAGAGTCTGCTGCCACATTAGTTTTGGTATTTGATGCGGGTCGAGCTGCGCTCTGTGTATGGTATCGAGAAAACTAGGGCTACGTAACTACTTGTGCTGCGAGCATCTGTCTGTCTTTCAAAAGATGTTGAAAGTTGTCGCGTTCTCATGCCCCGATCCCACTGCTTCGCCATCCATAACGCCATCGCAGTACGCCTCTCCTACGTATTGCCATGATGTATCACGACCAGACAGACTCGAGCCGACCCTCTGCCTCAAGATATGCGGTACCGTTCCACCAAAGAGGAAAGCAACGAAATCCCCGTGCATCATGCCACCAGGGCCCAGTCCAATGTACCCCTTCTCAGTCAGATAAACCCTCCGGCCAATATTCTTCAGTAGATTTTCTCGGTACGTGCTCATATCGTGCCCTATGATCAAGTCCGAACTGAGCCCAACCTTGGTCACGACCTCCTTACTCCCCGGGTCATTGAAACGAACGCCTGTGAACCTGCGACGGATCTGAAGGTACTTGGAGAACAGGACAACCGCCGCCGAAGAAGCACAGATACCGAGTGCATCGACGAGGAACAGAGCCGCGCCTTTCAGGCCTGTCTTGAGTGCAGAGATCGGATCCAATGCGCAGAGTCTGAGAACATCAACCTCGCCAACCGGGACACAGTACCAGGGGATAATGCCGACGGTGCCGATTATTCGATTGATATGGTACGACTTGACCTGTCGATCCGTATCGATGAGCCTCTGTCCCCATTTCGCAGCTTCCCCGTGAAGCGCCTGGAGCTTTTTGGTTGCCTCCGTTGTCGAACCCAATGCCTCCGAAAAGTGTTTTTCCGACAGAGCCGCGTCAGAGAGCCGCACGGCTGCCTGGAGGCGTAGCTCCTCGTTGGAACTGTATGGAAAGGGGCAAAGGGGGTTGTCACTCGCGAGCTGGAGGAACTCGTCGATCTCGGTGGTGAACCTTCTCACCGAGCGAAAGTCAACTAGAGCCGTGACCTGGCGCTCTGGGTCGCTGTGCATGCTTTGTCGCCCGACCTGAATGATTTGGTCTATCACCATGCCTTGGACAGCCAACCTGCCCAGCTCTAGGTCGACGTTGGGTTCTTGCTGATCGTCAACGCTTCGAGGCTTGAAGACGGGTGTTGTCAGATTTGTGTATGCATGAGGCACCTTCAGATCCATCGACCAGTCCGGCACCCATGAAGGGAGGCCGGCGACCCGTTTCGGGGACTGGGAGAAGAGCAGGACGTCTATGTTTTTCCGTGCCAGCATACCAGCAAACTCGGTGTAGACCTTGATGGCATCCCCATACCGCACAACCAGCCCGTGAAGAGAGTCATCATCGCCTACCAGACCTAGGAGCCCATAGAGCCGGTCTTCGGGCAGCGTGGCCCCAATCTTGGGCCCGTCGTCGTTTACATTGTACTTGAGCAATACGTCATAGAGCTGCTGCCGCCTCCCAGCCGTGTGGATGGCTTTGCGCTCTTGGAAGATTCGAATAAGGCCTCGGGTGACGGTCAAGAGTTCGTTGCGACGACGGACCTCTCCCTGTGAAACGGAGTGCTGCACGTTGTTCAACCAGTGCGTGTTATAGATGTTGTAGAAAAGCGTACCGCTTCGAAAACAGTCGAAACAAAGCGAACGAGTCCCCGAGACAAATATGACACTGGGTGCCAGACACGATTCCTGGATGATCCAGAGGCGGTTGAACCAGGCCCGGCCGAGGACATCCGCAAAGCCGTCCAGCGGGTACCGATGCCCGTATTGTGCAAGAAGCCACAGGATATCGTCCCTGTCCTCGCGCTCCGCAGCTGTTACCTCGCGGCTTGGATCCATTACGGCGTCGAAGACGTTCATGAAGTGGCCGACATTCTGTCGCATGAATCGGCTCAAGATCCCCTCGTTGCAGACTTTGAGTGTAAAATCGAACCACTTGTCGGACGATCTGGATGCTGGTCCCAGCCAAACAATCACCCGGGCGCAGTTGGTGTAGATGTCCCTCATCAGCGGCACCTGGCTGCCCTTCTCTCCGTCGTCAGACTGGTTGATGCATATCTGGTCCACGAACAACGGACGATCCGCATAGTTTGTGGCTGCGAGGTGGAGCAGCGCAAGCTCGAGAGGCCTGAAGATTCGCAGCTCGCGGCTGCCGTCCGGCGTCTCAACGATTACGCGTCGATCCGGCTGTCGCAGGCCCTGCACACCCCAGGTATATGACAGAGCGTCATACAAGCAAGCAGCATCGAGGTCAACTTCAATGATCTCAAGACGCACGGTGTCTCTGGAGCTAGGCAGATAGGATCGAATCGGTTTGAGGAGCTTGATCAATCGGAAGACGCGTGGTTTAGCATCAATAGGGGCGTATTGATACATGGGCGCCCATGGTGGGCTTGTCAGGGGCATTTTCGGTGGCAGTCCCGAATCTGAGCACGGTCAAGTGCTGCGGTTGGAATCGGTTGGGGGGGAGGCATAATTATAGGTAACGCATGGCGCAACGCGATTTGGCTGTTGGCATGCTCAATGTGTACTAGGGGCCCTGCATGCTGGTCACAATATTGGCGGGCGCAGTAGGTCTAGAATCTTGGCAACGGGCGCACGTCTTTCCCTTCCTAGCAGGGGAAGCGGTTTTAACTGGTCGCCCATTTTTGAGAATTACATGCCAAGAAGCCACCGAATCTCCACTGTGGCACGGTAATTAATCCCTCGCCCGTAGGGCTGCAATAAGACAGGTGAGCGAGATATTACTCCTTGTCCAGCTGTTTTGCTCAACGCAAGTTTTCAATATTTGTACATGCATACACACCTCTAACCAGAGGTGCAGCGAGAGCATGTGTTCACGGTTAGCCCTTGACCGTTCTGTGAAGATAGAGTCCGTCCGTCCCACCGTCTTGTATGTAAAGACGCCGCACCCACGTGGAAAGGGCTGCCTAACGTACAGTTTATCGCCTAACAACTAATTAAATCTAGCTGCAGTGAGAAAAAACTAAAAGAGCTAGAGAGATTAGGTGTCAGAAACAACCAACAAGAGAGTCTTGAGTCTCGTCTTTCAATATGCTGTGGTGCAGTCCATAGTTATTGCGCTGCCACCGAATATTATTCGCACAGGGGCCACTGCTTGACATGCATGTCGTTTAGTTCGTAATACGCCTTTCAACCTATTCGGATTATCCATGCCTTCATTTCCACTCCATGCCCTCTTTAAGTTGCACTGTGCCCGATGATGCAACATCAACCTGGTCAAGCTGCTGCTGCTGCCCGACAGCCGCTCCGTCTAATGCGGATACAAATATTGGATGCAAGGAGACTCTGCATATCAACCGCTACAATTTCTTGAGATAACCGGAGTAATAATGATTGGATACGAGACGGGGAATTAGAACTAAAAGACACACAGATCTCTCCTTCCAAGCAGATTCCAGTTTGCGAAGATTTAAAAGTAACCTGGCAAGGAATCTGAGATTCTGGCCTTGCAACCACCAGTGAGAGCTTGAAATCCAGTGTTGGCCTTGAGCATTCTCCAGCTGCAGTTGGTGAAGACAGGCAGGACTGCCTGCCAAAACAACGTCAAATAATTAGATGTGAATTAGCGTATTCCATTAATTATCACCAGTTGGTCGGGAGATATAAACACGAAGCGGCCTCGTAATTATGACGATTGAAGAAGGGACGGAAATTATTCGCACCTTTGTGAAGAGCTTACGATTTAATCCTCGTATCAGAAGCCCCCTATAGAATCCTGCTTTGGCATTCGCAGGGAGCATGGGATTTGGGCAGCCTTTTGATCAGTCGCTGAGCTGAGGTTCTGATGTCGGACGAGAGTGTGCCGAGAATTTATTAATCTGAGGCACACACATGCTCAAATCGACCAGCAGCCGAACTGCGGCATGGGACGCGTGACCACACTGCGCCTTCGCCTATCGAAGGCTATGCAACCAGGATATTCTCCGCATGGCCAGCGCCATGATAAAACCAAAGAGTTGCTCCGCCGAATTGACAATTGAAGGCAACCTCAAACGCAGCTACGCAGATTGACCGGGTGGTACTATCGTCTCAATAATCTTTCCTCACCACGCCATTATCCAATTACCAACTCAAAAAATACCACCATGACCTCGCCTACCACAAACGAACCCAAGAAGTCAGGCGGCTTCCGCGGGACCATGTCCTCCCTCTTCCGCTCCCCCGCCAACGACAAGTACAACAAGGTTCTCGCCGGGGCACTGGACAAGGCCAAGAAGCCCGGCGACCCGTCCACGTCGTCCGACGGCAAGACGGACAACCTGTCGGACAAGGAGAAGGCCAAGGCGCTCGTCGAGCAGCGCGACGCCGCCAGCCCGAGCGGCAGCTTTGTGTTGGGCACGTACAAGCCGCTCAGCGCGAGCCAGGGGTATGGGGAGTATTACGTTGCGAAGGAGGCCACGGGGAGGTAAACTCGTTTGGATATGGCAGGACGGAATGTTGGATTGAAGACATGCCAATGGATTGATGGTATGTCAGGTGGCTGTTGGAGAAATGAAACCCACTGGGGTTCGGTTCCTCATTCCTCACTTTGTGGCTGACTCCTACTGGAGTGTGCGGGGCAGGAAATGCGGAGACATCGTTCCAATCGTCACAACATACTTCTCAGCGATGCCCCTTTCAGCTCCATGACGTATGCAGCTCATATGATCCCCCCGCACCTAGCGCTATTCCCAACAATCTTGATTCTTGGCAAGAGTTTCTCTCCCAACTTCACATGTTTTTACTCGAAACATCACATTATTTACTCGAAACATTTGACTGCTTCCCGCCCTGCAGAAACCCTACATTGAGGAATCGCCGACACTCACCTGCATCATGCCTCAGAACAGCGACATCGAGATGCAGTACAGGGCTGCAGAATCCATGCATGCTCACCAAACGCCAAACGTCACTGCCGCCCCGCAGCAGCAGCAGCAGCAGCAGCAAGTTCGTCGTCCCTGCCGCCTACATCTATTGAACACGTCCGCTCATGCATACTAGGGAGCTTCCGAGCAGCAGAATTTGAACCTGAGGGGTGGTGGCATGTTGCGTAAGCGAATCCATCAATCCCTCGAATCGAGAAGTTGATCACCTAGCTGCACCTGTACTAACCGACGCCCAACCCATCAGTGGATCTCTGCGCCTGCTTCATCTGCTGCGAATGCATGGAGGGCTGCTGCCACGGCATTGAGGACTGCCTCTGCTGCTGCTGTTAACCGGGGGATGGCATGGGGAAGTGAACGGGAGGGCACACAGGGCCAGAAAAGACCAGAAAGGGTGCTGAAGGAGAAGGCGGAATTCAGTCCTAGTCATTCGTGTCATTCCATCTTACAATAATAAATTAATACCAGAACCATTAAAACCCAATCACGGCGCAGTCCACCGCACCCAACACTCCGTCGTCGCAGCCGCAGCCGCAGCCGCAACAGCAGCCGCAACCAACGGCGCCGCAACATACATCTCCTGCAGGCCCTGCACCAACCTAACCGGCACCTGCCCAGTCATCTCCTCCGCCGTCCCCCCACCACCCCATCCCATAACCGCGGCCCAAGCCTGCACAGCCTCGACGCCCGCCCCGGACCCCAGGCCCGGCGCCGTCCAGAGCTCCTGGACGGCCTCCCAGGGCTTAGCGGGGTCGTCGGGCGGGGGCGGGGCGGGAGCCACGGGCAGCCAAGCCGGGTCCTCTTGGGCGGCCGGGTCGGGGAAGGCGGGAGGGGGGTCCGGGGTTACGTCCTGGAGCTGGGAGAGGACGGCGTCGAAGGAGGGGATGAGGTCTTTGCTTAGGATTGGGGGGGGAGGTTGGAGGAGGACGCCGGTCATTAGGGGGACTGTTGGGGGGGATGTGCCGTTTAGGAGGGTTGTTGAGCCTTTTGTTGGGTCGGTGGAGGGGGAGTCTGGGGTTGGTGGGGGAGGGGAGGGTCAGTGGGTTGAAGTGTAGAGTTGATATGAAGGGGAAGACGGGGGAATTGGTGCTTACATGCGTCCCAGAGGGCCCTGGGGACGTTGCTGATTGTTGCCTGGAGCTCCCACTGCGGCTCGTAATCCTCCATCTCATCAATCACGATCGTCACGTTGAGGTTCGACGTGATGGCAGTCTCCTTGTCGGTGATGTACATGGGCCGCGAAAATATGTCAACGGTGTCCGGCTTGGGGGCGTTGTACACAATGGGCGTCTCGCTCGCGGGGTACACAGTCACGGTGCTCAGGGCAAACACGGCGTCGATGGTGAAGCTGAACGTTCCCGCCTGGACTTCCCATATTGGAGCGCCGTCATCGTCATCGTCGTCGTCATCCTCAATTTCAGTAAAACGCCCGATGGGTTGCCTCTTCTCTTTCGACAATGTCGACCACGAAGACGACAACGACGACACAGGCGCCGCCGCCGACGGGAGAAGCCCGCTCTGGGCGGTGATCACCTGGCCCGTGGCGCCGCTCGAGGCGTCCTGCTGCAAGACCAAGTCGTAGAAGTCGGCGAGGGAGATCGGGGCGGGCGCCGTGGTGTTCTGGGAGCCGAACTTGATGTCGAAGCCGAACACCCAGAAGTTGACGTGGCACGTGCCGGAGACGGGCGGGCCCTCGAGGATGAGGGTGGCGCCGATCTCGACGCTGATGCGGATCGTGACGAACCAGAGGTCGAGGGTGAACCTCACGCCGACGCTGACCCCGCCGCCGGCTGTGAAGGTGAAGGGCCGGTAGTTGATGAGGAAGTCGGCGTACGCGTCCAGGAAGGCCTGCAGCACGCCGAGGCTCAGCGAGGCGTGTAGAAGGCCACCGGCCATTGCCACGTTGGGCGTGATGGCGAAGTATGCCTGGCCGACGATGGAGATCGGCCCGAGCGACCAGGATATCTGGAGGCGGGGCGGGACGGGGTACTGCGGCGGCGGCTTGTACAGCTGGTGGTATCCGCCGATGGTGAAGACCCAGTCCCCCTTGGTCTGCTGCGGGCCGTCTTTGAACCAGTAGTACAGGGCAAAGCCTCCGGATAAATGACACGAAGGATCCAGGATGAACGACGACGGCGCCAGCTGGGCCTCGAACTTGGCCACGCCGAGGCCAAAGTCCACCGTCGCGAGGATGCCGAGCTCCACGTGGGCGAGCTTGAACTCGGAGGCGCTCGAGGGGACATCGGCGACGGCGACGGCGAAGATGCCGAGCTTGACGTCCGTGTCCCACTCGACCACCGCGACTGCCGTGATGTTCAGCATCTCAAACGCCGACACGGTGAGGCCGGCGGCGACCCAAAAGGACCCGTCCAGGGGCTTGAACCATTTGGAGTTGATGAGGGCCAGGAAAGTGTCAAGGGTGGGGTTCGTGGTGACGGGCTTGACGGCCGGCATCTGCAGGAAGGGGAACGAAGGCACCTCGGCGACGGTCGGCAAGGTGATGGCGCTGTTGTAGCCAAAGCCCCCGGTGACGCCCGAGATGGTTGCAAACTCGAGCGTGATGAGCGGTCCCTGGAGGTTCGCAAACACAAACGCCGTCTTGAACAGTTGCTGCGTGAGGGGATCCGTCAGCTCCCCGTAGCCTCCCGCGGCGAGGAAGGCCCAGGGGACAAAGGCAACGTCCACTCCGCCAGCATAGAATGTCCCCCCAGGCAGGGCCTGTTTGATGAGTCCGCCGGCGATCGTCACCGGGGGTTTGTTGAACGAGGCGGCCATACCCTGCAGGGACACGGAGATGCCGTTCCCCGGAGTCGGGAAGTTGTGCTGTAGACTGTGTCCGTGCCCGAAGTCGAGGTCGATACTGAACCCCAACAGGGCCATGGCGATAGGCCCGATAGCAACCGCCGCGTCGAGACACACCGAGAGCGTGGAGTTGCTGAACTTGAGCCCGATGTTGGAGATGGAGAAGGGTCCAATCGACTTCTTCATGGCAGCCTTTGTAGTGCCCCCTCCCGCATCTGCCGGATTCGAATCTTCCTCTCCGTCCGCCGCACCTACTTGCTGTTCTTGTTGCCCGGCGAGCACAACCGCCTCCCTGCTGGGCGTCCGCCGTCTGCTTGGAACCACGGCATTGGCGCCGTGCACGCGCTGGTGTAGAGCATGAGCCCTCAGCGCCTCCACCGGGGGAGGCACATACGAGTCCGCCGGGCTTGGCTGTCCGAACACGTAGTCCATGACCACATAGGGCGCGCCCGTCTTTGGATCCTTCAGGACGAGCACAAGGTGGAAGCCTGCCTGAACTATGACGTCGTTGGCCTTGTAGGCGCTCTCGTCCTTCGTCAGCTTGTAGTAGATCGGATCGTCGGCCAGCACCGTGTTCAACAGCGCGACCTCGGCCTTTGTGAGGCCAGCCGGGCCGCCCTTGGGAGTCGTCTTGGAACCGTCCTGAACCCACATAAAGTACATCTCGTCAAAGGGCTGCGTGAGATTCCCGATGATGGGCACCTCCACGGCGGGCAGCAAGTTGACCTCCAGCCTCAAGAAGCGCTTCGACGCAGTCGTGTTGGCGTCCCAGGTGGTGCTGCGGAACTGGAGGAACGTAAAGGAAACGGGGCCGACATTGACCGAGACTGTAAACAGGACGGTTTGTGGGGAGCCGGCGTCGTCAGAGTCGCTGTCGTTGTCCAACCTCGCCAGGGTGAGGTTGACAAAATCCCTCGCATCTGCCGCCTCGTCGTCGTCGTCGCCGCCATGCATTGTATTCCCAGGGGGTTTTGGTTGTCCGACAGGGATATCGCCCACACAAGACGGCAAGTCCACCGTCCCGTCGCCGGCAATGCTGTCCAGAATCTCCTGGATAGTGCATTCCTCTCCATTGGCGCCGACCTGCGCAGTGAAGCTCCACGTGTTTTCGGCCGTGTAGTTAAACTGCAGGTCGAGCTCTAGCTTGCCGATGGCCAGGGCTCCGGCGAATGCAAAGCTCTTGGCTGGGTTGGTCTGGCCGGAACTGTTCTGGTAGTGATATTCTAGGTGCAGGTAGAGCAGCTGTATGTGCTGGATCAGGGCGGTCGCGGCAGATGCCGAGTTTGGGTCAAAGTAGTCGAGGAAATGGGCGCCCTGCATGCCGGGACATTCCACGTCGGCCTCGGCATCAAAGCCGGACTGGCTGTCGTATGCCAACAGGCCACGAAGCTCGATCGGAATGATCAGAGACTGGATCTGGGGGAACATGGCGACGGCGAACTGGAAGGACAGGTCGAATGCCTGGGTGGCGAAGGTGTAGCTCGCACTGAGTGACAGCCTGCTGAGGAACAGCTTCGGGATCGTGTCAGATGAGGGCTCCAGACACTCGATGGCGCCCTGGAAGGAGATGGACGAGCTATCCAGCTGGAGAACCGCCATGATCACATCCGTGGGCACGCCGTCGGGGATGTTGATGATCTTCGGGCCGCCGGCACCCGAGCCCGGATTAGAAGGGATGAGATTGGCGAGGTTCAAGGTAGGAGCCCAGGTTGAGCCGTCGTTAATGCTCGCGGGCTCGAATTGCATGTACGGCTCATACTCCGGGAGCAGTCTACGGTCGACATCGGCGGCAGGCAGCGGTGGTGTCCACAGGGATCCTCGCAGCACGCTCCCTAGTGCCTGCGTCCATCTGTAGCTGAACAGGAAAATGACCTTCTGCGGGTTGCCGTCGTCCGACTGACCAAACTTGACCCCGAGCTCCAGGTCGATTCTCACGTCCTCGATCGAGCCGGTCGGAATGCCGGTGGTGGGGTCCAAGCCGACGGCCAACACAATGCGGCGGAGGAGCGGCAGGTCAAAGTTGGAAGTGCCCGCGCTCTGGAACCACTCGCTGAAGAGAAACTGGGCACCGGCCAGGGGTTTCTGGCTCCCGATCCAGGCCATTATCTGGCCCAGCAGGCTCCCCTGCTCGCTGGCGACGTAGTCGAACTGCAGGGTGATGGTCAGGAGAGCACCCGCAAAGTCAAGTGTCACAGACGGTACGATATCGACCCCGGCTAGTTGAACCGTCGTGGTGAGGATAAACTCCCACGTATTCAGGGCGGCGGTGCTTTCATTTGTCGTCGCCCAGACGCTCTGCAACTTGGTGATGGCCGTGATAGACTGGATGGTGAATCCGTTGAGGAAGCCTCCTATCCACGAGTTTGCATTGCCGAGTGAGGTCGAGTCGGCCACATACTGGGTGCGCACAACTGTCTTGTAGCCCTGCATAGGCTCAAACCAGAGAGCATTCCGGCTACCTTGCTGGCCCACGTCTAGGTCGAACTGAAGCTTATCGCCAAGAGCCAGCTGCAATATCTGGAGGCCCGGCAGGGCAGCTTGTCGGACACTGGCGGGGGCTAAGATGTCGATCAGGCTATAGCCGCTGACCTTGGAGGCATCTTGCAGGCCGAGGATGAGCGAGTTCTGCCACGGCACGGTGCTTGCGGGTCCCAGGCCCCAGTCCGATTGGGCGTCGAGGGCACTGACTGTCGCACTCGAGGAGAAGGTCAAACCGAGGGCCGGGATGGTCACTGCGAAGTCGGTGATGGCGCCCGACGTGGAATCGGTGGTCACGGTCACCGACGGAGTTTGCGAGCTGCCAACGCCTAGAGCCATGGCCAGCCACGCCTGGAACTCATCCTGAGAATGCAGTGGCGTCGCTGCGGGGGGACTTGGGGAGGTTGCAAGAATAAGCCCTTGTAGGTGTAGGGTTGAGACGAAGTTGTTCAAGGGGTCGGTCAACACGAGCTGGTTGACCAGCGTGCTCGGAGGAGGGGCATCAAACTGCACAACGCTCGAGCAGATAAAATAATACGGTGCCTGCAGGCTGGGTGCGTCGCCAGGGGGTGGTGGCGACACACCCAGAGTCGGAAGTTGGGAGTCCATGCCGCTGCTTGATCCATCGTCCGACATCATGTCGTCATTCTCGTCGGGATTCGTGCCGGGCGACGGGTTGTACAGGCCGGTGGAAGGCTGGGAAACCGAACTGGGACTCGTTGCAGACTTGTGCTTTTTCGTGTCTGGATCTTCGGTGCTCGCCGGGGAGGGATACGTGTCGACAAATTTCCGCTTGTTTCCCAGCACCTCCGGGTCCGAGGGAATCGATATGTCCATTGGAGTGGGAGCAACGGCGTTGGGATCTGGCCACAGCTGGTTCTCAGTCGCGGCGGAATCGTACTTGACCCACACGGAGCCGTCCAAGTCGTCGTCGTTGTGACACTCGACACGGTACCATGCGAGGGCGTCCGAGTCGTGCACGAGTGTGTAATTCGTGTCGAGCCTGGCCTGGCCAACCGCGGCATGGGCCGTGGCAGGAACAGGTGACAAGCGGCTCCAGGCGAGGGCGATGCGATCCCGAGCCCACTCCCTGGCATTCAGGTCATCCTGGGCTTTTTTGGCTGCATCCCAGACCTCTACCGGGTTGGCTAGGTTAACGCCACTGGTAGAGGCTATGGCCGCGCTCGCCTTTGCATAGATGGCTTCCAGTTCCTTTCTATACTCGGTTGCCACAGACGAGTTACTCGTCAAGATATCCATGCTCATCTGGTGTGAACGGCTCCCGGGCAGCGGCAGCCATTCCGTTTTGCCGCTCGCATCTTTTTGCTGGATGAGATAGTACGGGAACTGAGTCGATAGCAGCGGTCTGTAGGCTGCCTTGTCGGGGCCCTCGCTGTACATCCAACCCTCGAGGTAGAATACCAGCTCCCAGCCTGGGCACAAGAGGAAGAGAAGATTCTCCTGGTCAGTGACTGGACTGCCTGACAGCCTGCCTGCCTGCCGATTTGGCCCATGGCTGACTACCTAATTAACAACTAGGAAACGGACGAAAACTCACTCGGATGGCCGTTCTTCTCTCCAACGCTCGCTATCAAGCTGCGCGGATTGAACATGGCGAGCATGGCCGTGGGGGTTGAGCTCTTTGAGCCGTGGTGGCTGGTCTTCATCGTGGTCACCCAGCTTCCCACACTGGAGCGAGTCCCGTCGGTGCCGGTCCACTTCACGATCAGCCCCTCTTGGTACCAGTGCATATCACCCGCGAAGTAGTGCGACAGGCGGGGTGGAGTTCCGGGCCATATTATCATGCAGGCGATCGAGCTCAAGTTCTTGGGTCTTCCGTGCGGGTCGTTAACTACGCTGGGAATATCCGGGGGAGGAGCCTCGTCGACAGGGGGAGGGCCGATTGTCCTCTGCGAGACTCCCACTATGTAGATGCCCGGCTGGCCGCCCGGCCCCGGGGGATTGTTCTGTAGGAGGGCTGCGGGATTTGTGATGCCCTCGTATGTTGATACCGTTGTTGATCCCGAGGCCACCGTCAAGTCGGTTCCAGTCAAAATGTTGGTTCCGATGAGCGATGGATTCGTGCCTGTTGGCGGCAAGTTGGGTTCCATCCGCATCCTGACCGCATTCTTGACAATGCTCGAGTCAGGGTCGGCTTTGAAGAGGATCAAATCGACATTTGCAACTTCGGCAGTCCTGGGGCTGGGCCTGAGGTGGCAGCCCATTGTGGGTATCCCGTAAGCCGGACAGTAGACGATGGTCTTGGGTGTGCGCTTTGCTGGCGGTGTTGCGGCTTCGTATTGGAGGAAGCTCACCTCAAAGTCGGTGATGGGGCCGGTGGTTTTTATGTTCTGCGCCTCAATATCCTCCCTCATGGCGAACAGCACGCCGCACCAATGGTCCGCGTCCCAGTGGCTGATGACGACGGCGTTGAACTTCAGGGCCGGGTTGGCCACGCTGCTGAGAGGCGACAGATCGTACTTGGTTGTGAGTGCCTGAATCTTCTGGATCGTGTCAAGGATGCGTTTCTCCCCACCGCTGTCACCGCCGTCGACCAGCAATGCGAATTGGACGCTTCCCGGCCCCCCGGTACTGGGCTGGTTGACGAGCAGCTGGATGGCCGAGTCGCCGACCACGCCGAGGCCGAGGTGATAAGAATCGACTCGCCACGTAGAAGTCATGGTTGTGTCCTTCTTAACAAGAACAAGTTGGTATAACAAAGCAAAGTAGCGGCAAATATCTGATTACTGCTTCAAACCCTGCGCGGTTCACTTCTCTTGGGGGGTCAAAGGCTCTCTCTGTGCGTATCTGCTAGCATCGATAGGCTCACACCATCAAGGAGGCTAAGATCGAGGTGTGCAGCAGCTGCCTACCAGAATGGAAGATGTGAGAAGCAGCGGTCGTCTGCGTGCTTGAGAGGGCGATTCTACGGCAGTTGCATTTGGCTCATCTAAATTCGCGAGTGACTAGAGGGTCAAGAAACGCGTACGTACACACACGCGCGCGCGCAGCGTGGACAAACTGGGTACGACGGCGGCAGTGTTGCCGGTATGGTATGAGATTTGCCCCCCTCTGCTCGCAGACCGCCGCATTCCGCTCCGCAGACCGCCGCGTATGTTTCCCAGCCCTTGCTCGTGAGCATCAGCAAGCTCGAGTGTCGAAAAGCTAATTACACGAAGCGGGGCATGTAGAGCATGTCTACATGCCTTCAACATACGGACTGTACTGTACATACATTCAATGCCGCACGACGGTCTGAAGGGAGGACATATTGGTACTAATGCAACCAGTGGTCTGAGTCGTGTGTGTTTCCGGTATGACCGTGATTAGGGCTGAGCGGGCCTCGATATTAGAATTGGGGTGTGTCTGAGAAGGAATTGAGGGTGCAGGTTCAGTGACTCACATTACCGTTTACCGTTGGGCTACCCAGACAGCCACGAGACTCATGGTATTTTCTCTTCTAGTCGTTGCCAGCGTGCCAGACGTCGGTGGCGTATTGGGTAGAATGACGGGGTAACCCATCGGCCCGTTTGGTGTTTCGGTGGTGCAGAGGATGTTCCTCTCAGCCCTACAAGAGAAGTCCCGTTCCGGCGACCAGGGATTGGGAAGAACAGAAGTTCTAGACATTTTGGACTAAGACATCCGGGGAAGTGTTTCAGCCAGATGTGTCGAGTTCTCGTGTTATTACTTGACTGTCGAATGCGGCCGAAGTCTCACACTGCGGTCCGAATTGCCACAACCCTTAATTACCGATAGGAGGAAATGTTGGGGGCAGCTGGCAGATGGCAGCAAGCCGTACCAATGTTTGGGGAGTTTAACGCAGCTGCATCATAGGTAAATGGGAATACGTGCGGTATTGATTGATGGAGCGAATGGAGGTTATCTTCAAACTGGTCATTCGGTGTTGTGCTCACCTCGTGGATTTGCGCTTTCTGTTAAATCACTCTGGTCTGTTTACATACGCTTGCTACGTAGACACATCTCGCCCACTGTCGATTCTCAAAGGACCCTGTAAATTAATTCCTAACCAAGTTACCAAGAGACAATTCCTACTTCAGTGTGACTCCAAGAATACTCCCCATCCAACCCCCAACGAACCCCTATTAACGCCCCCGGCGCCTCCTCGCAGCCCCTCCAGTAGGAGGAGGAGTCGGAGGAGTTGGCGGGGGCGAAGGCGCCCCAGGCACATCCCCCCCAATCGGCCTCCTAAGCTGCATGTACCCCTCGAGCGCCGTATACGGCGCCGGCTCAAACCTGGGCCTCTGATCCACGGCCGCCATATCCATAGCCATGAATCCAGTCTCCCCTTCCCCCACCCCCACCGGTCCGGGCCTATCGTAGGGCTGCAGCCACGCCCACTGGCCGGTCTGCATGGCGGGGATGCCCAGCCCTGAGCCGGGGAGGACCTTGTTGTCGTCCTTGACGTCGTAGTCATCGGGTCCCAGGGCGTAGGTGGGCGTGTAGGGGGGTGCGTCTGTGGTCGCGAGCAGGGGGCCCATGTGGAAGAAGGCTGTCATGCGGGCGAAGGCCGTCTGCCATGTCCAGGTGGGCAGCTGCGTTGGGGATGTGGGGAGGATGCCGGTGTAGGCGTGGAGGGCGGTGAAGGGGTCGACTAGGGCGCCGAAGGGTTGCAGATGGGCTGTCCATTTGGCTGCGTAGACGGCGCTGGGGTCCTTGGCGCTGACGATGGTGGTGTCCATTGGGTCGATCCAGAAGGGAGAGAGGAGGGGGTAGTTGGGCTCGGCGATCTCGGTCAGGTTCGGCGTCGGTGGCGTCGGAGGGTCGCCCTTTTTTGGTGGTTTGGGGACGAAGTGGGTGTACAGCATGGAGAGGTCGAGCGCGTCTCCTACCGTGGGTTTCGCGGAAGGGAGGAGGTAGGCAATGAGGCCGTCGTACATGCGTGATGGGTCGCCCAGCTGCATCTGGAAGCGGTAGTGGTTGTCGGGGTCATCCTTGCTTGGCAGGAGCGGCATCTCGGGGTTGGTAGGCGGGCCGAGGATGGTGCTCGTGTTGGAGAGCTGGTCCGTGGCGAGCTCGAGCGAGAAGCCCACCTTGACTAGCGCCAGGGGCTTCCCGATCAGGGCGGACAGGAATTCCGAGTAGGCTGTTGGGGGAGGGGCCGAAGTGCCCATCGACGTGTTCACCATGGCGATGAACGAGTGCAGGTAGTCCTTGTCGGCCAGCTTATCTGCAAGGAGTTGTAGCTGGTGGACGTTTGGGTCTTTCGAAACGTCAGACGTCGGCTTGTCGAACGGGAGCCAGGCGCCCGATTCGGTGGCTCCATTGGGACCGCCGAGGCGGATCTCCCGAAAGAATGTTCCATCGGGCAAGAACAGCTGGATGCCGCTGTCGGCGTAGTTGGGCACAACCCACCCCCAGACAGGGTCATCCCACTCGGTCAAGGCCTGCCAGCCCTCGGCGGTTTTTCTTGCGGGGTCCGCCGGGAGGTAATCGACAAAGGTCGAGTTGAGTCGCGCCGGCTGGTTGATGGCCGGCGGCAGCTGCACATACTGGCACAAGCCCGGCTTGTCCTGCACGACCGTGTTGGCCACCTCGGCGTCCTTGCTCGACGACTGGGGCACATAGTATTCACTGATGCAGGGATACAGCGGCGGCGGACCCTGGTCGACGGGCATCGGCGTCGGGTCGATGGCAGTGATGGCCTGCCCGAACTTGTCGATGACGTTCAGGGCGGTGAACCTGAATTGGCCATGCGTTGCTGGCTTGAATGGGCAATAGTTGTCATCCAGGTAGCTGACAAGCGTCCCATATGGCAAGAGGTCGGTGTTGATGCCCATCATCGTGAGCTGCGGCTTGTCGAAACCGACGCTCTTGCCAACATCGATGGCTGCTGCGAATGGTTTAACGGTGCCTGCCGACGAGTCGCGCACAGTGGGCTTGATGTGGTTTCCCTGGACCCGCGTGAGGAGATGGTCGGTGAAGCCCGACAGCGGGGACGAGAGGAAGGCGAGCTCGTGCAGGTTATCTTTGAGCTCTCTGGCTTGTTCCGGGGTCAGATATCCCTCGGGCAGGTTGGCGAGGATTTGCGTCACGATGGTCTGGAGGTTGAGCTCCGGCTGCGGCAGGATCAGCACTCGGCCGGACACGGTCCGCTTGTCACTCAGAGGTGGGTTGATATCTGCGAGCTCGACGCCCGGCGTGATGCCGTATCGCAGCTTCACGGGGTCGTTTGGCCAAGCTCCGCGCTGGTCGAGAGTCCACAGAGGATCCGTCACCTCGAGCGGTATGTGCGTGTATTCCGCTTCCCACTCGAGGAACAAGGGAAACCAAGCTTGGCTCTGTTCCCAACGGTCCCGCCACGGCGCCTTGCCATCCGGGAGAGCATGCTTCTTATCCAAGTCGTGGTAAAGCGGAGCTTCATAACCAGCTTGCGCCGGCGGTGGCGGTGGCGCGACAGTGTCCGGGTCTAGGGCGAGGAACTCGCCAACAAGACTCAGGGCCGCACCCTGCACCGCTGGGTCCAGCTTGGGCAGGATTGTGTTGCAGAATGAGGTCCAGGCAGGGTCCATTTCAGGGACGACCGCGGGAGCGTAGTATAGTTGCGTGTCCACGCGGGACTGTAGCTGGTTGAGGTAGTCCCACGGCCAACCCGATTCGATCCCCGCGACGAGCATCGTGGGATCACGAGCCTGGTAGTACGGTGGCAGCACGCCCATTTGTGCCAGGCCGCCAGGGATGAGGATCTTGGCCGCCTCCACGGCATTGGTCGCAACCATGATCTGGGCCATAATTGCCATTATCTTGTCCGACTTGGCCTTGACTTGGTCTGGGGTCGTCGTCGGCTGCAGGTCGGTCATGTACTGCCACCAGAAGGCGAACATCCCCCACCGGAGAAGCTCCAGTTGACGGTTCAGCCCATCGAGATACCTCTGGCAGTTGTTTAGTGTGGCCAGATTTCGAATGTCGGTTGGACTTGGAGCCGTCGGACGGCCCTTATCGCCTGAACCCCCATCGCTGCTCGCGAGGAAGTAGTGGTTGCCTCCACTGGTGCTGGAAAAGTTCCAGTTGTACACAATATCGTCTGCCTCTGCCTGCCCCTCGACGCCGTCGTCGTGAGCGTGCAGGAGCTTTTGGATCCTGAGCAGGTCCTGCTCGACCTGTTGAATGGGGTCTCCGTAGACGACGTTTGGACTGACGTGGCTCTTTATGTAGGTGAGGAGAGAATCCATGGGCGTTGTGCCGACCGAGACTGGCATGTCGCTATTCAGCGTCTTGAAGAAGTTGTCCGCCGGAACTATCGGCGGTTTGCTGCCTCCGTCCCAAAGCACATTGTACATGGCCCCGTGACAGAGAACTCGTGTCGGGTCTTTGGAGTCGAGCCAATCCTTGACACCATCTGCCGTCGTTGCATCCGCCTGGTCGAGCACCATGTTGAGTGCGGCAAGCCGTTGTCCCCGTGTGACGGTCCCGTTGGGATCCAGCGTTCCAAAGGGGTCCTGCTGGTCGCTCGAATGCCATCCTAGCACGTAGTAGCTGATAGTCGCTGTGCTCACCACCAACGGATTCCCTTTCTTATCTGTGCCGTACTGCAGGGTGTCGATTATGCTGAAGACGTTGCTGTTGTGTGGCTGGTAGTCGGGAAACAGTTGGTTCGACGAGTTGAGCAGGTTCAGGTCGACCCGGCCAGGCTGCTTGTCGCTGGGCTGCTTGGGGTTATAAGACTCAGTCCAGGTGCTCGCGGACTCCTTGTATCCGATAAAGACCTCGGCCTGCTGGTCAATGGCAGTCCCGTCGAGATTCTCAGCGGTGCCGCCCCGGATGTAGGGCGAGAAATCAACTTGGAGGTCGATGTCCGGCTTTGTCGGGATGTCATCAAGATTGTGCCGGCGGTCGCTCTCGACAACCCACGCATCTACTTCGGGCAACACATTTGGCGGGTCACTCTTTTCCACTTTGCGAATAACCAGCCATCGTGGCGGCGCGGGATTAAAGTCGGGAGCAGTTGTATCTGCCGGGATAGGTGGAGCATCGTCATCTCCCACATCTCCCACATCTCCCTTCGGTGCCCTAGTCTTGGGCTTGAAGCCAGCTTGCTCCCTCGCATTCGACTCGACCTTCTGGTCCTGGGAGATTGTAGATCCCGTGCGGTACGGTCGCGGGACAATCCAGTGAAGGTACACGCCTTGACGCTGAGTGTGCGGCAGTCCAGTACCCAGGTCGGTGAAGCGGGGGTTGAACGGGGCCGGGCCGGTCTTGTGCAGGTCGGTGAAGTTGAGGATGTCATTCTGCACCATGGTGCGCTCGAAACGCAGAAAAGTGTAGTTGGGCTGGCTCAAGGGGGCAATTTTGGCCAGGTTCTTGTTGTTATCGTCATTTGGGTGAGTCGATGTTCCGCCGCATACCGCAGCGTTGAACACGAAGGCATCGAGCTTGCAAGGAATGGCGAGGATCTCTGGCGTCGCCATTGTGTTTGGACGCTTGGCTTGACCGTGACAGAACTCGACGTCGGGTTGAGGGAGCTTCCCGCAAGGTGACTTGGAGGGGGTCGTCGTGTCCGGAAAGACTCTGCTTTGCAGACGCAGAGCTCTTCTGCTTGAGCAGGCGACACCTAATGACCATAACCCTTGGAGACGAGGTCCTGTCTGAACCCCTGAACCCCTGGATCCTTGATCGTCGGTCTTGGCATGAGCCAACCATTCCGCCGTTCACTACACGGCAGGAAGTGCTGGGAGTACAGTACATGTCGGCACCAACTAGTACGTGGATGGCACTGGAATGTAACGCTCAGCGCTATATACCAGCAAAGGAACGGCCCGGAGAAGGGAGTCCTGCGGGGTTGAGATAACAAGGGTCCACGCCATGCTGGGCTGGGGATCGACTAAAACACTGGAACACAGCCTGGCCATGTTCGGTCTGTCTCAGCCAGCCGCGTCACTGTCTCAACATCGAATTATTCTGATAGTGGCATATACGGAATACGCCCGTATGCGATAAATGCTAGTTCATGAGCGAGGTTCCTCTGTTTCGTCTTCGGTTGGCAGAGGCCGGCATGGTCAAGCTCCAACCCTTCCATCTTGCTGGAGTTTGCTACTACAAAGCGATGATGATCACAGAGTCTCCAATCGCTGACCGCTGTTGATGCAAGTCCGTCTCTATACTGGTCTTCCTGTTGTTACCCTTTCTATCATAACCGCTGGGATAGTCGCTTGCCAAACATGCCTCGCCCCTACACACGATATCCATGTGGCATCTACGGCCCACGCAACCTGGTCCGGCGCCATGCTCGCAGGTTGAAGCGGCGTCTACAAGCCGAAGCCCTGGGCCTGGTCGCCGACGAGCCACCCGTCCTCGGTCCCGGCCTAGAGCAGCTCTTCTCGTTCTACGCGCCCGCCCTCGAGGCCGGCGTGTACACGGTGACTCTCGAGCAGGACATCGTCTCGGCAGCAACATCTGAAAAGCTCACAATTCCACGGCCGGGTGACAACACCGTCAGTCAGAAATTCGAGGTTGTCGCACCAAGATTCACGCTTCCCGACGGCGCCGTCCACTCTTCCTTTCCGCCACAAGGCTACGGAGCTCTAGCAAAGACCCTACCGCACGTCGTCTTGTCTGACCCGCACTTGCCGTGGGACCGGATTGCCAGCGCCCTCCCCGACCAGAAGTCACCGGACTGGATGCGCAACCAGGTGCCGTGGCTGGCTCTGCTGGTCTTCACGGCCGACGAGCTGACACTGAGTGCCAGCCAGCTCAACGGCCCGGGCAGCCTGTTCGCAAACACGTCGCTCGGATCGGGAATTAGGCAGTCGCAGACGTGCACCATCAACATGCCGATTACGGATGTGCCCAACATCCTGTCTACCATCTCGCCTGTCGCTGCCCTGCCTCCCGAGCCTAGCGACGACAAGTCAACCGACCTCATCTTCGTCCCATCGGCGATCTTCTCCGAACTCTTTGCCAGCTACGACATCAACGGCAACCCGGTCACGCAGACGGGTCCCGATGTTTCCCGGTACAAGTATCTCGCCCACGTGCGAGACATCAATACCACGGGTATGGCTGATGCCGGAGTCGAGGATAATGGAGTCTTCGGCATTGTCGTCTCGCACAGGACAGGGCCGCTGTCCAACACGCAGCCTCAAGCCGTGGTCGCCCATCTGGTGTCCATTGAGGGTGTCGAGTCTGATTACATGAACGGGCTATGGCCCATTAACGCCGGCCAGACCCCGTATGTGGCCATGTCCTCTCTCTACAGTTGGAACTTTGTCACCTTGCCTGAGGGCTCCTTCGACATCGAGACAACCCTTGTCAACCTCGGTAGTGGAGTCAACGTCCTGCGAGCACCTGATGCTGTCATCCAAGCCGTAGATACCTCGACACAAATGGGCGTCCGGCTGCAGAAGCGGCTGGAGGACGGTTACACGCTGACGAGGTACCGCACTGCGACGGGCGAGGTCTCGGCCGCCATCTACCGCGGTCCCTTCACGCCCACACTGGTGCCATATCCTCTGATGCCGGGGAATCAAGGCCAAGAAGGGTCGACGTGGCTCTCCAACTGCGGCACCGACCTGCAGATCATGGACCCGGAAGTGGGCATCATGGACATCACATACTCGGTCGCATGGCAGCTGGGGAAGACACTGGCTGTATCGGACCAGGCATTTACTACAGCACTAGGCAAGCTGCGCACCAGCATCTTCGGCGCTGCCATGAACAATGCAAAGGGCGAGATCCTGAGGGAGCGTAAGGCATACAAGGATCGAAAGGAGACCATCGTCAGCCTGACCGAGACGATCCCAAGGCTCAACACTCTACACAGAGACACTGGGGGTCTCTTCGGGCCCGGTGGTTCCATGTCAGATCGTTGGCGCAGGACACAGCCAGAGCAGCTTGATCTTTCCTACCACGGACCGTTGATAAGCAGGATATTCAGGAAGCATGCCGACGCCATGGGGGCCAAGTTGATGATGAGTTCGAATGGAGAAGGAACCGAGAGGTACGACGAGCAGAACATGCCGGTCTCGACCGACTGGATGGTCGTTCTCACATGGGTGCTGGACAAGATGTTTCTCTACAATATTCCCGCCCATTATCTCATCGTCGACCCGACCTACCTCGCGCTGGAAACGCTCCGCTTCTTCCATGTGGACCGCAACTGGACCGATGCGCTTATCGATGGCGCCCTGAGCCTGGGCAACAACCTGGCCGGCGTCGACCAAGTGAGGCAAACCATCCACCTCATGATTAGCGAATATCTGTATCCCTCGCCGCCCGTCAGTCCCCCGCCCCAGTTTCCGCTATATGGCTTCCTGTTGCATTCAGAGGCCGTGACCCAGTACCCTGATCTCAAGGTCAGTGTTGAGCTTGTCGGCGTCTCTGATGACGCGGCTCCCATGCTACGACATGAGAATCTGGATGTGTCGGAGGGAGTCATGCTATGCCTCCTGGATCAGGTGCCTGGAAACCCGGGACTTCAGTCGATCACGTTCACACAGCCCCCGCACCAGCAGTCGTTCATCGCAGGGGCCGAGCTTGACGAGCACCACATCAAGACGCTCTACAAGCGCATCTTTACGGCCGAGGGCCAGACACCAGATCCAACGCCATGGGATGCCCATCACTGGATGAGGCCGGATGACCCGAACCAACCCGTCCCCCAGCAGCCACAGGATCCTCCGCAGGACCAAGGTGTTCCGCATGCGGCAGCCGTGTTCAAATGGGGTGCTCAGCTCGACCCAGAGGTCCGCACCCTCCTGCCGGTCTCGTGGACAAACGACGTCAATGGCGTGTTGAACTACTTTGGCGTCAACCCTAACGATCCGAGCAACCCTTTCTACTATGACGCCATCCCCAACGCCGCACTGGCCGGGATACAGCTGAACAACCCCATCTACCAACTCGTGATTGGCGAGTCGTCGTCCAGTATGGCCGTGCCGAAAGGACAATCCCCCTCGTCCTCTACTTTCCCATTCCCAACAGCCGTGCAGCATGCCGCCTCCCATCCGTTCAACCTCCCACACCGTCACCTGCAGAGGCGAAGGATTGGGAGGATGCCGCCCGCGCTTCAACTGACGACGGCCGATTTCCTCCGCGGCCCAAGCCACGGCCCTCCCCTCCTGCCCCCTCCCCACTCGCGCCCCAATCGGTCTCCGCGAACGGGCCCCCTCTTCGGCAACCCGCCCGAGGGCGACAACCCAGCGTTCCAGGGCCCCGCCGGCGCGCCGCAGTACACAATCAGCTGCGTGCCCATCGATAACGACCCATCCAACCCGGGAATCCCCTGCGGCACGGGGATCCCCAAGGACCTGGTATTCAAGATTGTGCAGATCCCGGACTCGGTCACGCCCAGCAGCTCCAAGTACCTCCTCCAGAGCTTCACCATCGTGCTGGAGCTAGCGGGCGGCGACCCGCCCAGGTGGGACTCATGCCTTTTGAGCGGGTACACTGGACCGGGCCCGTCCATGGCCAGCAATGTGCGGTTCAACGTGCTGGTGCAGGTCGAGAACGACCCGCTGCACGGCCGGTGTCTTGCGCTCCGGGTGCTGCCGCGGAGCACCACGGGGTCGGCCGAGCCGAGAATGTGCGAGGAGATGACTTTCATCCTGCCTGTGTGTGATATTTTGAAACATGACCCTGCCAAGAGGATACCGGTGTGGATCACGCCCTCGTATGTGAACTTTGACCCGGTTACGGGGGTTGATTACTATATTCTTAGCTTTCAGCAGAAGTGAAGTGGTGGACAGTAATTATGCCAGGCTGGGGCATAATCATAATTCCAATAAAGCTCAAGTCAAGATCCATTTACGTATTGGTTGCTGCCGCGCTGCAAGCGTTGTGGACCAGAGCATCTCAGCGGCGTGTATTTTACGAGGTAATCGGGTAGTGCACACGCTGCAGTTGAACGGCAGGCAATCGGATTCACCTAAGGCATAACCTCTATCATAGACTCCAAAAGGGACGCACGCTTGCAAGACCAAGCCGTATGAGATCGTGCCGGTGAGACAGTCATGTTGGCTTCCACTGCAGCCTGACGAAAGGGAAGTCCCGAGGGGATGAGCACCGGATTGAGTTGTCAGCCGGTGAATAATATGCTTTTCCCCCGAATCATCGTGCCACTTTTGCATGAGACTAGAACTATGCGTCTTACACTGAATTAGGGAGTGCTTACGTCGTCCCTCTCCAGTCTGGTAGGGCTGAGACGAATCCGGACCGACACGCATCGGTGCCATTGGTGGGCGGGCAGCCCCCATTTCAGAACACGGCCTTTTCCACGCGCCCCCTTTGTGCCCGAGACATGCTTCAATTTGAACTTGTCGTTTGATATGATGGCGGCTGTAGATCATGGTGACGCATTTTTCCTCCATCACTTGACTGTCAAGTGTCACAATATGCTTTTCGAAAATGTTTCCTACTCTTCAGTGATTAATGGCCTCGCCAGAGATCCGGTCCTGGCCAGTTTATAACAGTCGTCATATACGTGCTTTTTGAGTCTAGACAGGAAGTTCTCTGATTTGCAAGACACCAAGCTGTTAAATTCCTCTGCTCTTTGCCTATCCTTGAATCAAAATCAAACTTGATCATGGCCTACAAAGGACGTACTCGCCAAGATCTCTCCCAAAACCAGCTTGGAACCGCCGCTGCCTCGGCTCCTAACCCAATGGCTGCCATCACTTCGCTCCCCAACCCCGTTAACACGGCCAATTATCTCGTCTTTTACAACTCTCCCAACAACCGGCTCGCCGCTGTCCAGCAGGCCTTGTCTAATCTCGGCGGACCGCTGTCCGACGCTGGAGCCGCGGCGAATACCAATATCCACTCGGGCTTCGTCGCCAACCCTTCTACACTGACCTCGGTCCTTTTCCAAAGCACGGTAAATACCGACTATCCACCCCTGACCATGATATGAGGCAGACCAGCGACGGATTAGAGACCCGAACTGACTGATTGGGTCGGCTTGTCTAGGTCAATGTCTACGGCGTGCTCGATGGGACAACCAAGGGCGATCTCTTCATCTGCCGCCTGAGCCCTGGCTTCGAGCTCCTCAACATCGGGAGCCCGCCCGTGTCAACTCCCAGCAGCATCGCGGCCTGCGGCGACGGCGGCCAGAACGGCACGCTCTTCTACCTCGCGTGAGCATCAGGCTACCTGCACTACCCTGCACTACTCCGCTCGCCATGACTATGCTGACAGCAATGCAGGGTGGACGGCACCATCAGATTCATCACCCTCCCTGGGACTCAGACTACTTCCAAGCCGACGCCAATCAGCCTTTCCCTCAACCCAACTACCTATCTCGGTGCAGTCTATGGCACTTTCACCGGAAAGTCGGCCGACTCATACGTTGGTCTGCAGACCACCCAGGGACGCGTCTACGTCTGCTCTGGGTTCAGTGAGATCTGTAAGTATAATCAATATCCTGAACTCTTTTAATCCCGTGGGACAATTTGACTATAGAGCAAGGCTTTAAAGCTGACACCCTCCGCCCCCAACAGCCGCCCCCATCCAGCAGAGCAACGGACTGAAGAACACGCCCATCGCCATGGTCTTCGTCAACGGCAACCTGATCGTCTACTTCCTGGGCCCCGTGGGCTCGGGCCCGGACTCGAACACCTCGCCCGTGTGCCGCGCCGTGACGGACAACCTGCTGAACGGCTTCTACTTCTCGCTGCTGGACACGGCGCCTTCGCCCAACGGGTACACGCAGCTCACCGCGTTCCCGGCCCCCGCGCCCGGCGGCGGCAGTCCCTCGTCGGTCATCCTGAGCTACGTCCAGGACAGCAGCAACCAGCTGGTCAGCTGGGAGGATGACCTGACAGGTATAAAGGACGGTAGACAGTATTAAGAACTCTAAATTTGCCAATGTCTTTTTACTGGCTGGTTTGGGACCCGGAAAAGTGTGTAAGGCCTTTTGGGTTTGGCAGGTCTCTGGAACTTGCAGCTCGAAGACCAAGTAATTGGTATGGAGTTCAGCCATTAATATGCTCCGCCAATCATTGTAATACGAAAGACATCTTTGCCTCCTAGAGGCTTATTTTTCGACGAGTTATGTAATTCGGCACCGTCACACCCTGTCGGCTGTAAATGAAGCCATTGCGGCGACTCTTTGTTGACCCATCCAAGCCTCCTCTACCAAGCGATGGCGATGGGTCCTTGCCGGTGCATCGCATCCATAGGTTGGAGGCGGTACTTTACGACTCGTTGAACTTCCCGATGGAATAGTTTTAGGCCATCTGTGTTTCCAGAAAATGCCCCCCCAAGAGGACTCAATTGGCGCCCGTCCCCGTCCCTCCTCAATCTGACAATCCCTGCGTCGTGCGGCTGAGGTGCATATCGGGCGGGGCACCGCTGCCCGACAAGGCTGCGTCTGCACATTTCCCCTCCTCACCGCCTCTGCTGCTCATGTCCTCCCACTGAGCAGTTCTTTGTGGAAACATCCGCTCGAAGTCGATTCTCGCGAATCCTCTCGCTTCTTCTCATGGATAGTTCCATAGCAGATGGTCCCACAGTAGGCCCCGATGATTCGACGAGCAAGCTTCTCGCCGAGGTTGGTCGCCTCATCCGGCAGCAGGAGAGACTAATCGCGCTCATTGAGCAAAACTCGGTCCCCGCTGGCGATTACAAGCCTCCCCACGAACAACCCGAGCCGGTGATCCGGGAGGTCACGCCCGCGCAAGAAGAGCAACCCGACGACGGGAATCCACCGAGTGACGGGAAATCGGCTCCTTCTGAGGTTGCATCATCAGCTCCGGAGGATGCGCAGCTTGAAACGGGCGACGACGAAGATGCAGCCGCTGCATTCTGGGACCGGGTCACCGTTACGGAGGAGTCACTTAGTGGCTCTATGGATCGATTCATGAGCTGGCTGAAACACGTCGCTCGGTGGCAGTCCGGAAAGCAAGGGACTGGACTAGCCTTGCAAACGGACAGTTTGACTGAGCTGCCTGGTCTCGACGAGGATCCCTCTTTGGACGTCCTGAAATTCTTGAGATCCAGCATCCCAAGTTCATGGCCCAAGCCTGGGTGGGCGCGAGAAGCCCTGGATTCGCAAAAGAATTCAGGCCGCTTAATAACCCAAGATTTATTTTCAACTTCGGGTTGGTCTCTGGGACGTAACCAGCTCAAACTCAGCTATTCGTGCTCCAACGACGGGGTATGACTCCCACCGTGTGTTGGTTTTATGCGTGCCGGCTGACACATTGGCGGCAAGATATTTGGGCCTTCTAGTCCAGAGTTCGCTTCTCCCGATGAGATTCTATGTGTCATCCAATGGTCTGTTTTCCAGCAATCCTCTCACCACTCCCACGTGCAAGCTTGCTCACTTCCAAGGTCGTGCGTTCCAGCATTGTAAACCCTTCTTGGCTTAACGATGCAGTTGGATTTATTGGATTCGACTCGATCGCGGCAATCTGGAACGCCTTGGGAGTCCACCCATGTTTATGCTGGGACAAGGACTGGCACAGAAGCGGATGGGCGATAGATTTCCTGGATTTCTTCAAGTTCAGATGCCCGCATGACTTCTTATTCCGCCACGCCAGGCCCTGGTCAACTATTACCGATCGAAGACACTGTGCATCCCGACGCTCTATACTTGAACCGCAGATTGAGCACACGTATCAGATTAATTTATGCGTCTTTATCACGGCCGATTCCGAAAGTCTTCCGCCCACAGGTCCGGCGCTGCGTGGCATTAGATGCGAGCGAGAGGTGGGCACCCTCTCCTTCATGGGTAATTCCTTTCTGATAGCGGAGAGACAAAACTCCCTGGCACTAAACCTTGTCTTGGACGAGGGATCCGTCGACAGGTCTGTTGTCGTTGTTTTGGCTGATGTGTGGAGTCCCCGTCGGCGGGGAGAGTCTCCCGAAGACAGGGTTCACATGAAGCCCTCCCGTAGACTCTGTGGTCTCGTTCATTTCCTTCGATTACTTTGTCGTTATATTCAAGACTGGAGGAGAAACTGGGCGACCACAATCTCGCGGATCGAGGCCGCCCTCATCGTCAAGGTTTGAGTTACAAAAAATCCAAGCTCCACGGTCAGCAACTAACCGCCCGCCTCAAAACTAGGTCCCAGAGGTTCTTCATACCGAATCTCGGAAGACGCTTATGTACGATGATACCAAGTTGCAACGTTCCGAGTTCTACTTCAGCTTGTTACAGCTACTTCGCATATTTTCCGCATACATTCGGCGGAACCTAGATGACATGAAGACCGAGAAAGAGGTGTTTTTGGAAAAGCTGAAGAAAGAGCTGGTTCGACACGAGCAAGACTTGGCCGAGTATAACTGGACTCAGGTCATGGAATTCGCCGACGACTGTGGAAGAGAGCTTCTCGATCGAATCACGAAAAAGATCGAAGAGATCGAGAGTCTTCGAGACGGAGTGAGTGGTTCCCAGTCAAGTCCCGTCGCAGTTGCGGAAGCAGTGTGCAAGGAAAGAGCTAACGATAATTATCAGTTGTTCAACGCGCAATCGGTCAAGGAAGCCGTTACAGGGACGCAGATAAACCGGTACCTGCTCGTCTTCACCCTAGTGACTCTACTCTTTCTTCCACCAAGCTTCGTTGCGGTATGTGAGGTCAAACCCAGCGTCAAATCACAGACAGTCTTAAATTAACCCGGATATGCCCCTACCAGACGTTTTACGGAATGCATCTTTTCGATATTCAGGACGATCCCCCTACCACACAGCACCAGTTCTGGCTCGTCCTTGGATCTGTGTCGGGCGCCACATACTTGATTGCTGCCCTCTCGCTCTCCGGAATCCATCGGAGCGACAAGGTAAGGGGCTGGCTTGCTCAATGGCTGGGGCTGGGGCTGGGGCGGAAGCCTCGCAGCCCATCCGCCTCCCCTCGCGCGCCCAAGTCAGATCCAAAAACGTCAGCGATGGGAGGCCAACCAGAAAAGGCTGGCAACATGAAGGGCTCGACCGGACTTCGCCTTCCAAAGGGCATTCTAGGCTCGGTGCTGTCGAAACGGAAGCCGGGTGGCCAACGAGGCGCAGACGGTGACAACGATATGGAGGCACAGATGAGTGGCGGCAATGGCAAGTAAAGGCAGATTGACATGCCTTTGGCCGGTGTACGCTAGCCTGCGTGACGTGGCTTGTTGATGGTTTGCAAGATGGAGGTGGAATTTCTACTTACATTATTGCCGCAAAGCGTCGGCCAAGACTTTGGTGGTTGGATTTTGGAAATCGCCGAATACGCGTATTCAGTGTGGTGAGCCCTCCAATACGACAGACAGTGTTTGGCAAGACATCTTTCTCGGATCGGCTCTTTGGCTTGGCACGTTTGACGCGTCAGCCCAAGAAACCACTAGTATGCATCTCACCTCTTCCCAACCGCCTGTCTCCTTGTGCAAGCAAATCTAAAGGCGCTATGATGTCGCAAATCCGCCAATTACCAAGGTAGCAGCAGACTTGCAACAGGGGGGAAGCCGCGCAAGTGTCATATTTTCGCTTAGCTAACACGCGTGTTCGGCATCTTCCGACAGGGGCCTGTGAAGGAAACAACATTCTCCCTATAAGTAACGCCTTACGTTCTGACGATGGCATTGAACGAAGAGACCATGATTCCCACCGCTTTTGCCTTTCGCCCTTCGCTCGTCGCTTTTTGCCCGAGAATCTCGACTCCGGTGCAAGATGGAAGACGGCCAGCCTGGTATGACCTCCAAGACTCCTGCTCACAGAATCGCCATTGACATGTCCTAGTCCCGGGAAGCCTTTTCGTCTACGCTCCTAACAAGGTAGCGCCCGTCTTCTTCGCTGTCGCGTTTGCTGTCTCGGCGGTCGGCCATATCTGGCAGTGTTAGTAAGTGTTGAATCGTCCTCGCCATACCACACTCAGACCCCCTGACACCCACCATCAGCCACTACAAATGCTTCAAGATAATCGGACTGCACCCATTCTGTGCAGTACTATTTACTGCCGGCTATGCATTGCGGGAGTACGGAGCCTTCAATTACTTGTACAGTACTCGGAACTTGATCATCTACATTCTCAGCCAGGTCTTTGTATTTATATGCCCGTGAGTGACATATCCAATAGAGACGATGCCTTTGAGTCCCGGCTGATCACATCTCACTACATAGTCCTCTTCTCGAACTCGCCAACTACCACGTCCTCGGTCGAATATACTACTACGTTCCATACTTCGCACCTCTTCCTCCCGGCAGAGTCCTGTCCACTTTCGGTGCTCTGATGGCCCTTGTCGAGACCCTGAACGCTTTAGGAGTAGCCTTGTCCGCCAACCCGTCATCATCGCACAGTCAGCAAGAACTGGGCAGCCGCTTGACGATAGCCGCCCTCGCGATCCAACTCGGCGTCATCGTCATCTTCGTGCTCCTCGCGGCCATTTTCCACCGCCGGTGCTCCAAAGCCAATATACACGCCAAGGCGGTCTCGACTCCGCTGATCACGTTGTACATCAGCATGTCATTGATCTTGGTACGCTGCATTTATCGGCTGGTGGAACACCTGGGCAACACGACGGTGCAACTCGATGACCTCGAATCACTCAAGGCCCTGAGCCCGATTCTGCGGTACGAGTGGTTCTTCTATGTCTTCGAGGCAACCCTGATGCTCATCAACTCTGTTTTGTGGAATGTGTGGAATCCGGGCCGCTACCTGCCCCGGAACTACCACGTATATTTGGCGGAGGATGGCAGGACCGAGCTTGAGGGTGACGACACGCCGGATAACCGGCCGTTGCTGGCCAAGGCCGCATCAGTCCTGACGTTTGGCATCCTTTTCCGCCAGAAGAAAGGGAATCGGCCGTTTGAGGAGCTTAATGATTACCCGGTTGCCAATCCTCAGGGTTAATCCGGGCTGCCTCAGTCTGTGGAATTGGGGAGAATTGGAAGGATGATGGGAGGACCAGGAAAGGAATGGACGAGCCCTGGCCTGTTCAACAAATAGACATTGCACAATATCTTTGTAATCGTACCTAGAAACCATTTACTTGATTTATTTAATTTGCGTTGGACGGGGTCCAAGCAATACTTAATCTGGCGATACCCGCTGCCAGTTCAATCTCAGCAACTTTAAATAACTCTCAATGCCGATGTCTGATAGTCATGGTATGCGCAAGGTCAAACTCAACCTCAAACTCAATACAACTCGCCGATGAGTCAAAGAACGGCGCCGTAACTGCAGGGAATAATTCTCTTTGCCGTCCGAATTATAGATTGCGCACAACACGCTACCGTCTTTATCCCTAGACCCTTTGCGGCTCGTCAGAAGCAACTCGAGCAGAGCACAGCACCTATATCTCTCAAGCAACATTGCACATGGCCAACCTTGGTCTACTGGCTCAGCATGCCAACCGCATTTCCTAATTTCTAGAACCCAATATCCCCAACATGACAGCCCAGTTGCGAAGAAGGTGAAGCAGTGTGCCGAGAAAATTTGTGCGCATGCATCGCATGAGATGAGTGAGACTGAGTTCGAGAATTGCCTCTGGATGGTGAATAAGATTCCCGGTGGTGAATAAGATTCCCGGTGGTGAATAAGATTCCCGGTGGTGAATAAGATTCCCGTGGTGAATAAGATTCCCGGTGGTGAATGAGGTTCCAGAGAGCTAGATCTACTTAACTCGCCCATGTTTTCTTGACAATCTTCTCCCCAACTACGGTTTCTCAAACACTCAACTCCCACAATCCATCCATTCCGAACCGTTTTCCATTCTTTGCAGCAACCATGCCCGTTACCATCTTCACCAGCGACAACGACCCAGGCCAATGGCTCATGCCTAACGTCGACTCCGACTCAGATCTGCTAGCGGGGTCCCGCTACGAAGAGTATGAAAGGAGCATCCGCATCGTCCAGAGTTCCTTCGGCGGCGATTTGTTTTGCGACAACCACATCTCCGCGTCGACCAACGGCTTCCTCTACACCCTGTTTAACGCCTACAGCGATCACCTCCACGTCACCCTGCGGCCTGAGGACGTCTGGTTCGCGATCCTCACCCAGCTCAGCTTCTACATCAACGCGCACGCCGAAGAGCTCCGCTCCTACTTCGTCGCGCACGACGGGACCAAGGAGTTGGAGACGGTGGGGGATGGGACCCTGGACACTTCCAATGTGGGTGCGTTGGCGCTGGAGATGACCAGGTTGATCCAGAAGAATGTTGTCGAGCCGGGCTTGCGCGAGTGGATCATGCCCACGTTTAGCACCACGACCGAGTCCGACCGAGTGGTGGCCGCGGTGTTGATGATGGGCTCTATGCAGAAATATTTCAGCTACACGATGTCATTTTTATGCGGCATCCCGAGCGTCACGCTCCTCGGACATCGAGAGGACTGGGAGGACATCCTGCATCGGCTCGAGAAGATGACACAGCTTGGGGAAGAGCCCGCCACGTTCACAGAGTTGTTGAGGCCGATCCTCCGGCATTTCGTTGCTAGTTTCGATGCCCCGGCCCGACCGGATGTGCTGTCCTTTTGGAAGAGGGCAGTTGATCGGAGGGAAGAGGGCAGTGGGGTGGACTACATCACAGGTTGGATGTCAGCCTTCTGCTTTTGGGACTCGGAAGGGAAGAGGATTCCACATACCTCCTCGGAGAATGGTGCGATAATCGACGGCGTGAAATACCATGCAATCGACACTGATCAGGCTCCGTTGGGTTCTGTCTCGGTTCCCGTCACAATCAACGACAATGGCCACGAGTTCCCGGCGAGAATGGTCGCAGGCTCAGTTGGCATCAGGGCTGAGGCAGCTGGCAGAACTCATAACAACGCTGTGACTGCTCCCGACTCCGATAATCCCACACTTGCGGGAAATAACGACGGTGATGACAATCGAGTCTCCATCTCGACTGCTGAAGCCTGCGGAGAGCAAGATAAGCTTGACTCGATCAGTCCTGTCACTGGATGGTGGATGTACGAGGCGAAATCCGATAGCCAGGTGGAACAAGAGGAGGAAGAGCGCCGGGAAGGAATACGTTCTATGATGTATGGTCTGGGGGGGAGGACGAAGAAGGTTCCAACTGGTTCAGATGGTGTTCAGGATGCTGCCGCATAAGCTACCCAGATCTTCGACCACGCCACGGTCGACTACTTTGTCACATACCTACATCATCACCACCTTTGCGCCTTTTACTACCAACTGTTGTATTTAGGACAGGGACGAGGGGTCGGTATTAGGGCTAAGCAGATTGTTTTGTCTTTGCACTTCTCTTTTCCCTGCGATAAAATCGTCGACGGGTTCTGTGTTCGCCATCAGGCATGGATGAGTGTATCGTTTATATCTACCAACGTAGTCGCAGTTCCCAATTCTGTACTCCAATATTCCTCCAGACACTTCCCCGTCCTTCTCGCATGAACCGTACGTAACGGCAAAGCAGATAACGATTCCAGACAATGCAAGCCCCGTGTTGAGCGCCACTACCAGACGTAATTACGGTCCACCACGGGTAACACCTCCCATGTATGATCTTGTTGAATACCAGGTTGACAATGTATGACCAGCTGTCTTTGGTAATTTCCACTGCCGGCGGGACGTTGTAGATAGCTACTTCCCCCTTGGTCTTCTCCCGCATATCAGAAAAAGTATCAGGGGAATCGCAAAACGGCCGGACACGGAGACAAAGTCCCTGGAGACACGCTGAGGTTCTTCGACACAGCATCAGCCAGCAGGCCAGCCTGCCGAATTCCCATCGTCGCATTGATGTGGCGCAACTGCTCTACCGCGAAAGAACGCACGCTGTGTGGATTTAGCTCCTCTAGCGATACGAGATACAGTGGTAGAATCAGAGAGAGGATGTCTGCGGGGGCGAAAAAGAGATTAGATATTAACTGGAACATACCACGGTTGGGGGGGAGGGGAAGAGCTTACGTGGAGAGTCTGCAAAACTAGGAGCAGAAATGCAGAGATCGGTGGACAATCGGTGAATGACGGACAGCGCGGCGGCCTTCTGTTTGTTGTCAGGCACAGTCGAGTGGGCCTCAATTTGGACAACGATCTGGTTGACAAGTATCCGCAGTGTGCGCCAGTTGCTCCAGGCATCAGCAATCCAAAGACTAGGATACACATGAGCCTTTCCGTCGAAGCTGGTGCCGACAGCATCTTCGGGGGCGTCAATAGTGGCGTATCCCCAACTCGGCGGCGCGGTCGCTCTCCAGGTGTTGAGGTCGACGTCGATATCCAGCGCTTCCTTGCGGATGGCGTGTGGATCTGTGACCTCGCCGTTTCTGATGGCGGCCAGGAGGTTGACAAATCGGAAAGAAATCACACAAATGGACCCTGGACTCGCAACACTGCGCTTTTGCCACTGCTGCTTGATGAGGCTTGTTTGGAAATGGCGAGTCGTTTGGACCAGGGACAGAGGGACGGGCATATGCTGCTGCATGCAGGCTAAGAGCTGCGAAACGTTTATGTTGGTCATGCCTTATTGAACGCAGGGGAAGTCGACGGCAGGACTCACGATTTGAGCACGGATTTGGATGAAGAGTTGTCCTCCACGCTCCCGGGTGAACTGCTCCTGGCCTCGGAGCTCCAACAACGCCGTGGCTGCTTTGACATGGGCTTCCCAAGGGCGATTCCGATCCCACGCCTCGAAGTTGACGGTCTATTTTCAGGTGAGGAAAGGTTCTCTCGATATCAGATTCAGTTGATTGGAGTACCTCAAACAGTCCCAGTAGGATGACGGCCATGAGCGTCGTATCCGCAACCGCCTGGACTGGGTCATTCAGAGCCTTCTTCATGAAGGCCAAGGCCTCGCAATACTGTACTTTGGACCTGGACGCGACATGGGGCGCATTGGAGACGTTTGAGATTCCCGCCATGCCAACTGCTTCGATAGCTGCTCGCAGGACACGGCTTTGGCCATGATCAAAGTACGACTGGGTCAGCCAGTCATGGAAGTCGTTGGAAAAGGGAGGGTGATTGAAGGTGTATTTCGTGAAGAAGAAGTTGGCCCCGAGTTCATTGATGGGCTGGGAAAGCGGATAGGATATGCTGAGGGGCAACAGAGATAATGTGGGGGCCCTGGATTTGGAAGTCGGCGCGCTGGTTGTTGGAGATCCGCGATAAGTGGCGAGAGTTTCTTGCATCAAGACCAAATTCGACTGCTCGCTTTGGCGGACTTTCCGAATAACTCGGTCAGACTCATCCCGGAACAAGATGTCATCGAGATTCCGGTATCCCGGGCATTGAATGCCTGATTTCTTGCACCTCAAGCACTCTGGTTTCCTCTGGTCGCACTGATATTAACTGTTGGTTAGCCGGGCTTGCCGTCAACACGTAAGACGACCAGTATCGCAACATGCCTTGATCTTACGCCGGCGACAGCATTCACAGCCTTTGCTCAGCGCGCCATAGTACACCATGGTTGTGAAGTGAACGGGCGTTTAGTAGAGTCATGGGAACTCGGAACGTGTGCCTGCTTCGAGACTCGCACAGTCGTTTTCCCTCGCCTTCAGCGACGAAGCCAGATGCCATCCAAGTCAGGCATGATTAATTAGGAAGAGAATCTGCAGTTCTTTGATTGCCGCGCAGATTCCAATATGAAACCTACGATATCTGTGCGCCTTTCAGGAGGCAAGAAATTGTTGGATCGCACTGGTTCACCAGGTCCAGCATTGCATTGATTGAATTTGGATTGTCCATCTGGCTGAAACCAGCTCGGTGCCGGCGGGATCCGCGACCCCGTGACCGGTGCCGTTGTCCGGGATCGGCCCACTTTTCACACCCAACGACACCGAACCAAGTGGGGGTGTCGCAGTCGTCCCCTGTAACGGGCCTAGCGTGGGATAGGTATAATGGGATGCTGTGATTGGCTGGTTCCACGCTCTCTCCGAGTATGGAGTCCGTACAAGACGGCATAAATATGGTCTCTACTCTCACCCGGCGAGCGATTGCCCTGCAAAACTCCTTCCTCTTCTTCCTCATCTCTTTCGAAAGCCTTTATTTCAGATTCATCCTACTTCTTAAAGAACAAGAGAACAGCTTCTCGCCATGTCTCAGCCCAGTCCCAGTCCGGTTCCGCCGCCAACGGAAAAGACCTTCACCTCCTACAACCAAGACCAAGGCAAAGCCTACGCCCAGATCCGGCGCGACTACCACCCCAAGGTCTACCGAGCCATTATAGACCACCACACCCTCACAGGCGGCCAACTCGACACCCTCGTCGATGTCGGCTGCGGTCCCGGCATGGCCGCCCTAGCCCTGGCTCCGCACTTCGCCCACGCCATCGGCCTCGACCCCTCGGAGGGTATGCTCGCCACAGCGCGCTCCCTCTCCGGCACCACGGTGACATCCACCTCCGCCCCCGTCCGCTTCGAGCTCTCCTCGGCCGAATCCCTCGGCCAGAACCTCAACCCGCCCATACCCGACTCCAGCGTCGACCTCATCACGGCCGCCAACGCCGCCCACTGGTTCGACATATCCCTCTTCTGGCGTGCCGCGGCCCGCGTCCTCAAACCCGGCGGCAGCGTCGCGCTGTGGACGTCTGGCCACATCCGCGCGCACCCGTCCATGCCCAACGCCGCCGCCATCCAGGCCGCGCTGGACCAGTGCGAGGAGCGGTACCTGAAGCCGTTCTACGAGCCGGGCAACCTGCTCACCCGGAGCCGGTACGCCGACCTCGCGCTTCCGTGGACGCTGGAGGAGCCCGTGCCGGAGTTCGACGAAGGGGCCTTCTTCCGGAAGGATTGGGACGTCGGGGAGGACTTCTACGTGGGCTCGATGGAGGGTGGGTTGGATGTTTTTGAGAAGGCCATGGCCACCGGGAGTGCCTATACGCGGTGGAGCCAGGCGCACCCGGAGGACGTCGGGACCGAGCGTGACGTGCTGAATATGGTTCGCAGGGAGATTGAGAGGCTGTTGCATGAAGTGGGTGTGGAGAAGGGGAAGGAGACGATGAAGGGGGCGGTGCAGGGGACGTTGTTGGTTGCGAAGAAGAAGAAGGTGTGATTGGAAGAATGGCACCCTCGTAATGTCTTCGAATGAGTCATTGCTTGGGTTCACCACTTATGCCTCTTTTCCTAACGCTATACCGCCTACGTTGTCTGACTCCTTTTCACTCTCAAACATAGGTGGAGGAAACTCTCTCGCGTGTTTCTCTGGGGCTGGCCAAGAAAAGAAGGCGTACTCCTGAACCGCCTCACCAATGTCCCTCAGCGGTACCATTCCAACGCTTCTGGCAGTCTCGGTGATCAATGAAAGCAACTCGTTTCCCGCCTTGTTCTTCTCAATCTCGTCATGTATCAGAATGCGAACCAGCAATGGGCGTACAAGATCAGCGTCCAGATAACACTTCGATATAGGCTGGAGCCCGTAGAGCCCGTCATCATTTGGTGACTTGTCAGAAACAAGTCGGACTGAGGGCTTAGTGTCGCCGTGCCAAACCCGACTTGCGTGCTGACACAGCGTCCACGACAAGAGTTCGTCGGTATCTTTGATCCGCGGCCAGGAAGACCGGATCATGTCGACAAATAATTGCAGCAGAAATAGGGTATTGACCTCGAGAATTAATGTGTTTTCATCCAAGGAGAAGAGCCCGTCGGTTAAGCAAAATATATTGAAGGGCTCTGAGTCACCGATATCGGGATGAAATTTAAGGACCGTCTTGTGATCCATGGTCGGCCCAGTCATCAGAATCTGCTTGATGGTGTTGCATGATTGTTGTGTGCGGTCCAATAAGAGGACATCATTCCTCAATCCTACCAAGTCCTCGATACCACCCATGATTACGTTCATGACGGCCGGCGTGAGCCAGATTGCCCTGGGGTATGCAAATAAATCACGGTGCGTATGGAACCACGCCAAGGAAGAGTTAGCTTTTTCCTGGAGAAGCCATCGGACCAAGAGGTGGTTCCCTTTAGAGGTCGGTTCGCAGTAGCTCGCCGAGGCCCGGTGCAGCAGGTAGTCTCTATAGGCCCGCGAGATCTTTCGCCCTGCCGACCTTTCGGCTTCTTCTACCCGGTTCCTTACAAAGTCATAGAGGCCGATACCTGCGACGTAGCCAAGGAAGTCGGGGAGTTGAGCTCCCGGCGCGTCCGCTTCCAAACGTGGGAGTTTGGCGTTCCAGATGGTCTCGCATGAATGCAGCAGCGTCTCTGCCGTGCTCTCCGAGATGGCCGGCATAAAGCTGTGGATGGTTCCCACGATATAGATGAATCGGTCGACGTCATGTTTCAGCTTTCCGATGCCGCTGTTCGGGCGCCCCACGATGGTCCACATTGCGTATTGCGTCATCAACGCTCGCAGCAATTTGACAAGGCGATCACCTTCAGATGTGGCGTCTCTCTCCAGTATGTCCCTGCCCCCTTGCGTTTCGGTCAAGAAGTCGAATGCCGTACGATGAAGGAAGGTGGCCTCCAACTTGGTCAGGGGGACGAGAGCGTCCCACTCCCCTGGTTCCGTCATGTGTGGCGGGCCATAATTTATGCGGTTAAACATAATCAACCCGGCGCAGCGGGATTCGATTCTCTTCATCAGAGAGTAGCACCGTTTCTTGAGGTTGTCTGGAGTCGGCTTCGGGCCCTGACCGTCGAGAATAGCGGCTTGGACCGACGCCTCGCTCGCCACCATGAGCTCGAATACCGAGAGTGACCCGCGCGCAAAGCCCCCCAAGTAGCTCCTTTTTGCCTCAAGGACCAAGTTCAGATAGACCGAGGCGCTGTCCTCGTAAATTCCTTCGTCGACATTGGCCCGTTCCCACATGGAGAGGTAGAGTTTGTCCAGTCCGGCGGGGATATTGTGAATGCGGTTCTGTATCTCTTCCCAGGAATCCGAGTTTGAGTAGCCTCGCTGGATGCTCTTCAGGGCAAGGTGGACCCAGAGAAACACACCCTCGGCCTTTCTGGTGAGGTCTGCAACGAAATCCCCGAAGGGGTCATCGCGCGGACGAGAGCCGCCCCATTTTTCGAGAATATCGCCTTCAAGGAATTTAAGAAAGACCCTGCAAACTTTCTCCATATCTTCTCTTGTCAGGTCCTGGAGCCTCAATTTGGGACATTGAAGGTACCGTTTTTGGTAAGCTGGCTCCGGCCTGCTGGCGACACAGAATTTGACGCGAGGAATATTCGCGATTTCTTCAATGAGGTCCATGAGTTCAAAAGGTCCATCCGAGGGAGAAACTTCGTCCAGGCCGTCCAGGAAGATGCATGTCGGTCGGGTCGAAGAAGACAGCGCCATTTTGAGTGAGCTATTAAGCTCGGGCAATGACCAGTCGCTATCATGGTCCTTTCTGTCGACGTCCTTCACAGCTTGGAGAAGGAGGTCAATCAGCGAGGGTTCCTCGAGCAAGAACTGGTAGAGCAAAGCTTGTAGGACGCCCCTGATTGACTTTTGCATTGGGCTCCCAGGCGCCCAAAGATAATGAGAGAGAACGACGGTGCCGGGATTTAGGAATTCCCTCGTTTTCTCCTCACCGCTGATGAATTTCATCAGCGTGCTTTTCCCAGAGCCGGGCTTTCCACTGATCCAGTACAGCTTCTCGTCCGATCCGAGCCACGCCGTGAAGCTGTCCCAATCCATTAGGTCTGTTGAGAAGATCCACTTGAACGTGTCTTTGAAGGACTCCTGAACCATATTTTCTCGCTGGTTCATGCCAAGATACTTCAGACTCCTGAGGAGCTTCTCGCGTCTTGCATCCGTGGCTGCAGAGAGGTGCAGATTACTCAGGCTCTGAGACACGCCGGCGCGCGTCTCTTCCGCCTGCGTCTCAATCTTCTGGGCTAGCACATCCTGAGACTTGGATACTTCGGCCGTGACGTGAGTCTGGATAGCTGAGGACTCGTTTGCCATCGTCTCCATCAGCTTCGACTGTCCCTGGGCCAGTTGCTCAATCACCTTTCGTAGATTGAGATCGAGCTTGTCAAAGTCCTTCTGACTCGCCAGAGCCTGGGCTTCGTTCATGGAGCTGGGGTATCACCGTAGATCAGTAATTGCACTCGAGTACTCAGGCGTTCTCGAGTAACATAAATAATTAAAACCGGGTCCCCCAGGGGTTTCTCACCAGATGCGAAGGAGGAGACCAGAATCCATCACTTTCTGCCAGTGCAACATGTTGTCCGATAACTTCTTGAGGCGGTTCTTCCGAACCACAGTCTTGAGAGAAGCACCGACAGCGCGCATCACACTACGCCTCCCCCCAGCAGGTGGACAGAGGCTCTTGATTTCGTCCTGAAGCTCGAGGGACGTATGGTAACATTTCCGAGCGACTTCCTGCAAGTCCTTCTGCGCCGTGGTGACAGGATTCGAAGCGCTACCCAGGAACCCATTTACGGCTGCGGACAAGTCGGCAAGGCGAGCTGCCCGGTCGGACAAGTCGTCTTCGACAGAGCCAGCCTGGTATGCATGTCGGGCTACAGAGATAACCTCACCGCTGAAGTCGATCAGCTGCATCACATTGCAGGCGAGTCCGAGGGCGGCGATGGCCTCCATCGCAAGAATCTGTCCTCCCTGAAGGTGAAGGCGAGTTTGGAGTTGACAGTGTTGGGAGAGGAAGAGGAAAGAGGAACGAGGAAAGCGATACGTCAGGCTGCGATGCGGAAAGTGGGGTTCTTCTGTCAAAGCCAAGCCCGCTCCTGCAGAATGAGGAACCAATCAAGTAATCCGAGACCATTGCAGCTTCACTTACGAGTACCTAGGTATCTATTTCAATGGGGTTTCAGTGCAAATGTGCAAAGTGTCACGACTGTCGAAGTGAGCATCGTCCTATCTACAACTTTTAAAATCCCATTCTCAAGTCTCTCCAAGTTCTAAGAAAACCCTCAGATCATATCACTCCACCAGTAACTTCCGTGGCTGCTAACTATTATACCCTCCCATAGTCTTCCCTTCGCTAGCCGGAGCACTGCCCTCCTGAAAGATCATCAACCATAGCGTGTTTGCCCCCAACTCCAGCTGAGCCCCCTTGGCCGTCTCCAATTCAGTTACATACCCATTCAAAGCTCCTATCTGTGCCTCCGCACTCCGATCAGAGCAACCCCCCGCAACATCCAGCAGCCTCGTTACCGGCACCCCACCAATCCTCGCCAGCTCAGGCGTATCCACGAGCCTCGCACACAGCCCCCTAACCCCGAACCACTTCTCGTTCGCCGCAGCCGCATACGCCTCGGCCCTCTCCCTCGGCGTCCGCGGCTTCTGCGTCACGGCGCCCACAGCCGCGACCGGCAAGCTGGCCGCGGCGCCGACGGCGCGCAGCGCCGTGCCCAGCGGCAGGGTGACGAGGCCGCCGATGACGCCCACGGCGGTGCCGACGACGCTGCCGCTCCGCACCGAGTCGCGGATGCCGCGGCCCACCGCCTTGGCGTGGTCCTTGGTGTCCTGGCCGAAGCGCTTGGGCACCTGGGATACGTGGCGGCCGATGGCGGCGGCGTGGGCGAGGGCCTGGTCGGAGACCTTGGCGGCGAGGAAGGCCGACATGGTGGTGAGGAAGCCGCGCCAGGACTCGGGCGTGATGCCGTATTGCAGGAGGGGCTTTGCGTAGGCGTCTAGGAACGGCGCGGTTGCGGCTGGTGTCACCTGGGGGATTGCGATGGGCCGCTGCAATTGAGTGGGTGTTGGGGCTGATGCCGATGCGGATGCGGAGGTCGACGCGGCGGCCGACGAGGATGCTGAGGCTGAGGCAAAAGTTGGAGGTGGCTGGGCAGAGGGGAAGTTGAAGGGCGAGTCTGCTGTCGGGCCTTGACCTTCAGACGGCATGGCTGAATATGCGGGGAGGGCCTCGTCGACCCCTCCATGGGCTTCCAAGGCAGCCCTTGTTGCTTCTTCGTGTTTCGACATTGCTCTGACCTGAATACTGAAGGGATGCTGAAGGGATGAGTTGATTGTCTTTGAGAAAAAGGCAGCAACAAGAATGATGATGTTCTGGTGAACAGGGCAGTGTTGCGCGTGCTTACGCGGCACAGTCAATGCAAGTCTTTATGCATTTCCAAGTACAAATCCGAGATATGTATCAGGTGCACGTGCTTTGTCACGTGCAATAGCGCAAGCATTGTGAGTGGGGCACGTGTGGGGGGAAGGTGGGGGGGTATTTGAATGAATTTTTTATTTATTTTTTATTTTTATTTTTTAATCTCCGAATCCCTTCAGCTGACTTGACTTGTCTCTGATCCAACCAACATCTTGACAACACTCCTCCACCAGAGAGAAGTTGCAAATCCGAAATCATCGATCTTCAAGCCGCTGACAAATCCCCCCCTTTTTGTTATGGATCTGCGATCCAATTCCGAGAAAGACATCCACAACGCTGAAAATGCCAGCCGATTTCGAAAAGCAGGAGTACTGGCATACTCGCTTCGCTACCGAAACCTCTTTTGAATGGCTAGTAACATCAGAAGTCTTCATGTCAATACTAGATCCCTATCTATCACGCCTCAGTGCATCATCACGCATCCTTCATATTGGTTTCGGAACAAGCGGGTTGCAAAATCTCTTCCGAAAGAGAGGGTTTCTGGATGTCACCAACGTTGATTTCGAGCCGTTAGCGATTCAGAGAGGGATGCAGCTGGAGAAAGCCACATTTGGGGACGTCAAGATGAAATATGTCGTCGCCGACGCGACCAAGCTTGACATGCATGAGGCATTCGACGTCGTCATTGACAAGAGCACGGTCGACGCCATAGCTTGTGGAGGCGACGAAGCACTGTTGCGCATGGCGCGAGGGGTTAGGAAGTGCTTGACTGAGGGCGGTTTCTGGATCTCACTGAGTTTCTCGTCTTCACGGTTTGATATGGAAGGGCTCCCCTTGGATGTGGATGTCATTGCAAAAGTCCCGACTCCAAAGTATCATCCAAATGACCCGGACGTTTATCATTTCTGCTACCTTCTTAGACCAAAGATAGGCTAGCTTTTTTTACGACGGCATCATCAATACATAAAAGCGGTTTTAGTTGTGGAAGCGATTAGTCCGTGGAGGATTCTCTTTTCATTACCTTCACACCTACTACATCTCAGGCCGTTACTGGAATCGACAATGACAGTAGAAATTGACCAATATATTTTTACTAAAGCGAGATCCAAAATTCGAGTCCCTCCCACTGATTAATATGCTGCCTCGCCCTTTTCACCAGGTCCGCGTCTTGCCGAATTTCCGCGCCAGTCTTGCCTCAACTGACTCGCACCGTCCCGTGGTCTCAAACTCCTTTGCTTCCTCGCAAATGGCAGACAGCTCACCAACCAGCGTTTCCACGCTGTACTTCCCGAAGTTCTCCGGTGCCCGGCACTGCTTGGCCTTGGCCGCCCAGAACTGCTTGATCTTGCCGTCTTCGTCGTACGGCATGCACTCGCCAAAGGCCCGCCAGGTCTGGACGGCCTGCCGGGCCGTCTCGAGCGAAACCTCAAAAAGCTCCTTATGCAGCTTGCCGCAGCAGCAGTGCTCTTCTCGCCTGAACCCGCCGAGATACTGGTGTATCAGCGCCTCCACGCGCCAGGCCGCGCAAGGCACCGCCACATATGCGGTGATGTCGTCAACGTCCAGTTGGCACTGCCGCTTATAATGCCTTAGTCGCTGCTGTATTTCCAGCGGCTTGGTCGAGGCATTCCTTGGGGCTTGGGGGAAAGCACCGTTGTCCTCTTTGAGTCGCACGTGGCCGATTTTCATGTAGGATCTGCCGCGGGAGTTGCGGTTGCGGATGCGGACTGGAAAGTAGTAGACATAGCCGGGCCGCCTGGTGTCGTAGCCGCATGTCTCTTCCATCTTCTTCAACAAGCTGTATAGGGGCTCCGACTGCAGCCCGGGGCTGACCAAGGATTTAAACTTGGGGTTCCGGGGGGAACTTCGAACGGCCCTTGGGGAATTTTGAGTGACAGTGCTGCTACTACTCTGTTCCGTCCCATCGACCTCCTTCGAACAGCCCAAGACGCGTTCCTTGTTTACTGAGACGGGGATCGAAGAAGAAAAGGTGAGACTGGTTTCTTGGTGACTGGCACTGCTGGGTGCCGCTTTAGACGGAAGTGACCTCTCTAAGAGAAGCAGTTCAATCTTCGCAGTGATGTCAGACACCGAGACCTCTTGCTTTCCAGTCAGAGTCACTCGCTTGGGCTTCTGCCGTGGGCTTCCGGCTGATGTCGACATATTCAGACTTGAGAGAGTCGTGTCCGCGCTCTCCAACTCCGCATCGGCCAAGCTGAACCCGGAGCGAGTTGACATGCGACTCCACGGTGACTCAAAGGGGCTCGATTCGGGTCCGAGGGGCGACTGAGCGTCCAGTGGTGATGTAGGATATTCATGTCCCTCGTCATCCTCATCGCTGTCTTCCGACTCCGACGGCTCATGCTTCCATTTTGGTACGGGCAGAACAGCATCTTTTCGCACAAGCGGCGCCCGTCCGGAGAGGGGGAGGGCTGATATGGGGTTTCGATTTCCTCTCGGAGGGGTCATGTGTAAGAACGACCGTCGTCCCTGCCCACGGGGGTCGGCTTTGGCTTTGATCGACAGTGGAGTAGTTGGCCTGGAGGGTAAACTCGTCGCCCAGTGCTCCGAAGACATGAGGGTCGGAGGCATGTCGAACAGCGCCCCGTCGTGCTCGGTCCTGGAAAGGCCATTCAACGCGAGGTATTCCCACCAAAGCTTTTCGCGCCACCGCCCATAGATGTATTCCGCCTGAGACTCTGCGGTTGTGCCATCTGGAAGACGTGGATGACGCAGCCCGCTACAGATGACTTTGTTGGAGAGAGTCTCGAGGAGCCTGTGCGCCAGCTGGGACGGCATCTGCACGTCCAGTAATTGTGACAGAAGGTTGGAGACTTCCGTGCCACGCTCTTTAGGGAGACGGCGTCCGCAATGCTTGGCTTTAGCCTTGGGCGCGTATGCCAAGCAAGACCTGCAGTCGTCTGCCAGGCCTAAAAATCCAGAGACAGAGGAACGGGAGTCGAATTCGATAAGAACGACAGTCTGCCGTGCCTCGGGTAGTGGAATAAGAACGGGTGCCATCTTACTAAGAATAACTGGCGAGTCTCTGCGGCCTTCACGATTCTACGACCTGGAGAAGGGGAAACTCCATTCTTTTTAATGTCAAGTCCACGAGCACACAGGGGGGGTTGGTCACAGCAGCACACAGTCGCGCGGGTTCTGAGCTGCCTTGCCATTCTGCGTAAAAAGCCACTTATCCGGTCAATCATCATTGGTGCTCTCCGTACGTGTTGGTTCCAACTGCATGAGGCCCGTCAGCTTGCCATCCCGACCTCCAGGCGACTCCGAGGCAGGAAGCCAGGGGGCAGGAACAAATACGGACATATGTCCGCAAATTACTCCGTGGCTGTGCCACACTTTGTTTCAGTCCTGGTCCGTGGGCATAGTGGGGGCCAGGGGGTCCTGCTAGCGCCTGGGCGTCTATCTGGCGCAGGCGATAACGGACTAGGGAGCTGCAGCTGGTCGCAAAAGCAAACTGCCCTTGTTTCATGCCCGAAAATTGTCCCCAGCCACCACCCCCCTATGTTGCATGTTCACCCCCGCACCCGCGGGGGTGACTGTCCTTCGGCCCGCCGAGCCTGTAAGCAGTTCATCCATGGATCACGTTGCGCACAGGAACGCGACTGGCTTTCTCCAATGATTATTTGCGACAGCTGCGGCGATGTCATACAAACCTCCCAGCTCAAGCTAGGTATCCGTAGTCTCAACCAGATGCATGTGCAGACTCAAAAAGTCACACCGGATTTAAAACTGGACTCAGAAATGGTGCTGGAGTACCTGGATAGACGCATGGTATATTGACAGAGCCGAAGAAGTGGAACTGCTCAAAGTCAGATAGCTGTCAAAGATCGATGATTGCGGCGTCTGGCTTCGGGGGAATCACGGGCTCCAGCCCTGCAATCGGGCCTGACGTCCAGACACTTGTTAGTCGTTTGGATTCTTTCTTTAGAACAACCACATCTTCAACCAGTAAAGATTCAACAAGACAAGGGCCTATCGGACTGGACCTATTCTTGACGCCCAGATGCTAGCCAACAGCAAGTTGGAACGCTAGATTAACTCCAAGACGCACAACCTGACTTATACCTGCACCTTGACGATGGGACAGTTTGGTCTTGGGAAGGTGGCAGACCCTATTATAGCCATTGGCGACATGGGATCTGGAACCGTTAACAGAAGCTTGGTAGAGTACTGCTTTGGTGAGAAATCAACCATGCAACCCTGACTCTAGTCCTAGGGTGGTGTGAGCCAGAAGTTTGTCAGTCAAGACGACATCTTAAGAGTGTCACAAATTATCAGCGACACTACCAGTCTTTTGACCGGTTCCTATCCAGTGCAAAATTCGAGTCGAGAGATGCACTCTAGTTTCGGCTTCTAGACATGGCACGGGGCGGAGGTCGCAAAACATGAGACGGACAACTTCATTTCAAGGTAACGACGTGTTGCCTACGTAGCCTTACAGCCCTAAATCGCTCATTCTGGTTTAAACACTTGGGTATGTCTCAAAATGCGTTTATATGCGCATCGTAAAGGGGGGAGTTTAGGACATCTTGAAAGTTGTGACGTTGAGGCTGGCAGGAAGGGGAACCTTCGGAGGATTTCACGCACCCAGCAACGCTAACCACGAATCAGACCACTCTATCCGTGTTCTCGAAGTTATCTTCAGTAACAACACATCCAGCCTTGACGAATTCCCGCAGGCGAACTGCCTTGCCGACGTACTTGAAACCGTCAAAGACTGCCTCGTAGCGATCTAGTGCGTAGCCGAGGTCTCCACAATATGCTTATATGGGTTAGCTTTGATACTACAAACACTAAACACGTGGTAAAATTTTTGATAAAGCTGCCTGGAACTTACCTCTCTTCTCACCTGCATACCAACTCCTTACTAGGAATACAGTATGCACTCACCAACTCACTCCTACCGCGTAACAGGGTATGTGCATACAATACTTGCTAACTGCCTAGCCACCTACCCACTTACTTGCAAAAGTGTCCCAGTTGATTTGACGGGCCAGGGGGAAAAAGGTCATTGCAGCGGAGGTGTCGGCAAAACTCCGGCTGTGGCGACCTGTTACGTAATACGTGGCAATTCCGCCAAGCGCTTCTTAGCTAAACACAAGGGAATAATTTAACCAGCGGTCCCGTAGCGGAGTGGTCACCGCGGTGTACTTATGGTTTCAAAATTTTGGAAGACATGCACAGGTCGAGGGTTCGAACCCCTCCGGGACCAAATCACTCTTTTTGAGTTTTGATTTTTGTGATTTTTGGTTTTAAGGCGATGATGCTACGAGTGGGATTCAAGGTGATTCGGGACAAGGTGATTCGGGATTTTAATGTGAATGACTGTGGATCAAACAACGCTGTCCCTCCTTTAACATGAGAGAGAGTGAATTGCCTCCGCAAGAAGGCCCCACACGTAGAACATTCTCACAGCACTTAACCCGCTGGAAATCCAGTCATGGCTCCTTCGAGTCCTCCACGATGCCGCCAGCATTTACATCATTTTACTCTGGCACCATGCCCCCATCCCATCACGACTCTTTTCAGAGTCCCCCATTTCGTTACATCGGAGATGGAAGCTGTGATGGCTTCGAACAACCAGGCAAGTACAAGGGAGGCGGGCTGCACCCGGTCCCGCTCGGCAATATCCTGTCCGAGCCGTCGTCGTGTGTATCCGATTGTAAAATGCATCCGGGGTACCGCGTCGTTGTGAAACTTGGGTACGGCGAATTCGCCACAGTCTGGCTGGCTGTGGACATCCAGGATGAGCAGGTACCTTAGTCTGCCTAGTTTTAGAACCACATTCTTGCGACTAAAACTTCGCAGACGCTTTTTGTCGCAATCAAGATCTGCGAAGCATTTGAATCGTCTTCGCCCAAGTCATCCCCTTGGACCAGTGAAGAAGCGATACTGAAATCGCTGTCGTCGCCACGGTGCCGTCATTGAACTGGTCGATAGTTTCATCATTAAAGAACCGAATGGGCACCATGCCGTCACCGAGGTGTGGTGTCGCTTAACGGCCTAGATACCGACGCCCGAGGCTCCCCATAGCTCTTGCGCCAGATTATAGACGGCTTCGCACATTTGCACGAGCAGGGGATAGTGCATGGAGGTAGGTAGGCCCTTTGACTCCTCGACCTGCGGGCTGATGATGCGATGATGCGTGCTGACACAAATGACTATATCTAATTAGACCCTCACCCCGCCAACATTGGCATCGCAGCGCCGCTAATCCAGCACTTGTCCGAAGACAATATCGAGGATACGTTGGGAACTCCGAATATTGTGCCGCTCGTCCGGCGTAGCAATTCCTTCCCGAGGGACTCAGCGCCCGCCTACATTGTCAGGGTCACCGAGGAGAACCTCGACTATTTTACTAACACAGATTAATGCCTTCCCGAGCTGGGAGAATATCATTATTAAGCTGTTGGACTTTGGGAGAGGCAAGCTGCCCCAGTATGCTATCTTCTTCGGGGGCCTCCATTGACATCTTTCAGCCCGTAAAGTCGACGAAATTAACTCGATGCTAGGAGGGGTCCCCTACGCGTTCCGCCCTCCAGAAGTCTTTATGTTCGAGGAATCCCACGGCAAACTAGGCGACATGTGAAGCACGGTGGCCGACGTCTGGTCGCTGGGGTGTACGGTATGCGACTCTTCCCCATACCTGGTCGGTAATTGGTCACTGACAGTCGCCCAAAGATGTTCTATATCATGTTTAATTGTGACCTCATATCAACATGGGGCTCAGTCGACGACACTCTTCCGCAGATGTCTCGAACTTGGTGGTGACCAGCCCAACAATTGGCTCGAATTCTGGAATTCGCGCAAGAGCTGCAAGTCCTATGGCTTGTAACTCTCCAACTGCTGTTCCGTCCCGACATGCTCATGCTTTCAGCGCTTAGCAGGCCTGGTCGGATGTGAAAAACAAGATGCTATCCACGAAGCGTGTTTCCAGTGCCGAGGTCGACCTGTTCTTGGACCTATTGCAACAAATGATTGTGACCAGGCCGGGAAACAGGTGGACCATGGCCCAGCTTCTTGAACATCCCTTCTTTAGCAAAACGCGGACAAGAGAGGTCAAGATTATGTAGTATACCAAAGTCAGCTAGATGATGCTGCAGGGCCTGGAGCCCAGGGACTGCGGGCGGGGACGGGCAAATGCGCAGCGGGTGAAGGCGGGAGGCGAGGCTGCGGGCGGGCGAACAGGTGAACTAACGATCGAGAATTAAGTTCGATTCGCCTGGGTAACTTCTCGTTCCACTTGCCGGGACCAGAAATAATGCTGCTAGATAATATCGCTTGGCACTGGCCCATTCGGGAGCGTGTGTCGCAGATCGAGTCGAGCGGACCGTTAGGAGCCAATGGCTGTGCAAATATGAACGTTAAATGTAGGATGAAATACAGATTGGATTGGCTAACCCTGAGCAGGGATGAAATCCTGAGCAAGGATGTAGTGAGACAGGGCTCAGCCGCTGGACGCAATTATATACTCCCCTCAAAGTTTCCTATATTGGCCTGAGATGACTGCTCGGTCCCGTCTCTCTTTGTAGCAATGGAGTCGGTTGAGCCCCCGTACACAAACAGGGGGACCCCGGGACCGTGGACCGCGACCGAAGTCCTCCTGAGTAACTATGACAGCCCGCTCAAAGCCCCTACACGCGTTACCTACATCCCTCACCCGGAACAGCAGAAAACGCGTCCTTCCGCAAAGACACGCGATGATCGACAGACCTTTTGGTCAAAGGCAGTTGCCAGCGTGTCTCTATGGCCGTACGAATTGCTGAGCGTCGTTCTCTCCATCTTGGCATTCCTCGCTATCATTGCCTTGCTGCGCGTTTATGAAGGCAAAAAAACTCTTGAGCAATGGGAGCTGCCGATATCCCTCAACGCAGTCATTTCCATCCTAGCAGCCGTGTTCAAAGGCTCGCTCGCCATGCCTATTGCAGAAGAAAACAAGAGACAAGAAACCAAGCCTCGTTTCCCGCCCGGATCCTCTTCGGCGGCCCCCTCAAACAGCAGCCGCTCAATCATGCGATCGAGAACGACCGTCTGCAACACCTCCAGCCTCCGCCCCGGAACATACTCTCGAGGTTGGCCCCGACTTGAGGGAATCGCAAATCGCCCCCCGAGCTGGAGCTGCCGATTTTTCCAACCCCGCAGCCAACCACTGGTGTTTGATTTTTAGCCCTCAACGGAGCATCTCCTCCATAATTTACTATCGGTCGCCCGAAAACGACATGCCTAATCTCCCTGAAGAGACCTTGCTGAGAATATTCTCATGCTTTCAACTGCCCCCGACTAAGACGAATAACTTGGAATGTAGCAGCAGATTCGAGCTAAGATCGCTGGCCAAGGCCCAGATTCTCGACGAAAAGATGCTGGCATCCCTTTGTCAAGTCTCCAAGACATTCCGCCGCATCGCAGAACCAATGCTCTACAACGCCCTGCTGGGATATCATGGTAGACAGGGCTCGATATTTCTGAGAACATTGAGCCAACGACCGGACCTAGCCAGACTAGCGCGCCACCTGGAGATTGACGATTACTGTGGAGAGGAATCCATGGTCTAGGATGCCTTCGAAGCCGCTCGAGAATGGCTTGATATACCTTCAGACCCCAAAGACGGCATAGCCGAGGCTCTCCAATCCGACGACGACAGTCAACAGGGCGAGATTGCCTTCTTCGTGTCAATGATGCCCAACCTGCAAAGCCTCCAGATCACCGTGCCTGAGAGCAAAGGCATACTGCTGAGCCTCTTCCACGCGTTCGCCTCCGACAAGACCGGTACCCGGTTTTCGAAGCTGCACGATCTTGGTCTGCGCTATTGGGACACGGAGGATGCCATCTGCATGTGCGAGGCTGACGACCTCCTTCTCGCACCGCCCGCGCTCGATACGTTTTGCGGCTTCGCGGTCAACTGGTGCAGGCCTCCCGAGACACCAAGGCCACTAGAATTCGAGCACATTTCACCCCAGCACTCGCTCATCGATGGCCCCGGCCTCTCCTCTCTCCTCTCGCGGTGCCACAGGCTTCGGACCTTGAGTGTCACGTGGGGTAATGTGTGGGTCGGCGATTGTGATCTGGATTGGGATGAGATGGGCGACGCTCTGCGGCTTCATGCGCCCCTCCTCGAAAGGCTGCATCTGGATCCTATTCTAGCCTTCCGCTATACGGATGAAGAGAGCACTGGAAGGATAGGATCATTGGAGCAGCTGACAAGGCTTAAAGAACTTGAGCTTCCTCTTGAGATCCTTGTTGGCAGAGTGGAGAGTCCAGCAAGTGGGAGCGGTAACACGCTCCATAGTCTAGCCCAGTTGCTGCGGGCTTCATTAGAGAGCTTGCATCTATACTTAGCGCAGGACGGTGCTGAGGAGCTGGGTGAAGAGTTGTCCAAGCTCCTCGAGGTCGGCTCACAACTCGCGAACCTTCGGGAAATCCGCGTCGCCGGGCCGGGGTCGTGGAGATTATGTATTAAACTGGTGGATGGGGTAATGGTCAAGGAGAATGTGTGGGAACGTCACCTGATCCCTCCCCCGATAGCTGCTTCCATCCCTCGTCGTCTTTGACGCCTTAAATACAGGAAGGTGGAGACGTCTTCCCCCTCTTTGTTTGTACAATTGGTGGGGTGGGCGGTTGGTTGACTTTTGCGACCTTTCTATTTCTCTCGGGTTCCCTTCCTTGTGGCGGGATAAGGATCACTAGGCCCCGCGAGATGCCGAGACGTGGCTCAGTCATCGGGGATGTACCCGGCTGAGAGCAGCAGTGCCAGCCGCGGATGAGTGCCACGCGGCAAGGGGGAGAGCAAGCAGAAAGATGGTGCGAAAGGGCGGAAGATCTAGTTGACAACCTCCATTGCGGCTTGTGGCCAGGACTGCGACTAATCACTTCTAATCTGGGCCACCTCCTACAATCAACACTCGCCTGCATAGTCGTCTCGCGCGTTCTAAGCGTGTATATAGATCAAGCTGCCTTATACATGGCGTCACCTGATTATTGGCCATCTGCGTTACTGAGCTTCGGCATTGACCCCGAAGCATACAACCTCGATATTATTCCCATCCAGGTCAAGGACGTACGCGGCTGATTCGAATGATCAACATCCCACACAGCAATATTAAAAGTCGATTTCTCGAAGCTGTTTCACCATCTCTCTCGAGACAACCCTCATCCTCCACCATAGCCATTCCGCTTCGAGGCAAACGAGCTTATTATAGTTCCTCAAACTAAATCATCAAGTTTCCCAGCACTAGAACAGCTCCAAAAATCCCGAATCCATCGACAGACTTCCCACATCAGCTACCATGGCAGCCCAGTCCCATTATATAACAGAAACTTCCCCGTATCCGCCATCGTCAAAGACGCCAACGTCCCCAGCACCCCCCTAGCGCTATCCCCAACCTCAACCACAGCCTCGGGTCCGCCCATCTCGGTCTTCACATGACCCGGATCGACGCACACGACCACAGCCCTGCCCCTCAGATGCCTAGCCTGGTGGACAGTCAGCATATTCAGCGCCGTCTTGCTGATGCTATACGGCGTGATCTCAGCGTTGATGCGCCCGTCCGTGAGCATGGCCAAGCTGCCGATGCCCGAGGTGATGTTGGCGACCACGGCGCCGTCGGCGAGGAGCGGCAGCACGGCCTGCAGGACCTTGGCGGGGCCGATGACGTTGGTAGTGATGTGCGAGAGCAGCGCGTCGCTGGACAGGGTGAGGCTCGTCTCCTGGCGGGAGTGGAGGATGGCGGCGTTGTTGATGAGGACGTCGATTTTGGTGTCTGTGCCGAGGGTCGAGGAGAGCTTCGAGGTTAGGGTGCTGATGGAGGTCTCCGATGATACGTCACACTCGATGATGTGGACTTTCCCGGGGCCGTCTTGCTGGAGCGCCGTGAGTGTGGTGATGTCGGCTGTTAGGCTTCGTATCACAGCAAAGACGGTGTTGGATGGGCTCGTAGCGAGCTGGCGAACATACTCCAACCCGATGCCCGCCCTGGCCCCTGTGATGACGTAGACTGTCATGTTTTGTTGCCGATGAATCCAAGCTTGTTCCGGGAGTGGGTATTCGAGTTCAACGGTTACTGTGATGCTAAGTCCTGCCCAAGTCTGTGATCTTCGACGGCCTTGGAATCTGGTACAGATATATATATCCCAACATCGGCGTCAAATATAGCCTGGGCGGACGAGATGCAGCGGTATTCACCGGCGTTAAGACACGGGATTATGATAAACTCCACGACGGGAGGTGCGATGTGGTGATAACGGAGAGCAGAGGAGTTGTTTCGGCGGCTCCGAGCTCACACGGCAGCTAGTCAATGCGACTTTGACGACTATCTTGGATAATATCCACCATTCACGGTAACATATTCATCGTCCCGGTCACTCCTCCCCGGCGTTTGGACGTCTGGTCTGGCGTAAAGGGAGCGTACGGCAAATCTTCGGGGCATGATGGCGAACCCGGGCCGGATGCCGCAGTTCACGACGAGCCTTGAGCGGTTGTTCATGGAACACAGATCCAATCGGGTAAGAGGTGCGACTAGCGTTACATATTTGGCTGGAGTAGTAAGATGGGGTAAGAACTGAAAAGAAGCTGGCATCAATGTCGCATTTGTCAGCCAGTAACCCCCAGCAATGAACATTCCAGACTCGTAACTCGCACTCCCGACATCCCTAGCTCACCGATGAGTCACTGCTACGAGGTAAATTTCCGATTATTGCCCGGCTGCATTTCGTGGTGAGCGTGCAGTTGTACAATACGGATATTATCATCAAACCCTCACCAGGTTCACGGCGTGACTCATCGGCGACTTGCATTAAGTTTGAGGTTGAGTTTGAGCTTGCGCATACCATGGTGGACATCGGCACTGAGATTTTTTTTAAGGTTATTGAGACTGAACTGGCAGCGGGTATCGCCGGATTGAGTATTTTTACTGAGTACTGCTTGGACCCCGTCCAACGCAAATTAAATGAATCAAATAAATCATCAAACCCTCACGGGTTGCAGTTAGCGGAGCGTCAGGTCCATTCTGTTGATGCCGGAGAAGATAAGGAGAAGATAAGCGGCCAATCCGACCTGACGGCTCATAATGGGGCCGCGATCCCAATATGGGGTCAGATGGACCCGGTACTAGTTCGGACCAGGTAAAAACCGGAGGTCGGGTTTGCAATGAGGACGTATGTACGAGGCGCGTCGTTTAGGCTGTGAGAGGTCATTTACAACTCAGTCTCCTGCGAGGTCAAATCAGGGTTTTTTTTAGAGCGCCTCCATACTGATCCCCCCATTTATCCATCTTGAACCAACGCCCCCCCCCACCCCCCCCCCCCCCCAACAACACTTTTTAAGCTTCAGTGGAGTGCCAAAATTATCGTTTCGATCGGCGATAACTCCCTCTGTTTCACCCGGATTTCAGTCTGTGACATCATTAAAAGCTAATTAAGGCTTGCGGGGTAGGTGATTCAATACTAAGATCATCCCACGAAAAAAAGGAAGAGAGAGAAGAACAACGACCAAGACACCATTTAGAGTCTCAACATGGCTTCTCGAACAGGACACTGTAACTGTGGGAAGATTGTAGTCTCACTCAATGCAAGCCCCTCCGAGGTCATGGTGTGCCATTGGTACGTTGAATGAGTGGGATTTTCAGGTTGCCTCCAGGCTGACGAAACTAGCTTAAACTGCCGTCGAGCTGGTGGGCGTGCGTAGCAGAGTTACCCTTTTCGGGAAAAGGAGAGGACGACTCTAACAATAGCCTTAGCGTGTTCGATCAACTACATTTGCGATGAGAAAGGCGTCTCTATACAGGATGCCAATGGGTGCTTGAAAGACTTCAAAGACCACGATACACAATCCGGAAACGTGATAACGGTGAGCTTACCATTGGCCATCCTCAAAGGTAACTATGAGCTAAACAGAAAGATAGCGATCGTTTTGCCAGGGTTGCGGAAGGTATGGTTTGCCTGCATGAGACCTAAATTGAATTCCTGTTACCGAGTTACTAACGGAACGAATCAATCATCAAGCCCTGTCTGTACATGCAGTCCGGCATTGCCTGGGAAACTGGTGGTCAAGGCCTCGCTGTTTACCGACATCGCCACGGCGCGTGAGGAGGTATTTGAGGAGAGGAAGATTAGCTGGGTCTGAAATGAGTTGTCTCCTTGCCACTTTGGTGTAACCAAAATTCTGTTCAGGCAATCTGCGCAAATATTCCGCTGCAGAACATCTAATGCATTATTCGGGGTTTCTCACAGCTTCATGTCAATGCAGATTGCAAAGGACGTGATGTGGAAAGTGAAGTTCAGCCTTTGCAGCGGAGGTTCTTGTAGGCCAATTGAAGGCGCAATCTGAAAGTGTGAGTTTCGCAACTTCAATTAGCCATGGGGCGTCTTATTATTCGGGCATGTTATGACAGGCGCGTCTCACTTGTGAAGAAACATGTGGCGCTGCAGGGCTGTACGGTCAGCGCGGATATGGGGCTGAATTATGGCGCGTGTGTCTGCCCTAAAAGTGGAGCCCCGGGTCGGGTGTAGGTAGTGTGGGATTCGGGACCGGAGAAACCCATATATGCGGCCCACGTCGGCTCCAGGTCCCGTCCCAACCCGCCCTAAAATCAGTCGTACTATCACGACAACTGATGCCCATCCTGATGGCCACAACGGCTTAGGGGTGGACTATGTGGCGGCCTGGAATAAAAAATGGTAGTTTTGTTTATTGGGTTGTATGTAGATGATTTTACAGTACACAATATATCACAATTTTTGCACCGGTGCCAACAACCACCTGCCATGCCACGCGTCGTCGACGACATCTGTCTCAATCCGCCAGCTTTCTGTCCTGGGATTTGATGATGACACCCTTTCCGACCCCGTTTCGCCCTCAGAGGAAAAACATGAGCACGGATGTTTAGGCATGTATCATTTTTGTCGACGGAGCGAGGGCCTGGCTGAGAAGACAAGTGTCCTTCAGTGTGCGACGTTGATAAGGCGACGACTATCGTATCCTGCCTGTGCTGAGGTGCATTCAGGTTAGTACATAGAATGCCCAAAGCAGACGACCAGTGGAATTAAATTGTTTTGGCCGGGCAATGTGAACAGGAATGCCAAGGATATTTCTGCTCGGAGGGCATCTATCAAATGCAGGTGCGACTTTCCAGGCACACTGGGGCGCTCTTAGTTTCGCCATTGTGAAGTGATCGATGTGCTCATGTGATAGGAAACGCGTGTGAGAAACACGGGGTGGTAGAGGGTCAGCGGGTTTGAAATGGCACGTGTCTGGAAGCTGGGGTGGTTTGGCATGGCTGGAGGGCCACCGACCCATCAGGTGCGGGTAAAGGGTTTATCAGGAAATTTAGTGGTATGGCATATCAATAACACAGGGTGGTGTAGTGGTCGAATGTGATGCTGACCGCCGCCACCTATCGACAGCCACCTCTGGGTCCCGTCTGAAGGCAGGCATTCGATCCCTACAACCACCCATTTTTTTTCGTGATTTTTTTCCATTTTTTATTGGGAGTGCCACACCAGCATGGTTGATAAACAAGTCAAGTGGCATGGTATAGCAACCAACATAGGTCACAGTGGTGTAGTGGTCGAATGCGATGCTGACCGCCGCCACCTATCGACAGCCACCTCTGGGTCCCGTCTGAAGGCAGGCATTCGATCCCTACAACCACTCATTTTTTTTTGTACTATTTTTCTTTTTTTCAATATTTGTCAATTGGACGCTTCCTCTCCCAGTGACCCGACATCTTGCAACCTTAAATTCAGTTCTGCTTTTGTATCTTGTGTACGTTCCTTTGGCAAATCGGCAGGCACTTTGTGGGCTAAACATGAGTAGGGATAGTAATGCCAATGATAATAGTTACGGCAATGGCAAAATGATGATTGGCAGTGACAGGGACGATGACAGAGTGGCTAACAAGAGGTTGCACATGGCAATGGAAACCACTGCCAACCTAGTGTTGTCACCGTTGTTTTTACATGCAATTGATCACAGAAAATTCCAAAACGAACCCCAAAATATATTTCGAGTGGTCTGCCCAGGAATCAATGGATGTGGTACCGTAGTTGAGGTCCACCATGCCAGAGGCAGCATATTCCTCCCTGGGACATTGAATATCTTTTGTTTCTTCACCTTCAGTTGGTCATGTATCCTGGCGCTGTGCCTCCTTCGCTTTCCCGGCCATTCTCCGCAATACTATTACTCTCTGCGGCGTCGTCCATCCTAGAGACACGGTGCTGGTAGTAGAGGTGATGAATATCCGTTCCGACACATCCCGATGCTGCGTCTTCGGCCGGGCTGCTGTCCCCCTCCCCTGGTATGTCAGACAACGACTGGACAGCAGCCAAGTACTCTCGACCATCACCGGTGCGCTACCCGGGTAAAGCTCTTACACCACGAGTCGCGATTGGCACGAGTCAAATCGAACGTATTGCCTGTGGCAGAGCGCGCCCGCGCCCGCGCGTTGCGCGTTGCACCTTTCGACGTTTGGGCGTTTCGACCGGCGCGACGAAAGCGCGGACCTGCGGAGCGGGAGGTATCATGACGAGAATTACCTATGTTTGCGGAGAGAATTAGCAAACATGGTTCGCAAAGTAATTGATATCGGAGTAAGGGAGTCAATACCTCACGGATGCCGCAGAGGAGTTCGCGGATGTTATAGAACCTAAGAGGAACGCGTCGAGATTAGATGGAAAACGTGGGAAAGGGAGAGCACGAGGTGGGCGGGCGGGTGGATAGCAGGAGAGAGGAGGTAATATTGGTATACCTTGGTATTTAATCGTCAATTGGGACGGAACTCGATGAGGAAAAGGACGCGGTGTGCTAGTGGTACGCGCAACTTTGCTAGATGGACACGAATTGGAGGTACGTACCGTATTTCAGCAGCCTCACTTGCGTCCTCTGCCGGCAAAATTCACTGGCAGTTTGGATGTGTACTGGTACCTCCCCGCAAAGTTTGTGCCCCTAGCGAAAGAGGTGTGTATACCTAGCCGTGTCGCCGAGGCACCTTCACCACCTTCACCTCACAATCCACTTCACTACGGACATCGGAGCCTCTTTCAATATCTTCTCTATTCTTTGCACCTAGCTATCTTGAACTCTACACCAGCTACTTTTTCTCTTCCTCGCTTTTCCCATCTCCACTCCGCCATCCCCAGTCCCGAGTCACCAGCCACCAGTCACCATGCCTTCTCAGGCCAGAAAGGCGTTGAACAAGGAGCCCGGCCTCTGGTTTGGCCAGGGTGTCATCTTTTCTTCACGTACTGTCGCGGAAGTCGCCTACCATGTTCTCTTCGGACCCGAATTTGCTTCCGCCAACCCTGACGCCCTCAGTGTTATCGGCGTCCCACGTGCCACATCCTTCTTCAACAATCTGCTCCGATATGCAGATCTATACTTGGCTGTCCGAGGAGACTCCCTGTTTTGGGAAACGGCACTGAACAATTGGGACGATGCCTCCATCGAAATCAGCATCGAGATAGCTAAGGAGATCGAATCTGCGTATTCCGTCGCCCGCACGAACTATGGCGGCCCCGCCGTGTCCAGCGAGCTTATCACCGTCATCGACCAATGGAACTCGCTTAAAATACATGCAGCATCCCTCCCATTATCTTCTCGACAGCTACAGTTGGTTGTGCGGACGGAAAACGTCCAAGACATGGTCAACAGCCTGACCTCGATCACCCTCGGCGGTGCTCCCGCCCCAGCACCACCAACCTGGCCTCCTGCCTATCTCGCCCCGGACGACATAGTTTACCTAGCTCGCGCGGGCATTCGAGCCAGAATCCACGGCGTTACGTCTAGCAACCCCGGTCAACCCCCAGAGATTCCTGGCGTTCATGCCGACCCAATCAAGATGCGCACCTTCCTCAGCTGGATACTGCTCGCTTTCTACACGCCAAATCCCGACTGGGCCCTCTTCGGGATGCCCGTCGCCTTTCTGCACGAGGCCCTTCGGAACAAATGGTATTACCTGTCGGGAGGGCAGTCAAAAGTATTTGGGAGCATGGATTCTTTCTTCAGATACACCGCCAACGCCTTCTCTGCCCGTGGAAAGTCCACCGTGACTGCACTGCTCACGCCCTGGCTCATCAAACGGGATCAGGTGCAGATGCTTGCACCGAGATTTGCCTCCGGGCAGCCTGATTACTTTTCCCTCTTCAGTACCAACCCCCTCGCCGCCAAGATGGGGATTGCCCTTATCCTCCGCCGCATTGAGCGGGGAGGGCGCGTCGGCCTCCAGACGGTAGTGTTCGACCCCTCGATGAATTACGAGCCCTGCAATAGGCTCGTGAGACCCCACCACACGAGTGTCTTCCAGTTTCGTGAGGACCTCGTCGAAAAGCTTCGCACCTGGGCTGCTGGGCTCGGAGCCCCTGTGCTGGAGATTTGGTTCGGCGGCGTCCTTCGGGGCTACCAATACACGGATTCGGTGACGCTTAGCTCCGTATTTCTCGCCAACGTGGTGGAAAGCGGCTTGCTGCCTGGCCTTGGTGCCGAGGATGAAGAAGCGTGGACTGCTCTCGGATTCAACAGGATGGATTTTTAGGAGGCGACGAGATGTGGCGGACAGACAACACGCCGGGTGTTCGCTGTCTCGGGCCGGGGATAATTAATCCCATAAATAGAGATCAGAATTGACTTGACCACAAACCGTGCCATGAATCGCTTTGCTTTCGCCAGATTGACTGCCTTTGAGAGTTACCTACCGGCAGCAAACCCACATCGTCCTTGAAAATAACTGTTCCATTCGCCCCCACGTATTGACAAATCCGCCAAACAAGCTTTGCCTTCAGCCTACACCTTCTCCCCGGCAGCGCGCCTCAGCACATCCGCCAGCCACTCCGCGTGGCTGATCATGAGACAGTGTCCGCCACCGCACCTCTCACGACATCAAATGACGTCGGTTCCAGGGCCCTTGCCGTATCGAGGATTATGTCAACAATCTCCATTGAGAAGAAGGACTTGTCCCGCTCTCCCACGACGTACGTGGACGGGATATCGCGCCAGGCCGCGTAGGTCTGCTTGCTCAAGAAGACGCCGGCGCTGCGGTGGGTGAGGGTTGCTGTCCACGTCTCTGCTTCATCCGATGGGAGGTCATTGAATAGGACATATTTTGCTCCTCCGGGAGCGACGGATATTGTTCCTTTCTATCAAATTGGGCTCTCAGCGTCAGTGATTAAATTCTCGTGTCGCCATTTCGTTTTCGACGGAGAAAACAGAGCCCAATGGACAAATAGCCGACGGGAGAACATGATCACGGAGCATTTCAACGGGCGCCGTCACCTCACTTCGGCATCAACTAGCATCCGCGGAGGGAACTGTGCCCCACTAGCCGTCGGCGTGAACCTTTCGGGCATGACATACGCCTGGACGAAGACCAGATGCACCACCCCTCCCTTCTGTCCCTTACCCTCGCGCTCTCGCTTTCCCAGCCCCTTTTACCACCTCAGACCCTGGCATGCCGGCATATGAGTGCAGCACGAGAACGACTTCGCTCTGCTCCGCCACCACGAGCCGGGTCAGGCACCTCCGGATCCCATCCACGTCTTCGGTGCGAATATGCTTCTTCACAAGGGGGCGCAGAGTCTCCTTGTGAAATGAGGCTCGACTGGTTTTTGATCCAAAAGTCGCAGATGCCGTCAAAGGTGTTACTGATGATGATAACCGGCCTCTGGCCCAATCTGTCGTCGTTAGGCAGTTGCGCGGCGAATCTTGGGCGAATCTTGGGCCAGTCCACTTATTTGACGAGAAGGTGAGCTTGGTGGAAAAGGATTGTGCTCGCCGGAGCTGCAGCAAATTGCCGACCAACGGTCATCCTTGGACCCGAGGTATCCCCTTGATGCTATCTCGCTGATAGAATCTGGAAAGAAGATGAAAAGGAGAGGAACAAGAATGAGCACTAACAAATAACCTCCAATTATGCCCTTGAGACGCAAGGCCCGTCCCGCCCCATCTTGACATGCACCATCTCCGCATCTATGCTCAAGTCCGACATTTCAAGGTTTACCTTGTTCTTCGTGTACTCGCACACCTCGCCATTGGCATGTTTGTGTCCATCTACATTCCGGGAAGGGTCACGAATGCATGACGACGGCGAAATCAGTGTCTCGGGGCTGACAGCTTCAACCTTGGCCATTGTTATCGGGGCTTAGGCCGTGGAGAGGGTGGCCCCAAATGCAAAGGCCTTTGTCCACAGCACCGCGGCACTGCTCTTCTAGAGTCAATTGCGAGAAAGTTACCACAATATCCGCTCTCTGAGGAAGGAAAGCGGCTGCAAAGTAGCAATTAGGACATCGAAATCTGCAACCTCGACTTAATATCCCCATATAGTCGCGAGGTCAGATTCTAAAGGACCTCAATATGGATAACCCGGCTTGCAAAACAACGACCATCGTAGCCACGCTTGCCGGCCGAGGTGTTCCCGCGTGAGTGTGCATACTTTTATCTCCCAAATATTTGTGTGCGCCTGGCCTAGTCTTGTTGTTCGTCATAAAAAAACGGGTGGAGCGATGGTTGTCAGTTTACTGTTAATTTGTGAAGAGGAATTGAGCCACGCGTGTCAAGAATAAGACAGGTGATCAGTTACGTTCAGCCAGGTATCCACTCGTAATGCGTGGACATGGATCATCGGCCCATTACCTTGGCTGTGGGTGTGATTGTTTTTCTTGGCAACGCCGGCCTTGGTCCCTCTTTCGAATGTTCCCTACGAATGTTCCCTGATCCCCCGCGTGTTCCGTCGGCTTGTTTCGTTCAGTCGTTCGCTTACGGCGGCAAGTCGCTTGTTGCTGTGGGGCGACAGGATGATCAGAAGAGGAGTACAAACTTGGGTGGCCCACAATGGGAGTACTGCCGAGGGTGTGGTGGTACTGTGGTATGGTGCTACTGTAGGAGAGTACATGTGTATGTATAGGACTTTTGTTCTATGCGTGTTGTTCTTTTACGAAACTCTTAATTCGATGCTTCCGTCCATCTTCCCCCCCAACCATATGCATCTTTCTCAACCATACGCATGTCTTTCCCAACCAGACGGCGAAATGCTAAATTGAACCGAAAAGGTTGCTTTTGTTCGCCAAGCAATCCCTAAACCGCTCCTCCTGCCAATTCCAGGCTACACCCCATAGTATGACGTCGTTGTCGTCATACCTTGCACAGGGTTTGTCTCACCAGCGCTAGCGCACCCATCATCCTATTAAATCTCCGGGACAAGCCTCAACATTCCCCACAAGGAAATCCTCAAGACCCACCCCCTGCTCTTTGCGCCTCGGTGATCCAGGGTTCAAATTTTCTTTCGCCCTCTTCTCAGTCTTGGCAGGGCCATTTCTCTGACTAGTGTAGTACTAATACAGGAAAGTATATTTTTAACCTTTGGGGAACCATCTCTCTTCTTCCCTTCTCCTCTCCCCCTTCTTTCCCCGATCCACCACCGGAAACTTGCCCACGACGCGCATCTTTTGACTTGCAATCCAGCGACGACGACGCCTGTGAATGATTGCTACTTGATTGGTTTCACGAACCGACATGTGCCGCTCACCTGTTCATCCTCGTTCTCAGCTTTGATAACTAAGGCATCTGCCTTCCTCTTGTGGTCCTCTTATCCATCGTCTGTTGCCTGCCTGTGTCCGTGTGTCTTGTCTGTGCTGCGTGACTGTTGTGTGTCTGCCTCGCTGTAGCCTTCACGCGCGCGCGCTCGCAATACGCAGACCCGGCCCGTCACCGTCACCGTCACCGTCACCGCCACCATCACCTCCCTCGGCGCCGCCACCACCGGCACCATGTCACTAAACCACGTGCCCAGCAACGGCAGCAACAAGATGGACTCCAAGGACGACAAACCCCCGTTCGACACCTCCTCTCCCCGGCCCAGCATCAACGAGTCGGCCGACCAGCTGCTCACAAACCTGGGCTACAAGCCGGAGCTGTCGCGCAACCGGTCAACCTTCCAGGTCGCCTTCATGTCCTTCGTCCTGGCCTCGATCCCCTACGGCTTGGCCACTACCCTCTACTACCCGCTCGTCGGGGGCGGCCCCGTCAACATCATCTGGGGATGGGTCCTCGTGTCTTGCATCATTGTCTGCGTCGCTGCGTCACTCGGTGAGATCACGAGTGTTTATCCCACCGCCGGAGGTAACACTGAACATATTTTCTTCACCGCCCCCCTCCTCATCCCCTCATCCTGGCCGGGACTTACCGGACCCCTCCCCCGAAAAGAGATCCCGTCCCGAGGTTCGTGAAATTGATATCTGTTTCTAGGTGTATACTACCAGGCTTTCATGCTTGCGCCCGCTCGTTGGCGCCGTGTGGCGAGTTGGATCTGCGGATGGCTCTATGTCGTCGGCAACATAACGATCACGCTGGCCGTCAACTTCGGCACCACTCTCTTCATCGTCTCGTGCATTAACGTGTTTGAGAAGGAGCCCGGCGTTGGCGTCTTCGCTGGCGAGGATTACCAGGTCTTCCTCATTTTCCTCGGCATCACTCTCCTGTGCAACGCAGTCTCTTCGCTGGGGAACCGATGGCTCCCCTATCTCGATGTGAGTGCCGTTTACCCTCCCAAGTGTGACATTCTGCTGACTTGTGACCAGACTGGCGCCATCTTCTGGACCTTTGCAGGTGTCATCGCCCTTGTCATTAGCGTTCTTGTCATTGCCAAGAATGGTCGCCACGATGCCAAATACGTCTTCACCCACTTTGAATCCTCCTCCGGCTGGCCGGATGGATGGTCCTTCTGTGTTGGCTTGCTCCACGCCGGCTACGCTACTTCGTCGACAGGCATGATTATCTCGTGAGCACGCGCCTTTCCTTGTCTCCGGTTAATTTAAAACCCCGTTTCCACAATACTGACATTCCCACCCCACCATAAGCATGTGCGAAGAGGTCCAGCAGCCCTCGATCCAGGTCCCGAAAGCCATGGTCGGCACCGTCATCCTCAACACCTTCGCCGGCCTGCTCTTCCTCATCCCACTCGTCTTCGTCTTGCCAGACATTCAGATGCTGATCAATCTCGACTCGGGCCAACCCGTGCCGGCGATCCTCAAGGATGCCATCGGCTCCCCCGGAGGTGCCATTGCGCTCCTTATCCCCCTCATTGTCCTCGCCATCATATGCGGCATCGGCTGCACGACGGCAACCTCGCGCTGCACCTGGGCCTTTGCGCGAGATGGCGCCATTCCGGGCTCCAAGTGGTGGATGAAGGTCAACCGGAGGCTGGACGTGCCTCTCAACGCCATGATGCTCAGCATGGCCGTCCAGCTCATCTTGGGTCTCATCTACTTCGGCTCGTCCGCCGCCTTCAACGCCTTCTCCGGAGTCGGTGTTATCTGCCTGACCGCCGCATACGCCACCCCGATCGCCATCAGCCTCTTCGACGGTCGGAAGAAAATCAGGAAGGGCCGGTTCTATCTCGGACCCATCGGATACTTCTGCAACATCGTGGCGTTAGGTGCGTGCCTCCCCCCAACCTTACTCACTTTGTCTTGCTTATTGTCTAGCCTGGTCTTTGCTGGCTATGCCGCTCTTCTGCATGCCCTCGCAACTTCCCGTCACGGCCGCCACCGTCAACTATGCGCCGGCCGTATTCGTCGGCGCCACCATCATCTCCGCCGTGTGGTACTGGGCCTGGGGCCACAAGAATTATGCTGGTCCGCCGACGTCGCACGAAGACTGACCACTGCAAAAATTGACTTACTCCCTGGCTGCCCGCCCTATCGTACGCGAATGGGTGCATGCTGGGGCGAGCAATTGCTATATAGCCTCCAGAGCTGGAGTAGTCTAAATGAAAAATGGCAATCAATCATCGCAATTCTACTTATTTATTCCGTATGTGTTGCAGAGCTCGACTTACACGAGTTGGATCCACGTGATTTTCGCTACCCCTCCCTTCCTGCACCCCCTGGTCTAAATCGGAGTAATCATGCCCGATCTTACCATGCAGCGGGAGGCTGACGGGAGTCGAGGCTGAGAACTAGGGCCTATCAACATTCGTAATTATAATTCGACGACCTTGTTTAAGCAACCTCGTCTCTCAATTATTCCGTGTCAAACATGCCGCGGTCCGCAAATTCGAGGTACACCGTCTCCCGATTCGACTTGAACACCAAGGTTTATCGATTTCTGACCTTCGACTAGCCAGATGGAATCGCACGATGACGATGGCTCCATTTGGGGTTTTGTCGGGACTAATCGCGAGCAGTCAGAAAACGGAGAGAGCGATGACGGCAGCATGGTTATGGTGGCTCGGTGTATGCCAGGACTGCATCCTCACTTGCAGCTGTCCGGTCGCTGATATGAGAAACGTATGCTAGCCTCGAGTCCCTGGCCTGTTGACTTTCGCGCCATCCGCAATCCAATCCCTCCTCCAGTGAGACTAGAATGGCCTCCCACCTTGCCGTGGTTCCAAGCTCAGGCTCTTTATTCTAGAGTCAGGGGTACCGATCATCTACAAAGTCCCACTGCATGGCGTTGGCTGATCGATGGTGGTAGATACTACCCAGCCTTCTGCAGGAGCACAAGTGCGTCGCGCAGCGAAGTTGTTTCCAACGCCGGAGACTAGCAAGACGCTAATGACCGCTGTCGGGTCGCGGGCAGTTGCCAATATGCTCACCGAGACGGGAGGCATCAAGTTAGCCGCCGCCGAGCTAGCGAAGTCAATGCCGGAGAGTTTCGAGGGGGAACATATGTCCCGCCTCGAGGCCCTAATCGGCGACGATCCGTTGGAAGCCAAGCATGCGGCGCTACGTTTGCTCGCCTACCAGGTCTCGAACAACCTCGTGCAGGACGACGAGGACGACCCGGACGATGACAAGAACGAGAGAATCGTCAAGATGTTCAGGGATGTCGGCCTTCCCTCGGATCTCTGGGTGAAGACTTTCTCGCAGAACGACCAATCGACCAGGGCTTTCGCCGAGAACTTATTTGAGGCGGCCGTCAACTGCCGGGCTCGCGATGTGATGGAGGCACTTCTGGAGTCCGGTGTCAACCCCAACCAAGTAGTAAGGTCGGTTATGACTGGCCGGCTTGCGAGACCGATACAGATCGCAGCGGATTCCCGGGTCCACGATGCTGAAATGGCAGCATTGTTGCTCCGCCATGGAGCGGGTGTTGACTTGACCACCGAGGAGGAAGAAAAGCCCGCCATGCACATTGCAGCGGGGTCCGCAACGCTGGATGTTGTCAAAGTGCTCGCCGAGAACGGCGCAGATATCTATGGTCGCTGTAGCCCAGACTTCCTCGAACCCGTCAGCACTCACACGCCGTTGGTTTGTGCAGCCAACTCGGCAGCGTACCAAGAAAGATGGTACCAAGAAGGTCGACGATCACCACAAGAAGCCAACCTGCCAGAGGAGCGTCCAAGCTACCAGATCTTTCGTTATCTTCTTGATTTACACAGAAAAGCCAAGTTTCCAAGCCGGAATCGGAGCATCTACCGAGACGCACTTGTGATGGCAGCATTTCGCGGAAGGATCGACTTCATCAATCTCCTCCGAACCGTAAGCGTGGACGCATCTGAGCGCACAGCCAGCGGCGTCAGTCCCCTAGAAGCCGCCGCAGCGCGAGCCCAGAGGACAGTGCCAACCTCATCGATTCTCCTCAAGATGGGAGCGGCGGCAAGCCCGCCGCGCCGGCGGGGACGTCGCGGCGAGCAGCCATCTGCACTGCATATCGCGGCCTCGAACGATGACGCCAAGCTGGTACAGCTGCTCGTCGATAACGGCGCCCTAGTCAACGACCATGTCAGGCTCGAATCGTGGACCGACACTGGTGTCCTCAGCAGGGACTACTACTATCGCAATCCGGAGGACTCGAAACCGGTCTTCCTTCACCATCACACCCCTCTCCAAATGGCGCTCCACTCAAGGACCGACATGTTCCGCGCTGGGCACAAAACGGGCACGTCGGCCCTCATCTTGCTATCAGCCGGCGCCGATCTCGTAGGTGGGGAGCTCGCCCAGGCCGTTCTCATCGGAAACGAGGATGTCATCCACGCGCTGCTGGACCGTGGAGCTGACCCCAACGACAAGGGCCTGGATGGTCTGACCGCCCTCCAAGCCGCCATCTCTGCGGGCCAGGAGGAAATAGCTACCATTCTGCTACGTTCCGGAGCCAAGCTATGCGGCGGCGAGATGTACTTGGCCGTCAATGCCGGTCAGAGGAAGATGGTGGAAGCGCTCCTCGAGAGGGGCAGCAGCCTGAAGGACACCAGCCTGACGGGATCGACGTTGCTGGAGGCAGCTTGCAACTCCGGTTGCTTAACTTTTCTGACAGAGATCGCCGGTGAGGGGCGTGTTACCCTCCGCTACGACTCTGGCGCTCTATGCGCCGCTGTGCTCAAGGGAGATTTGGCCCTCGTCGACGAACTGCTCAAATTGAGACCACGCGGGAGAAGAAACCCGGTATTGGAAGCCACAGCCCTCGGCATCGCGGCGTACACAGAACAGGAGCCGATATTCAACCGCCTCCTCCGCCTAGACAACGGTTTCCCAACGCACTGCATACTTCCCATGCCCGACGATTTCCACGGCCACAAAGCCGTGATCCTCTACAGATACACCGTCTCCGAAGCCTACAAAACCACCGGCTTCTGGCACAAGCCCAACATGATCCGCTCCTCCCCCCTCGTCCCAGCCCTCCTCTCCAAGAACCACACCCTCATCCAAGCCCTCCTCTCCGCCCACCACCGGCCCGACCCCCTCTCCCTCCTCGTCGCAATCCGCCACCACCCCCCACCCACCATAACCACCCTCCTCGCCCACGGCGCAGACGTCAGCCGGCCCCCGCGCCACGACCTCGACACCCCCTTGCAATTCTCCATCCGCCTCCGCCGCCTCGCCACCGCCCGCCTCCTCCTCTCCCACGGCGCCGACCCCTCCGCCCTGCCCGCCGTCCTAGTCCCGGCGTACGACCCGGGCACAGACGACCCGCCTCTCCCAAACGCCTGGCGCGGCCGCTCGGCGGTGCAGGCGGCGGTGGAGACGGGAGACGACGACGACGGGTTGCTGGAGGAGCTTGTGTCTGGGCGCGGCGTGGACGTCGACGGGCCTGTTGCGGCCGACACGGGTGCTTCGGCTTTGCAGCTTGCGGCAATGGCGGGGCGGATGGGGGTTGCGAGGCGGTTGGTTGGGGGTGGGGCGCTGGTTGACCGGGGGCGGGCGGAGAGGTTTGGGCGGACGGCGCTGGAGGGCGCGGCGGAGATGGGGAGGCTTGATATGGTGCATTTCCTGCTGGAGAGGGGGGCGCGCATCACGGGGTGGTGGGGCACGTGGCAGTACCTGCGGGCGGTGGGGTTTGCGCGGCGGAATGGACACCTTGCTGTGGCGAGGTTGCTGGAGGGGCGGAGGAGGTGGGGGAGGGTTAATTGGGCGCGGTTTGAGAATCCTGGGCTGCTGGATGAGGTGTTTGTGCTGGATCAGCGGCCGCCTAGGGGGTTTAGGTCTTCCACTTCTAATGAGGATGAGGAGGAGGAATTTGATGAGTCTGAAGACGATGAGGAGGCATATGATGATTCTGAAGGCGACGAGGAGAGTTATGACGACTCTGATGAAGAGGATGAGCTTGAAAACGAACAACCTGAGGGCAAAAAAGAGCGTGAAGACGAAGAGGGCGGGGAAGACGAAGACGAGGTGGTTGTAGTAAAATGAGATGACAGAGCTCTACACGATTGTATGTACGGAATACAATCCCTATATCACCAGCAAGAATTCCAGTGGCGGGGTTGTATCTTCCAGAATTGCGTCTCATTGGCCGAAAGGTGCTGTTGGAAGGGGAAACATGGCTGCTGCATACTCATTCCAGTCATCATCCTTATTGGACGCCATGATGTGTTTTCAGGTCAGCTGAAGACACGTGCATGTTTGGTGCATGGTTTCTCGTCAGCCTGGAAGCCCAACGCGAAAACTCTGCCTGATCATCTCAGCATTGAACCGGACAACCACCGCAGGCTCGTTCCCAAAAATCGTCACGTCATGTCCGGGCTTGAAGCGTTGGCTACCCTCGGGCTAGCCTGCAATATCATGCAAGTCATCAGCTTCGCCCGCGAGACTGCCGAAATCTGCAGCACAGTCTTCCAAACGGGATCTGTCGACCCCAGCCTCACCACCACCGTGGCACATCTCACCAAGGCCTTTGGGGAATTGGATAGCTCCCTGGCCGCAGCGCCAGCTCCCTTGACCTCCGATGATGACGAACTGTGTGCCATAGCAAAGGCTTGCTTGGTGACAGCAAAAAAGTTGGATGATGAAGTTCGCAAAGTCTCTAGTGCGAACTCGAAGGGCAATCATGCAAGAGCCGTGCTGGTAGGCTTAAAGACAAAGTTGCAAGGAAAGATTGAGAAGATGGAGAAGTCGCTGGCCGCTCACCAAGGAACCCTACAGACCAGGCTGCTGCTACAAATATAGTAAGACGCCTCCACCCAGTCGCTCGCAGATGCAACGGAGCCTAACACGCCACGTAATATAGCAAAACCCACGGCTCCGTCCTAGTTGAACAGCAAGGAAATCTTGGCGAGATTGACAGTAGTCTTCGCAGTTTCATGGACGCTCTTGCCCGTGGGGAGACAGACATGGCCCACCTGATTGACCGGCGATCCATTGACGTCAAAGAACATGTCACCACCGAGATGTCGAAAGTCCAGGAAACAGTGAAGGCACAAGCGGCAGAGCTTGCCAGTGACGAGCAACACAAACAATTGCTTCATAGTCTGAAGTATGAAACCATGAATGAGCGCCGCAACCAAATCGCCGAGTCTCACGAAGAGACGTTCCATTGGATTTTTGGGTGCCCGGTGAGTCCCCCTATGCTCTCGCCACACTTTGGGACTAATGTGTGTCCTTTTTGTCCTTTCTCTCTAGCCGGAGAACCAGTCAGACCCGTCAGACTCGTCAGACTTGCCAAACTTGTCAAACTTGTCAAACTCTGGAGATTCTGGAGACTCGTTCGGCCTGTCAAGTCGTAGTGAGTGCGACCCAGACGATCCTCCTGATTGGAATGAATGCGATTGGGACGATTTTCCCGATTGGCTTAGATCTTCGGAAAAGAACCTGTATTGGCTCAGCGGCAAGGCTGGATCCGGGAAGAGCTCACTGGTCAAATTCCTGGTTCAGGATTTGCGAACGACATCTCTTCTGAACTCGGCGCTAGAAAGCTCCGATACCAGCTCGAGACCCCCCGATACCGACACGCTGATATTGTCGCATTTTCTGTGGTCTGCTAGCCAACAACCTCTGGGGAAGAACATCAAGGGCTTGCTGTGCTCTCTCCTTCACCAGCTTCTCGAGGACAACCGAGCGCTCTCCTCTCGTACATTGCGGAAGTATCCGGCAGCGGCACGCAAGACCTTCTCCAGCGACTGGTCCCAACAAGAGCTAGATACCGTGCTGTTCCGGGCCTTGAAGTATCAGGTCTCATCTCGGCCAGTCTGCATTTTCGTCGACGGACTTGACGAGATCGACCCAACTGACGAACAGTTTCGGGTGCTGGAGCTCATCGACAAGCTCCAAGCTGTCCCTCACCTGAAAATCTGTGTCTCGAGTCGGCCAGAGCCCATCTTCAAAAGGCGCCTGAGCAAATACCCTATGCTCCGCCTCCAAGACCTTACTAAGTCGGACATTCGAAAATATACGAGCGTCTTCCTTCGGCGTCACTTTGAACCCAACGACGAGGAGTTATGGGAATTTCTGGATACTGTCTGTAGAATGGCAGACGGGGTTTTCCTATGGGTAGCCCTCGTGCTCAAGACGCTAGAGCGAGGACTTTCCAACGACGACAGCATCGACGTGTTGCGACAGCGGCTGGAAGTACTCCCGTCCGACCTCCATCAACTCTACCAGCAAATGTGGCGTCGTTTGAATGACGATGAGCGCCTTTACCGCAAAGAGGCTGCCATGCTCTTCAACGCCGTACTGGATGGTCTGGCTGTCTCCCTGCACTTGACAGTGGCTGTTGCTCCACTCGCGCTCGATGACTCCTTGGTCCGCAGAGTATTGAAAGATCACACTATGTTGGACGCAGACACTTGGAAGGATATGCAGTCGGCTACCCTGAATCTTTTGGACGTTCGATGTGCCGGTCTCCTGAAGGTTTCTGGATCCATTATCGCCTTTATCCATCGATCCGCAAAGGATTTCTTCGATACTCCCCAAGGTCAGCAAATACTCGCGCACGACGAACGGTCTCTAGATTCCCGCCTGAACCAATCTTATCTTGCCCAGTTGACATCAATTAGGCTTCAACTATGTTTAGAAGGCACCAAGCCTCAGATAGTCCATCCTGCAAGCGATTTCGTTGGGTGGATCCGTCACCAGTTGTTTCGCGGCCGTCTTTCACCAGACAGTGCTCTGGACCTCATGCACTATTGCGAAGACGTGTACGAGGCAACAGCCTGGTCTTATCATGGTGCTCCGGGCGATCCAAATCACCCGCGTATTGATTTCCTAAGTCTAGCAGCCGTGTTGGGGTGTGATCAGTTCTTCTTCTCTGCCGTTGAACGCATGCCCGTTGCCAGGACTATGTCAGTCACATACAGAAGTTATCTGCTCTCTTCAATCTTCACGTCGCCGTGGTCGCCCCCTATACAGAACGATATCTTGGACGGGAGGTCACGCATTGCCACTTGGCTACTCGAGGCAGGAATCGACCCCAATTACCGCAGCATCAATCTCGACTCCCTCAAGTACGTTGCGCTTCAGCAGTTAAATCGGTTGCCTCCTCGCCGGCATTTGGTCATCGAGTCAACCTTACTCGTTTACCTTTTCGACCTGACCATGGACGCTTGGGGGACACTCCGTTCTCCAGTTGGATACATGAACGCCTTACTCGACTGCGGTGCCAGGATTTCTAACCCGGCACTTGTTATTTTGATTATTGACGGGAATGCTTTTCATCTATTTTCTCACTGGAACCTTTTCACCGTCATGACGCCCAACACTGCACTCATCGTGGAGGCCAATCTAGGACTTCTATTAAGCATATACGTTAAATCACAGCGGAACACGGTCAAAACGGAGGAATATCCAGAGTTTCGCCGGTTGTCAGAAAGGATATCGGGTGTAGAGGCATCCGCAACTCTGTTGGGATTTGCTTTGGAATCTCAGGGGCAACATCAATATCTCCAGCCAGCCTCCGCCGACGACAGCACTTTTGTGTTGGAGACTCTAAGCAACATTCGCCTCGACATTAGCGAGCCCGGCTCCAAGAAGTACATAATCCCGGATATTGTTGAACGACTCAGGGGTATAGCAGGCCACTCGGTACCTTCATCCCATGATGAGATCGAAGCCCGACTCGTTGCAAACGGGCTGCTTGTCGACGCAAAGGAGGTGAAGGATTGGCCGCCCGCCCGCTTCGCACCTTAGCACCCCTCGGCTTGATGTTCAGAAACCCCCAGAACGACCAGCATTTGCTCTCGATCCATTATCGATGGTGATAGGTCCCAAGCACAAATCTCGGAATATTGACGCCGGACACTAACAATCAAATCTCCACCTCACCAAAGTCGATTCCCGGGTCTAGCCCTATTGCAGCTACGCCACGTGGAGCCAAGTGCCAAGACTAAACGGCTTAGGAAGGCCGTGAAGCAAAGTTGGGTAATCAACTGGGGTAGCTGGCGAGGAGATTGGGGAATCCGGGGAGAAAAACAACCTGGGGAGAAATTCCACCAATGGCGACCCACCTCCCCGAAGCAGCAGAATTCATCCACCGATAACAGTTGGCGATACAGACGTTAGCAAACACTGTCGATCCCTGAGTGCGGAGAAGAGTGGAGAAGCCCCTATAACGTAGCTTCGACTCCAAAACTCTGCCTCGATACTTTAAGTTGCACCTTCCTCCTCTCTGATTGAGATGTCTGGTCGACAACCGAGCAACTCCTACTCCTCTGCCCGTCTCGCGGTCAATCTTCTTGCCTCGTCCCCTCCTCGCAAAGATGAGACCCAATCTGTTCGCGCCCCTTGCGGTGCTCGCCACGGGGTCCTTGTTTGTCTCTGCCCTGGCCCAGGAAACGGACGACGAGCTGTCGTTGATCACCCAGCGGCGAATTGTTGATCTCGCCCAATTCCCCGACCCTGCGTGGTTCACGAACATTCCAACCTGGCTGGCATCGCAGAAGGATGACGGGACGTGGGATGACGTGAACTATCTGTCTGGTTGTGCAGCCCGTAAGTCAAATCATCTTCCCTCTGCTGTCATAGCATACCTTTTACCCGCGGCTCGATACTGATTCGCATCCTCCACACCGCAGAACGTGCCAATTGGCCCATCCAACAGCACTGGAACAGACTGATCACCTTTGCGGCAGCATGGAGTGGAGCTAACCCTTCGGTGCCGGCCAACTGGACCAAGGATGAACAGCTCTGGGCCGCCATCTCGAAAGGGCTTGACTATTGGTTTGACAACGACTACACCCCGGATGACTGCATGGGAAACGGTGGTTCCGAGTACGTCGCCGGACTTATTTGATGCTCAGATGGCCTCTATACGTCGCTGAAGATGGATGAGAAGCTGACCGAATTTCAGCAGTGGGAACTGCCCATGTGGCACACCCGGATTGTGGAACACGGTAAGATGACTACTTCCCTTCCTCTAGGACATAAAAAGCCTAACAGACTTGCTCTGCAGAACTGGTACGGCCAAGCTATTCTGATTCCCCAGCTCTGCTCGACGACGTGTCTTCTTGCCAAGGACGGGGACCTGACGGAGGAGCAACGCGCCGGTTGCGAACGTATCCCTCTCCGTTCGTATGTCTTGAGGGATGAGCGATACGGCACCGGAGGCTACATGACTGGAGCCAATGTGAGCCTTTTCTGCTTCTTCTTCTTCCTCTCCTGGCCGTTCGCTCACATGATTCGCACAGGCTGTCCTGGTCATGCAGAATTCCGTCAGCCTCGCGCTCTTCATCAACAACGCCACCATCCTACAGGACGCGTTCAGCAGGACCATGGCTGAGATTACAGTGGGTGACATGGCATTTATGACGTGGTGGTAAGAACACCTGAGTATTAACATGTTTTAGTTCGCCGATGGGGCTGCCGCAGATGGCATCCATCGTGATGGCTCGTTCCTCCAGCACAAGGGAATCCTATACAATGGCAACTACGGCAAAGATTTGGTGAGGCAGTAACCACCCTTACGTGTGCGTGTGTACCGAGTGAGTTGCTAACCTTAGATCCAGCTCAATGCCTTCATCCAGCTTGAAGGGGAGGCCATTGGCACCACATTCGCTGCAGACGACGCCACCCGAGATGCTCTGGCTGCCCAGGTCAAGGGCAACGAGTGGATGATCTACACCGACCAGGACACCAAGGTCGAGCACTGGGATTTTGTCAGTAACAGTCCAGCCGCCAGGTTCCTTCAACAACCCGTACTGACTTGAGGATCCTGCAGAATGCTATCGGTCGCTTTGTTGCCTTCCCAACCCCGGATCTACAGGCAAGCGCGGATATCAATTTCAACGTGACGAAGCTTGCCGCTGCCACTGCCGACTTTGCGGGAGCCAACAATGTGAACGACACTATGCGACGACTCCAGTCGAACGGCACCGAGAAGCTTATTGGAAACAAGGGCTTCTGGGCAAGTGACTACATGGTGAGTTTGAGCTGAGCTGATCCGATCTGCATCCCCGTTAGATTCAAGGAATTATCTAAACATACCAGGTCCACCGTCGCGAGTCCTTCATCCTCACGAACAAGATGCTGTCAACCAGATCCCTCAATTCCGAGGCCGTCAACGACGCCAACCCCCTCGGCTACCACATGGGCCAAGGCACCCTGTACTCATACGTGTCAGGCAACGAATACAAGGACATCATGGGCGCATGGGACTGGAACCTCGTCCCCGGCACCACCGTGCTGCTCAACAAGCCCAAGCTCCAGCAATCCGTCGTCGGGTTCACCGGCAAGCGCAACTTCGTCGGCGTCGTCAGCGACGGCTCGGTGGGGACGGCGGTGCAGGACTACGTCGACCCGTACGATGCCAGCCTCTCCTTCCGCAAGGCCTGGTTCTTCCTCGACGACTCCGTCCTCGTCACCACCAGCAACGTCCAGATCAACACCTCCGTCGCCAACTCCCCGGCCATCACCGTCCTCGACAACCGCGCGGCCGTATCATCGCCCATATGGGTGGACGACAAGCAAGTGACCGTCTCGGGCGGCGCAACAGCAGAGGGTAGCACCCTCTACTACGGCGGCAACGGCTACCTGTCCTACAAGACCCCCTTCTCGCTGACCCTCACCAACGGTCCCCGCACCGGCAACTGGTCCGCCATCTCGACGTCCACGCTCGGCGAAACCACCGTCCCCATCTTCTCCGCCTACACCACCATCCCGCACGACACCCACACCTACGCCCTCTTCCCCGCCACCAGCCGCTCGCGGCTAGCCCGCGAGGCCACGAACCCGTCCTCGGCGCCCGTCTCCGGACCGGGCATCACCGGCGTCGCCGGCTCCGGCAGGTTGAGTCTGGTGTTCTGGCCCGGCGGCGACAAGAGCATCACGGTCGACCTGGCCGCGATCGGGTGGGCCGAGGCCGGGTCCGTGACCGTCACGTCCGACCAGCCCGGCGCGTACCTGTTTTCCAGCCGGTGCAAGCGTGCTGGCAAGGGGATGAGGCTTGCTATTACCTTGTCGGATCCCACTCAGAAGGTGTCTCAGGGGGGGTTCTCGCTGACGTTTGAGGGGGCGAGGGTGAAGCAGGTGAATGCGGGGCAGGATGATGGGTTTGCGGCCATTGAGGGAGGGGCGCGGTTTGATGTGAAGATGCCTGAGGGGGGGTTGGCTGGTTCTTCTGTTAGTCGTAACGTGTTCCTGTACTGGACATGATAGTGTAGTCTAGCTCTGAAGGGATTGGTATATAGAAGCGTAGACCCGATGTCTTGACGGCTGCACTCGGCTCTGACGCCCCTTTTCCTGTTGACGAAAAGTTAGGAGTTTGTCTCTCAGCTATTCTTGGTTACAAGCACATGAAGAGCAGAGGCCAGGGCAGGAAAACTTGAAATCATTCCTCATAAATAACCATCTACTCTATGATATGCATTGCTAAAAATCACATAATTATGCTAAACCCTCGCTGATCGACCCTTACGCCCGCCTATATTCAGATCTGCTTCCATCAAAGGAACAACCTTGGTGCGGCAGATAAGCTTGTGTCCAATGTAAAGAGCAACCCAAAGCATCAAGCTGACATAACAAGAAAAGAAATCGCTCGTGCTCCACTTGATGAAAACTGTGAAGCCGCTGGTGATGACGATCAACGAGTTGAAGAACAGGCCATACCAGGACAAGTACGGCTGGAAGGGTGCCCGATACGGCAGCTCCCGACGGTCAATGTTCTGGGCTTCGAGGATCTTAATGAAGCGCATGTGGCAGACACCGATGAGCGCCCAGCAGACCAGGGCACTCGTCGAGCTGATGTTCAGCAGCCACGTGAAGACGACGGTGCCGCTCTGGGACAGGTTGAGGAACCCCAGCAGGCCCAGCAGCGAGCAGAGGCCGACGGCCACGTACGGCGTCCCGAACCGGTTGGTGCGCTTCGTCCAGGCCGGCGCCAGCCCTTCTTCGGCCAGGCCGATGAGGATCCGGCTGCTGGAGTACACGTTCGAGTTTGCGGCGCTGAGGACGGCCGTGAGGAGGACGGCGTTGATGATGTGCGGGAGAACGGGGACGCCGGCCCGCTGCGCGACGATGACGAGGGGCGACGCCGAGGCGTTGGTCTTGTCGTTCTTGAGAGCCTCGATGTCGTAAGGGAGATCGATGCCGATGAAGAAGACGGTCGCAATGAAGAGCACGAAGATGCCCCAGAAGGTCCAGCGGATGGCCGAGGGGATGCTCTTCTCGGGATTCCGCGTCTCGCCGGCGCCCACGCCAACCAGCTCCGTCCCCTGGTAGCTGAAGGCAGCCGTGACGAGGACTGCCCAGAAGCCCACAAACTTGCCAGTCGCACCGCCCACCATGTGCTCGGCGAATGGACCGGGCTCCTTCCAGTACTTGAATCCGATGTATCCTTCGTCTCCAGCCCCTGCATTGATGCACAGGGCAAAGATGACGAAGCCGATAACGGTGACAACTTTGATGCTCGAGAACCACATCTCGATCTCGCCGAACCACCGAACAGGCAGGAAATTGATGCCCGTGAAAATGACCCAGAAGACGGCGATCCAAACGGCGATGCTCACGCTGTCGGTCCAGTACTGGATGATGAGGCCAGCCGCCGTCAGCTCGAGCGCAAAGGTGACGACCCAGCTGAACCAATAGAGCCAGCCCATGGAAAACCCGAGGGTCGGATCGACGAGACGGCTGGCGTAGACGGTGAAGGATCCCGCGACGGGCATGTACGAGGCCATCTCGCCGAGGCTGGTCAGGACGGAGAAGACGACGCTGCCGACAAACACAAAGGCAAGGAGCAGCGACACGGGGCCGGCAGTGGCGAGCGCATTGCCGACGCCTAGGAAGAGGCCCGTCCCGATCGTGCCCCCGATGGCGATGAACTGCAGATGTCGGCTGTGCAGGGCCCTGTCGAGGCCGGTGCTGTTGCCGGGCTCGACATCCTCCCTCTGGCCGTCCGAGACATCCTCGTTGCTTAGCTGCGGCGTCTTCTCGCCAAACGATGCGTCACCCATTGTGCCAAGAAAAAACGGCGTCGACCCGGTGGTAGTGACGGCGGAGAAGGAGAAGTGGAGGGGAGCGGGCCAATGGGGAGGGGAATTGTCAAGAGGCAAAGGACCTAATGTGATGGTCGAGGTGATATCCCCAGGTCGATGACAGAGGAGCACCAAGTAATTCCAACTGCGGCAGCAGCTGGCTTATCAGGCTCTTCCTCCATCATGGACCCATAACGCAAATTCTTTCTGTATTAAGGGTTGAATTTTTCTGGTTGGCCCACAACAAAAACCGAGAGCCGAGTGGCGAAGAAAATCTTTGCCATCCACGAGACTAGCACGGGCGGTCCGAATACCACCTTGAAGATATGGGGCAACGCCATGCATTCTATCTTGGGGGACACCCGACACAAAAGGGGATCACCCATCACTATCACGGCTCTGTGGTTTCAAAACGGAAGAGCTTTCTTTTGGCGAGATTTTTCCATCCCCTTTCCTCCCTTTTTTTCTATCTTTTTCTTTTTTTCTTTTTGTGAGAGAGCTGTGCTCTGATCAGTTTTGGTGATGCGAAGGTAATTAATTACCTAGTCACCATGCCAGGTGACTTGGACGTTTCGGCGACCAGCTCGTGGTGCACACAAGATAAAGCCGTATGCATCAAGAAGGTCGGTGGAGAGCATACGCAATACCATCCCGACCCTTGGAGACCGCATCGAGAGGATACACGAGGGCGGCAATCCTTTTGCATCAGCGGGCGGTTTGCAGCTCCGTCGAATCAAACGTCGTCGAGAAGCCGGTGACAATGAGAACAACTCTTCGCAACGGGTTGGTGTGTCATCCTTCGGGAGCATTTGTCCCACCCTTGTCAACATTTCCCGACCGGTTTGACTGGGATTCTACAGGGTCATCAGACTATTGTTTTGTAAGGTCACCGGACCAAGGCCTCTTCAGCGAAAAGATCCAGCGGAACGGAGCAAGAATATGGAGTTTCAAGCGAGTGAGAATAAAGAGACCCAAGCTTGAGAATCGGATGGACAGCCATGTCCTCGGGACTGCTTGAATAAAATTAGCTGCGATGCCGCTGGAAAACGGGTCAACATGGACGCTACCAAGGTCGGCAAGCACTTGTTCTGCGCTTTTGTACCCCCCTGTCCAACACTTTTCAATCACACGTCCCACAGGTATTCCAGAAACATCCGGAAATGTGCCTTGACGGTATAGCTTTCCCACCTCGTGATCCTCCTTCTCCGCGTACGGCTTTTTGTCGCTGTACAACTCGTAGAGAACGGATCCGAGCGCAAACAAGTCGTCTTTGATGTTTCGTGTTTCGTCCTCGCCTTCTCCTCGAGGGCGCAAGTGGCGTGGCTCAAAGCAGAGCGCAACCGGCTTCTCGCCGTTCAACGAGGAGCCTGCAAAGTCGCACAGGACGACATCATCGCTGTCTGTGACCAAGATGTTGCTCGCGTTCAAGTCGCCGTGGACAATGCCCTTGGAGTGTATGTAGACGAGGCCTTCCACGATCTGGACAGCCCACCGGCGTCGGGGATCTCGTTTTCATCGGCCGGTTCAGAATTGTTGCAGTTGCGGCCAAGCTCCGTTAACACGTGGCGGAGACACCCTCGAGGATGGTACTCGAGTACCACCGACCTGTTCTTTTCCTTCCACATGCCGAAATATCGTACTATTCGAGGATGAGAGCCGAGCACCTCCAAGACCTTCCGCTCGTGTTCGGCATCTTGGGGTAGGTTGTCGTGGGCAAACTTCAAGACACGGTCGGGAGGAAGGAAATTGACAATGCTGGAGGCTCCGCCGCCTATGAAATCCAGGTGGTTTTTTGGCGGTGGATGGTACTCCATAGCTTACAGGGAGCTTCAAGCGTGGTATGAGTAAAGGCAGAGGAGGCAATTTAAAATTCCAGCAAATCTGAAGAGCAAGGGAGCCCATGCAAATACACGTGCTGCATGCATAACGTGGTGTGCCTAAAGAGGACTAACATTTTTATTGGCGGCAGGCAACGAAAGATATTTGGTTGGGAGTTTCAGAAGCGGGAATGTGTTGCAAGGAATGTCTGTCCTCAAAACAACATCACAAGTCAGTCTTGACTTCTTGAGGTTATCGTTAAGCCTACCACTGTTCATTTCTACCTTATTTGCATTACGTCTGACCTACACAGAAGGCAAGTTTGCGCTGCCACAATGCCTCCCAAGGCAAGGTTCCTCTGCATGAAGAAAGACGACACCATCTGGCAGAAACTCGACGAGGTGACAGGCGAGTGGGAAAGGTCAATTCGGACAAGCGAGATATACCGCGCAGTTGGCAAGTTCATCCTGAAATACAAGGATGGCCCAGCAGAATTGATGCATTCGGCGGTGAAGGGTGGGTATAATATCGTCTACCGCCTCGAATACAAAGACGGCTCATCGGTGATAATGAGAATTCCGATTAAAGGTACGCTGCATGCTATAGACTAATATCACTCCTCCATACCACTAACTCGAGCAGGTGTCGTCCCATTTCCAGACGAAAAGGTTCTCTACGAGGTTGCCACGATGAGGCACGTTGCTGCCAACACCACGATCCCGGTCCCCCGCATCTACCATTACGGGACCGCAGCCGAGAATCCCACGGGCCTAGGCGCGTTCATCATCATGGACTACATCGAGCACCATCAAAACATGTCCAGGGAGCTTCTTGATCCAAATCGCGCCCTTGACGAGTCTCCCATCCTGGACCCAGATATCGCCGAGGAGAAACTAGAACTTCTCTACGGTCAGATGGCCAATATCCTACTACAGCTGTCTACCCTGAGATTTCCTCGAATTGGCTCTCTTGTCGAGGAAGTTGACAGCAGTTCCGTTTCAGTCAAAGGACGGCCCTTGATCGCAAATATGAGTGACATAGTCGTGCACACCAGCGCGCCAGCAAGCGTTCTACCATCCCAGACCTATGCCTCTGCTGACGAGTGGTACAGCGCTCTCGCCGATATGCATATGGCCCAGCTCATCTTCCAGCATAATGACGCTGTGGAAGACAAGGACGACGCGCGCGATAAATATGTCGCGCGCCAACTTTTCCGAAAACTCGCTACCGAGAGGCGCCTCAGCCCCGACCAGTCGACACCAGACAGCACTTTCAGGCTATTTTCCGAAGATTTCAGGCCGGCCAACGTCCTCCTCGACAAAGACCTGCGGGTAGTCGGGGTCATAGACTGGGAGTTCTCCTACGCCGCCCCCGAGCAATTCAGCTTCGACCCTCCCTGGTGGCTCCTCCTTCTAGAACCAGAGTGTTGGCCCGGCGGATACCGCGCGTGGATGTCGGCCTACGAACCCCGGCTCCAGACCTTTCTGCGCGTGATGGAGGCCGAGGAGAAGAAGATGGCGGCTTCGGCGGCGGCGGCGGCGGACCTCGTCGGAAAGGTCGACGGCCTGTCGGTGACAGACAGTGGAAAGATTAAACCGCCGCTCTCTCAACTCATGCGGGAGAGCTGGGAGAGGCGGAAGTGGATGCTCGGCTACGCGGCCAGGAAGAGCTGGGCATTTGATTTCATCTGGTGGAGGTTCCTGGACGAGAGCTACTTTGGGCCGAACGAGAACCAGGACTGCCAAGCCAGACTGGACTTGCTTTCCGCGCCGCAGAGGAAGGCGATGGAGGGCTTTGCGGCGCGCAAGATGGAAGAGGGTGAAAGTTGCGAGGTCATCAAACTGGGGGATAAGGATGCGAAAGTTTATATGGCTGAGGTGCTTGTTTGACATTAGCTCACGTTGGTGCACATTCTGTTTTTTTCAGTAAGGGCGGTCTACAGGTCTTGTATTTCTGATGGGGTAAGAATAGCTGGACAGAGGAGCACCGGAGACAAGTTGAGCCAACATGAGGAGATTCAGCACTGCCTGCAACTAAAGAGAACCATAATGGTGATAATTCCGCTTAAACCCGGACGACCAATGGTTAAAAGAGCTGCGGAGATCATACTGCAGATGCGGGGGCCATTCCCTTCACACAAACATCTCCGTTAGCTAACTACACTATGCCAAGGTTCCCGAAGACCCTACAAGCAACAACGTGGATTTATATGGGCGAACCGAAAGAGGCTCCAAGTTAAACCCGCAAGTCAGGTCGGGAACCAACGCTGGCCATGGAGGATCCAATCCGCCCAAGTAAGCAAGCATTCAAGGCAATGTACGAGAGGGGATATCGAACATGGGCGACGCTCTCGGAGATGGCTGCTGGAGAGATTCACCTAGTCAGAGACTGTCTGTCCCACCTTCAGTCGGCGTTTCCCAACCATCCCTACTTCCCAAGAAATCTCATTGTCGACAAATCCTTCTCGAATACGGTTACCGTAAGAGGCAGAACCACTTGGATCACCACCCAAGGGTCCTGTGACCTCCCGCCCTTTCGGGACGAAGTTATCATTCCGGTGGCTTCGAGCCACCCAATGACTGTTGTCCTTACATCCAATCCACGCCATCCAGCAAAGATACTTCCGGACTACTTTGGAAGAGAAGAGAGCAACCATATTCCCGTGCTTATCCTCGCCTGGGCCTATATACTCTCTGCGCGGTGGGCTGAGCTTATTCCTGGGGCATCTTCACCCGAGTACAACAGCAACCAAGCACCGTTGGGCGACAGCACCGAGTTAGAAGGGCCGGGCGATGACCCAACGTCTATGGTAGTAGATGTAGGTGACGTGGATGATGACGCTGCTCGATGGTGGACTGCGATCCTTGATGCCGAAGGCGGCTGGAATGCATTGATCAGCAGCGACAAAGGCGACCTCCTTTGTTCCCCATGGTCCACAAGGATCAAGTCAGAACAGTCTTTTGTCGTTTCGGCGAATGTGAAGCTTACTCATCCCCGCGCGGCAAAGGATCTGCCTGCATCTTTCACAACCGCCTGCCGCTATCTGTCTGAGTATTGCCATTACCACAGCATTGCAGAGCAAAGCCAAGCAGCCCTCGCAGCAACTCTTCTCATCCCAGTGGCAAAGTTTGACAACCGACAAATCGAGCTACCAATCCCCCAACTATTCCCGCGCAAACCCCCGCGGATGCAGGAGCCGACCCAAACTCCCCCAGCCTGGGACGGGGGACTCCATCAGCTGGACCGACTCCTCACCCTGAGCTGCAACGCGAGGGCAACCAAGGCCCTCCTAAACAGCGTCTTCTTCGAGCCCGACGTAGCCTGCAACATCTGCGGTGCCTGGCTCCAAGGCACATTCGCCTTCCTCGACTCCGCCAGGGCAGCGAACCCTCCATCAGCCCCACTACACACGCTCATAAAACGCAATCCCAACCTCGGCTTCCTCTGGCTCGGTGCATTCATAACCGGTGCACAAGCATGCTGCTTCCGGGAAGTTCGACAGGCCTGGTGGAAAGTCGACCTCAGCGCTGCAGCCTGGACGGGGACACACGCGTCGTTCATCCAAGAGCTGGTGCCGAATGTCCTACCCGACGCATGCGAGATCTCGCGTGCCGATGAGTGCCGGCTGATGTACCTCTCCCACGACGTGAACAATACCAACACGCCCCTCTTCCCGTTTGCCCCATTCGGCTCCACCGCCATGGAAGACACGACCCTCGACGTCCGGCGACATGCTCGATGCGGGGCGACGACTCACGGCCTCGAATACGCCGGGTTTACGTGGGACTGCCTGGACGGCGAGCAGGGACGAAGGAGCGCGCCGGACGGGATGGTCATCCTTGGCAGGTCCGGGGATACGGGCCCCAGCTGGGAAAGCGCCATTGACGTCGATTATGCCGGCCTGGAGGTGGAGGAGGATGACGAGGCGTCGGAGATGGTGACTAGGAATATATTCACCTGGCTGCGAGGTGAGGAGGGGTTTCCCGTCGCGGAGAGGGCGATACGCGAGCATGAGTGGATTGATAATTTGGATTCGGATGATGATGGCCCGATCGAGGGGGAGGTGAGGTCGTCGGTCGGAGGCGATCTGCATGGATAGGTGCTGAAGACAGTGACCAAGAGGTCAAACTCACTCTGATGGTGGTAATTGCAGTTGTGGATGGAAAATATTGGTGCAGAGGCTGGGCAGCATGGCACTCATCGGTGTCTGCAAGTCTGGGATAATAGACGGACAGGCCGTTACAGGCCATGAAAATTCAATTACTGCCTGGGGTCTTGTATAACCATATTCAACACAGAGGTAACTGGCTAGAGCAGCGCTCGTAATCGCTAATGAGCATCACCGATCAGCAAATGACAATCAACACCTACAAACTGCACATCAAAAGATTCACAAACCTCTAATCGGCCCGAGTCCTCCTCAACCTGAGAACCATCATGAGGAGCCGATAACACACTGGCCAGCGTTTTCTTCCGTTTTTGCAGTTCAATGACAGACTAATTGGGTCTCTAACGTCAGCAACCGATCGTTGGACTACCTAGGTAGGTAGTTCGGTAAAGGCAGGGGGTATGACCTGTTCGATAGTGTCGTGCACGTAGAAGCGGACAGTGGTGACCTCTTTCTCCTGGCCCATTCGATGGATCCGGGCCAATGCTTGTTCCTCAAGTGTCGGGTTCCTGATGAGAGTCAGCCGCCATGTAATTAATCTTGCATGTGGGGATCCAAATCTCAACTCCCTACCAATGTGGTTCCAGTAGATAAGCACGAGCTGCCACAGTAAGAGTCAAGCTTCACAAATTGTTCGTCAGCCGGGCTCTTCGTCCAGGAGAAGCTCGTTGTTGTTGGATTCACTTACCCAACGGCTCCGCACGACAATGTTAGAAGTAGAACCCGAACAGATGGATCATTGCGGAATCGCTCCACCACGCCGTGTCTTTCTCTCTGAGGGACTTTACCATCATAGCGAAGACACGATATACCTGCTTGGTTCAGACCAGCCTCGACGACATCGAGGCTCATCCGCCAGGTTGAGAACACCACGCTGCCAAGTTTAGTTATGGAATAAGAAGTCAACCGAGGTGGGAAGGGCGCTCACCATTTGACCTCCAACGGCAGGGCTCTCAAGTCTGTGACGAGCGATACAACCTTTGCTGGAAGTTTCATGCAGGCAGATCTTTGAAAATTTTCCAGCAGATGTGTTGGGACCGGTGCCTCCTCTAGCCCAGTCGCACTGGCTGAGACCGGAGCAATGGCGCAGCTCGGACTTTTCCCACAGCCGCAAGAGCCACCATTCGTGGCGCGTGTCTGGACACAATCAGCACATGTGAGCCTCAGGCAGCTTGAGAAGCGCGGTTGGTGCTGATTCTGGTCATCGTGGACGAGGAGCCTTTCGATCGTGTCAAGGGACAACGAGCAGAGCTGGCAGTGGATGGGTTCCATGCCTCGGTGGAGGTTGAATATCTGCTGGGCTGTTGCATTCCAATCCTCCCATGTCGTGGAGGAATTCCGTGCAGTCGTTGACACATCATGCCGGTAGTGGTAGTGAAGGCCGAGATTGCACACCATGCGCATCGCCTCGATTTGCTGCAGCACATTGATATAGGCATTCGAGCCTGCAGCATCGGAAACTTCGAGCCTGGCCTCGTCGATCTGTTGGATGGCTCGGGATCGGATGTCATCATACAACTCGCGCTCGGCACGAGTGAACGTGATGGTGCACTGGAGATCCTTTCTTGGGGGCAGCTTGACTGTACCCTGGGGTCGGCGGAGAAGTAGGCAACGGGACAGGCGTTTCAGCCTCTTGGTAGCTTCGTCCACGTCGCCGGCCTTCCACAGGTTGGATATGTCTCTGTCGAACTGCTTCTGGTCACTGTACGGGTGGGCCTGGAGGAACTTCAAGAGGGCAGAGAAGTCCTTGAGTCGGTTCTGGATCGGCGTTCCCGTAACCACCCATCGACACCTGGCGTTCAAGGAACAGAGTGCGCGGGCCATTTGGGAGTTGCTGTTCCGGATTATGTGGGCTAGAGGTGATTTGAGATGAGGTGTCAGCAATGGATTAACTAATCGTATTTAGAGGGTAAATATCGAGACTGACCCTCGTCGAGCACCAGGCGTTTCCAGCGGATGGAAAACAGTAGCAATGACTCGGAAGTTCCGTGGTTTCTCCAGTCCGCAGCAACAGTATGATATGTTGTCAGGACAATGCTGATCCCGTCAAGGTCTGATATTTCGTTCAGACGAGATTTTCCATGATGTCTTCGCCAGGTCAGGGTTCCGGAGACGACGTGCCTAAGCTATGTGAGAAATGGTCGTTGAGTATGTGAGGCGGGAGGGCAGAGGCGTACTCGGACAGTTGTTCTTCCCAGGTATCAAGCACTATTAATTGGATCATTCTGTCAGAGTTGACGAGCCAAAATACAAGGACTATCCCTGAGTCAGGCGCGGACGTACGTGGTGGAGGAACGATGATAAGTGTTTGGCTCGCAGTGTCGTCCGAGTCAACACCTACATCCATTAGATCTTCAAACTCTTCATTAGCCAAACCTCGCGGGACTGGCATATCTGCCGCCACCAAGGCTATCATGGTCAACGTCTTTCCGAATCCCATAGGGTCCGCAATGACACCCCCGTGGAACTGGTCAGGTTCCTCGACTTGGTGAGCATTTGATATCCGGTTCATGAAGCTACATCATCACATTAGTGTCTGTCTGTCTTCTCCTGGACTTGTAACCTTGGGGGTCACCTACAATCGTCCGCGATTGGATTCAACAACATCCCATATATCCGGCGTAGTCTCGTCGAACATCCAGCCTCGCTCGCGCTGAAGCATGAAGGTCAACGCCTGCCTTTGATGTCTGTTGTGCCATTTCAGTATTATATAGTCCTCGATACACACAAGGTTGTCTGTGGTAATTACCTCTTAAGGACCGTCTTTATTGATTGATGCTGTGTTGTTTCGGCAAGATTACTTTGCGAGTCGAGGAGCTCCAAGAGTTCGGGTCCCACTGCAACGTCTTTCATGTCGATAAAAGTCGGGTTTGCATTGAGTTCCGAAGTCCACTGGCAAGAGTCCGGATCCAACGACGAGAGTCGGTGTGGGTTGCAATATCTTAGCACTCTGTTGCAATTCAAGGGGTCTTGAAGAAACATGCCATCGGACTGGAAGAACTCTCCGACCTCATCGAAAAGCTCCATCGGCCCGTATAAGGTAATTGACAGGGAACAAGCGGCCGGCTGAGGGAGAGTTTGAGTTGACTTCCTGCTGACAGTATTGCTGGGGGGTGCCAGTGCTTCGCTTCGAATGCATTCGACTTGCAGCTCGAGGTCTTTCTCATCAAGGAGACCACCAGTGATATGTGTATAACGGGGTTGTACCTTCCCTCTAAACCTACCATTATAGACGCCGGAGAAACTGTCTGCCGAGGTCAACATCACGGGGACTGCATCTTCGAAGGTCGCTATTGAGATGCTTGCACCATCAACAACGCAATTGATCCCGGGTATCTGGGCAATCGTAAGCATATGCATTGATTTCGGTTGATAGTCAACAACCGCAGGACTTGACTTACCATGCCGAAGCAGACGACTACCCTATTGCCTTCAGACTCGTTCACTGACAATCCTTGCTCGCACGAAACACGACCAAATTGTGGATGCCAAACCTCGGATCCCACTTGCTCTGCGGAGTCCTTGGTGCTGGCGCCTGAGACTAATCGCTGCCGTTTTGGCGGCCGTTGAGTTGCCATGACGCACTTAAAGCAGGTAAAGAGAGACAATTAGCTAGTCTGGGAAAGATGGTGCAAGCTGATGCGAGAGGAGATCTCGCCCCTCAAACCGTGGTGCGCGCCGTTCCTTTTCATGAGAACGCCTTGGCTCATAGACGGAGCGTCGGGCTGATTAGGGCCGCCATCAAATATGCTCGACAGTTTTTTTGATTGGGCGGTTGGTTGGCATGGCTGCATGTGGCGGTGGCAGTGTTTGTTGTGTTACCAGCTCATGGTGGTGATAACTAGTCCGCCTCACTTTTCTGCAGTAAGGGACTCATTTTCTCTCGCTCTACAAAATACTCGACGCATCTACTGACGCGACGTCAAAGGATCCGGGAAGAGTCGACCTTCTGCTGTGTCACCGCTGTTGCGACCGCGAGAACAATGCCTTTGAAGAGTGCAGTCTCGCCCGCAGCCTTGCGTGTCATTCGCGTGGCGTTTGAAGACCTCGAGCGAGCCGTGACGCCAGTGGATGGGAGGGAATTCGAGAACACGACGCTGCAGAATGTCAAAAAGACAGCTCTTGAGATCGAGACTCGCCTTGCGGCCCGTCAGTCGCTGCGGAACATGCGCCGGCTCATGCCTCTCTTCACGGGCCTGGAGCACTACTCCAAGGCGATGGAGGTCCTTTGCAATGGCACCCCGTTTCTGCCTTGGATATGGGCTCCTATCAAGTTGATTCTACTGGTGCGTCTGTTTTCTTGACTTGCTTTCTTTATGAAGCACCCGGGCGAATTCTAACTTGTCGTTTCCGAATGAGACAGGTCTCCTCGGACTATGTCGATGCATTTGACACAGTCATCACGCACTACTCCCGCATAGCCGAGTCCCTCACAAGATTCGATTTCCTGAACAACGCGTTCAACAATAACGCAGAGTTCCAGAATGTTCTGGCTGTCTTCTACTCCGACATCTTGCGATTCCATAAGGAGGCGTACAAGTTCGTTCGGAGAAGCAGTGAGTTTAATCACTTTATGGGCGCGCCCTCAAGGAGAATGTCGGCATATCTGACAAGGGCTTCAGGCTGGCATCTCTTTTTTGACACCTCCTGGGGACGGTTTCGGCGCCGGTTCGATGACATTCTTGCCAATCTCAAGGCTCACGAAGACCTCCTGGACAAGACTGCAAACGCTATTAACATTGCGGAAGCACGAGACCAAAGAGCAGCCATTGAACAACGGCGAAAGGAGCAGCTCGAAGAAGTCGCAAAGCAGGAGAAGAGCAAGGCCTCGCAGCAGTACTGGGAAATAGTGGCCTGGCTCAAGGTCGACCAGACGGACCAGAGTCTAATTCTCGACTGCATCACGGAAGAAGCCTTGAAACACCCCGGGGGGTGCGACTGGATCCTGAAAATCGACAACATGAAGTCGTGGATGCGAGATCGGCCAGATACCCCGTTCCTGTGGCTCCAGGGGAATCCCGGTAGTGGCAAAAGCGTCTTGGCGGCACAGATCGTCGGCTTCCTGCAAGCAGCACACCACTCTCTCGTCATCAGTCATTTTTGCACGTACTCTTACGCATCATCGACAAGATACGACCTCATCTTACGATCGCTGCTCCTGCAGTTGATCGAGGGCAATCAAGATCTTGTTGCCTATGTTCACAGGCTCAAGGAAACCGAGTTGGCCAATCGATCAGTCACCTCACAAGCCCTAGAGAAGCTGATCCAGATCATTGGCGGTGCGGTATCCCAGAGCCCCGGCGAGACAAAGTACGTCCACATTGTGCTAGACGGGCTTGACGAATGCGAAGAAGAGAAGCAGGGCAGACTCATAGGTCTTTTGGAACGGCTGGCGTCCACAACAGGTTCGTCGAATGGCGCTACCTGCAAGGTGCTACTTCTGAGCAGGGCATCGGGATTTCTCAAGAAGCGTTTCCGGAAAAAGGCAACAATATCTCTGACCGAGGAGAAGCCGCATCTCGAAGGGGCGATCAGATTATATGCTGGTCACAGGCTTGGGTCCCTTCGCCAACGCCTGTTTCCGATGGGCATTAGTGATGCAGACATCAAAGACATGGCTGCCACGATTGCACAGAAAGCAGACGGTGAGCATCAAAAACTCTCAACCCCCAAGGAGTTCGTCAACATAGGCTGATTCGGGATCAGGGATGTTTCTTTGGGCACGACTGGTCCTTGGATACATCTCCAAGAACATGTTCTACAGAAAGGATGAGATCCTAGACGCCGTTCAAACTCTGCCCCGCGAGCTGGGTGATTTGTTTGTTACCCGTTCTTCCGATTAATTATCTGTCTGGCTTTTTCTAACCCGACGGACTGCCTGCAGTTACCGCAAAATCCTGACCCAGATCCGGGGAAACTTTGACGCCAGATCCACCGAGCGGCTAAAGTCCATCTTTGGCTGGATAGCGTTTGCCAAGCGGCCTCTCAAGATGTTTGAATTCCAGTCAGCATTGGCGTTCAGCTCTGGCGACTTTGATGTTGCCGAAGTTGTGCCATCTTACCTGTTCAGCATGTGCGCGCCGCTCATCGAAGAGAGAAGGGACTCGACCTTTTCGTTCATCCACGTATCTGTGAAGGAGTACGTTATTCTGTTTGAAAACAGCTAATTACTAATTGAACGTCAGCTAATCATTGTGTGTAACTAGTTATCTCCAGGGTGAAGAGGGTGGACACATGGTATCCGAGACCGCTGCCAGCTATGAACATGCTCTCACCTCAGTTACATGCCTTGTCTCCGGACTGGATGTGTTTGGCCCAGGATCCTCAGATCACGAGCGAAATTTACGAGTCTTGAAGGGTTTGCATGCTTTTCACGTCTACGCAAACGAGTACTGGCTAGACCATCTTCTTGCCGTGGGGGCATCAGATCGAGGGTTCGACCACTCTTCTGAGCTGTACTCTCTGATGAGCCAGCTATCCTCCAAGCTAGACCCGCTTAAAAGGTCGAATCCCGAGAAGCGACCTCTCCGGGAAGCGGGCGCCCTGGATGCTCAACTTCTGTGTCTGAAGAGCCTTGCCGGTCTCTACGACAGCGGAAGATCCACTCTAGAGGCAAGACTGGCAAAGTCTCTTAATAAATGCGCCACTGACCAAGGTAAAAAGCATCCCTGAACGCATTGGCTGACTTGTACATACGTTGGTGTTAACTTGGCATAATTAGACTGTAATGACGGATCCGTGGATCTTCGCGGCACCCTTGCAACATACCAGTCGACGATTCAGTCACTCCTCGCCCGCCGAGACTTCCCGGGAGTTTCCATGGAAGACCTCGAGCGATTCAAGAAATCACACCGAACCTCCGCGTATACCTGCCGCCTGGGTGCGTGCGCTCGAGCAACAGTTGGCTTTGAAAACGACACGCTCCGGACCGAGCACGAGCGAAGCCATGTTCAACGCTTGTACTGCGAGCATCCCGGATGCCAATATCCGGCCTTTGTTTCTACTCGGGCTTTGAGAAATCACCTCAACCAATACCATGACGAAGGCAGCCAAGTAAAGCCCAAGAAGACCATTCGAGCGCCGAAGGTCACAGGCGTTCAGAATCACCTGCAGGCCCCACAGATACAACAACAACAACAACAACAACAACAACAACAACAACAACAACAACAACAACAACAACAACAACAACAACAACAACAACAACAACAACAACAAC